TCTATTTATGGGGCCAGTGTTGTGGCATAGCAGGTTGAACCACCGCCTGTGATGCCCACATCGCATACCAATGCCAGTTTGTATCCCAGCTATTCCACTTCTGATCCAGCTCCCTGCTGGGAAATTGGGAAAGCAGCCAAAAAGGGAACTGGTAGTCAGGCTCCTGCCGTCCACATGGGAGACCCAGAGCAGGCTCCTGGCTCCTGGCTCCTGGCTCCTGGCTCCCACCTGGCCCACCTCTGGTCAGTGTAAATATCTGAGGAGTGAACCAGCAGATCGAAGATCTTCCTGTCTCTCCCTCTCTTGGTTTAACTCTGCCTTTCAAAGAAATAAAATAAATCTTTCTTTAAAAATGCTTATTTGAGAGAGAGAGAGAGAGGAGAGATACCCTGGTTCATTCCCCTAAACAGCCTCAACAACCAAGTCTGGGCCAGGCCAAAGCCAAGAGCCAGGAGCCAGGAGCTCTGTCCCGGTCTCCCACGTGGGTGCAGGAACCCAAGTACGTGGGTGTCGCTCCCCCTCTTCGTGGAGGAATGACACAGGACCCTGCGCTGTTCTTTCGTCTGCTCGGCCCTCCCCGGGTTTGCTGCTGGTTCTTCCCGGGTTGGCTACTGTCCCTTCCACCTCCGTGGAAGGGCGGTTCCCCCTGGCCACATTCCCCACTTCCGCAGGGGAGCGGCACTCCGCCGGCCGGCTCTCTCGGGGGCTGCACAGGTGTTCCCCTTAGATGTTCCCCTTAGATGTTCCTGGTGCATAGAATAAGTCTTAATTCCAGTAACAGTCTAGTCCGAGCTGCTCCCCACAGATCCCCCTTTCTTTTTATTTTTTGGCGTTGATACGCACCTGTCTTCGGTGTCCCGCGGCACACACTCTGCTCTACTTGCTAGAGTTGCCACAGGCTCTTACAAGTCCTATCAATCAGGCAAACCGAATCCGGGTCCTCTCTTCGCCATGTTGTGAGGAGGTTTTTAGGCGCTGATGCGTGCCTGTGTTCGGTGACCTGCGGCTCATACTCTGGTCGAGCCGCCTGCTGGCGCTTACCGCCTTAATCAGGCAGACCGAATCCAAGCTTTCTCATTGCCATATTGTGGGGTGACTTATTGGTGTTGATAACGTGCCTGTCTTCGGTCACCTGCGGCGCATAAGCTGCTAGCCGCCCGCAGGTGCTCATCGCCTCACTAATCAGGCAGACCGAATCCAAGCCTTCTCATTGCAGTATTGTGGGGAGGCCTTTCTATTTCTCTATTTCTCTATCTCCGGGCATTCCTATTTCTCCCATTTTACTTCTGTCTGCCAACATTCCTATTTCTCTCATTTTACTTCTAAACTTCTGTTTCTCTTATCCCCGCGGCTTCCCGGCGCCCGCCCCGAGGCTGCTTCTCGGCGGCTTTCCGGCTCTGAGCCGCTTCAGCCCACGCCTCTCTCATCTGCGCGGCTTCGCACTAACCCAGCGTTCCCTATCTACTTGTGCCCCGCACGCTCTCTCTGCGCACGGCAGCCTCCGCGAGTCACACAGCCCCAGCTCACGTCTCCGCCACTAGCATTCAATCCAAGTTCCCCGGGCTAGCCTGGCGAATTCAACCCAGCTTACGTCTCCGCCCCACGATTTGGCTTCCCGTCCTTTGCTCCCGGGGCTAATCAGACGGATCCCAACCGGGCTTACGTTTCCGCTTCTGGTTTTAACTTTTCGCCCCCTATTCCCGGGCTAACTTGAGAATCCCAAAGTGGCTTTCGTCTCCGCCTCGGCCTGCCCCCCGCGGCTTCAATTTCCCTAACATTTTTCTCTACCCGGTATGTTTCCCCAAGCTTTCCTCCAACAATACTCCTCCCTCATTTCTCCTGGCCTCTCCCCACAGTCCGCATCCAAGTCTGTTTGTTCTAGCTTTCACTTTCGCTTTCAACCTTAGAGATTTCTCCCAGCTTCCCCCCGTAGTCCGTATCTGAGTCTATGCCTAGGCTTTCAATAGCTCCTTCCGGCACCTTTTTCGTCCGGCTTTTCCCTAGGCTGTTTGCTAGTCTCTCTCTCCGGTATTTTCCACTTCTTCCCGTTTCTTCGCTCCTAAGTTTCATATCCGTCCTAAGTTTCCTATCCGAGTCACGGCACCATTATGTCGCTCCCCCTCTTCGTGGAGGAACGACACAGGACCCTGCGCTGTTCTTTCATCTGCTCGGCCCTCCCCGGGTTTGCTGCTGGTTCTTCCCGGGTTGGCTACTGTCCCTTCCACCTCCGTGGAAGGGCGGTTCCCCCTGGCCACATTCCCCACTTCCGCAGGGGAGCGGCACTCCGCCGGCCGGCTCTTTCGGGGGCTGCACAGGTGTTCCCCTTAGATGTTCCCCTTAGATGTTCCCCTTAGATGTTCCTGGTGCATAGAATAAGTCTTAATTCCAGTAACAGTCTAGTCCGAGCTGCTCCCCACACGTGGGCCACCTTCCTCCGCTTTCCCAGGGGTACTAGCAGGGAGTCGGATCATAAGTCGAGCAGCTGGACCTGAAACTGGTACTCAGATATGTAATGTGCACCTTGGCCCGCTGCACAACAATGCTGGCCCACCAAATTCATTTAAACCTGGGGCTGGCGCTGTGGGCACAGCAGGCTAAGCCGCGGTCCGCAGCACAGGCACCGCATACGGGCATCGGTTCAAGCCCCTGCTACTCCACCTCCAATCCAGCTCTCTGCTAATGCCCGCGGGAAAGCACGGAACGTGGTCCACGTGCTTGGCCCCTGCACCCATGTGGGAGACCAGGATGAGACTCCCGGCTCCTGACTCAGCTCACCTAGTTCTGGTAGTTGTGGACACTTGAGGAGTGAACCAGCAGACGGAAGATCTCTCTCTCCCTCTCTGTATCTCTGACTTTCAAATAAATAAATCTTCAAAACAGAAAAAGTTTAAACCTTAGAAATGCTTAGTGCTATTTTATCAGATAGCAGCCGACTCCTCTGTCCCAGTGCAGAGAGGAGAGCTGGTCCAGTGCACGGCAACTGCACGGGCAGCCGCGACACTAAGGGGCGTGTCCTCCGAGTTCTGTCTAGATCAGCAGGGGCCACCCAAGCTCCAAGCTGTCAACGCTGCGCAGGTGCCAGCTCCTGGGGACAGGGGGGAAGCGCGAGAACTCTGCTCCCAGGAGGAACACACACCAGCAGCAGCCCAACGACTCCCTGTAATCACGGAGGGTCACGGGAAAAAAGAAAAGCCGCGGTTCCAAAGCTCTAACACTGGGGACGCCCCAGGTGTCCACACAGGCGGGAACAGTCCAGACACTGTGGGTGCCCTCACCCATGGGAGAACACAGGCGGGAACAGTCCAGACACTGTGGGTGCCCTCACCCATGGGAGAACACAGGAGGGAACAGTCCAGACACCCGTGGGTGCCCTCACCCATGGGAGAACACAGGAGGGAACAGTCCAGAGACACCGTGGGTGCCCTCACCCATGGGAGAACACAGGCGGGGACAGTCCGGACACCCGTGGGTGCCCTCACCCATAGGAGAACACAGGCGGGGACAGTCCAGACACCATGGGTGCCCTCACCCATGGGAGAACAGAGGCGGGAACAGTCCAGACACCGCGGGTGCCCTCACCCACACAGGAGGGAACAGTCCAGAGACACCCGTGGGTGCCCTCACCCATGAGAGAACACAGGCGGGGACAGTCCGGACACCCGTGGGTGCCCTCACCCATGGGAGAACACAGGCGGGAACAGTCCAGACACCCGTGGGTGCCCTCACCCATGGGAGAACACAGGAGGGAACAGTCCAGACACCGTGGGTGCCCTCACCCATGGGAGAACACAGGCGGGGACAGTCCAGACACCGTGGGTGCCCTCACCCATGGGAGAACACAGGCGGGAACAGTCCAGACACCCGTGGGTGCCCTCACCCATGGGAGAACACAGGAGGGAACAGTCCAGAGACACCGTGGGTGCCCTCACCCATGGGAGAACACAGGCGGGGACAGTCCGGACACCCGTGGGTGCCCTCACCCATAGGAGAACACAGGCGGGAACAGTCCAGACACCGTGGGTGCCCTCACCCACACAGGAGGGAACAGTCCAGAGACACCCGTGGGTGCCCTCACCCATGGGAGAACACAGGCGGGGACAGTCCGGACACCTGTGGGTGCCCTCACCCATGGGAGAACACAGGTGGGGACAGTCCAGACACCGTGGGTGCCCTCACCCATGGGAGAACACAGGCGGGAACAGTCCAGACACCCGTGGGTGCCCTCACCCATGGGAGAACACAGGCGGGGACAGTCCAGACACCCGTGGGTGCCCTCACCCATGGGAGAACACAGGAGGGAACAGTCCAGACACTGTGGGTGCCCTCACCCATGGGAGAACAGAGGCGGGAACAGTCCAGACACCGTGGGTGCCCTCACCCATGGGAGAACACAGGCGGGAACAGTCCAGACACCGTGGGTGCCCTCACCCATGGGAGAACAGCCAAGGTCACCCCCTGGGTACTGTGAACTCTGCGCCTCCCAGCAGCACTGCCATGTCAGGCAGGCAGAGATCTGACCGTGCGGCTCCAGCCACAGCTGCAGAAGTCTTCAGAGTACCTGGCAACCCCCCACACAAAGGTCTCAGCACTGTTCCTGGCCTCTAGGGAGCACCTCAGCACGCCACTATCGCGGGGAATGATCCAGAATTCCCCAGCTACCAGTGCATTCAGACGGCCACTCCTCCCTTTACCAAGCCGAAGCACGAGACCCACCCAGTAAGCCCCCAGGACTTCAGAGTGGTGGGTCTCAGTGCAGGTGTCAGCAGTAGTGCTCACGACCTCCACACCCAGGCTTCTTATCTGTTCTTGATCAAGGCGTTCTGGACAACACGACCATAAAAACCGCTACTGAACGTGCAAGTACCACGCGTCAGAATCAGAGTCCTAAGTCAGCCCCAAGGGCAGCCGGGCACTCAGCCCACTGGTCGCCCACACCTTGCCCTTGCCCGCTCTCCAGGTCTCAGGCGAGGACCGAAAAGGGACACCTGGTGCCCACTCACCTGAACTCTCTGCCTTCGCTGTACCGTCTCCCTGAGGAGGCCCTCGGGGCAGCCGTCTCCATGAGCAGCTTCTGGGTGAGCCTGCTGGGAGGCGCCGCGTCCCGCGCTTCCTCCTCGTCCGTGTCCTGGTCACACTTCCACTCCTCGTCTTCATTCAGAGTGGGCAGGTATCCAGACAGGCCCTTCCCTGTGCCTGACCCAGAGCTCTGGTCACTACAGACCTTTGGGCTCTCCGAGCCTGTCCTCGTGTACTCCAAATAAATGTCGGACTTGAGGAAGGAGGGGTAGGTGTTCTCCTCCATGGTGGCCTGGATCTCCGTCTGGGCCTGGTCGAACATGGCGGGGTCGACCTGCTGCCTCACGATGCAGTCCTTGATGAAGCTCTTGGTGGCCGGCTTGGTGTGCCTGGACACGATGCCAGTGCTGTCCAGGATGTACTTGCGGTAGATGGCTCTAGCCAGCTTCAGCCTCTTCTCCTCATTCGCATCGCAGGGCTCCAGCTTCCTGAAGCCACTGCAGGCAAACCAGAAGTCCAGAAGGTCAGCACAGCCCTCCTGCTTGAGGAAAGTCCTGAACAGGCTGATCCCGTCTTGATCGTCCAGCAGGGAGTGCAGGGACTCGGCCCACTTCAAGTATGGCGGCGTGGGAGACGCACTGCCCTCGGGCTCATACCCCAGGTCCAGATCCGAGCGCCTTGGAGTAGCCGTCGAAGTCTCAGCTTTAATGCCAGCAGCTTTGCCGGAGCAGAAGCTGTGGCTGGCGGGCCTCGGGTCTGCGGACACCAGGTCTCCCTCCTCCCCAGGCACCGGGGGCCGGGGGGCATCTTCGGTGAAGCTTGCTCCGAGGTCCAGGGGGAAACCCTGCTCCTGGACGCTCATCGTGGGACTCTGTGCGGCAAGCGACAGCGAGCGCCGCTCCCTAAAGCATCCGTGCTCGCAGCTCGCGGTGAGTCAGGCCGTCCTGCGGGAACCAGAGAGGACGCGGGTTAGGAAAAGGTGGGCCCCCGCACACACGGCCGAGGGGCTCCCTCCAGACGAGACTGGCGATGACCCAAAGCCAGAAAGTCCGTGTACAGTTGAAACGGAGACACATTTTGGCCGCAAGGTTTGCTCCACATCAAAACAATCCCTACAGACTCCTACAACCACAGGAACGCTTCTCATGCCAAGGGAGCACCCAGAGCACAGAGAACGCACTGCCCTCCAGCAGCACTCTGTGAGCACCGCAGAGGCCCTCCGAGCGGGCCGAAGAGCTGAGTGAGCAGGAGGGCAGGAAGGCCGGGTTGGGGGGGGGGGGGGCTTTCAGGTGAGAGCTGGTCCCTCACACACCCGGGACAGTCACCCCAGTCAGACGACACGCAGATGAGAGGGGGAGCCCCGACACCCACTGCGGGGAGGCCGCTCTGGCTCCCACACCGGCCAGGCCCACAGCCAGGGTTCCTGCCTCCTGTTTCACCTCACACACGGGGGCCCTGCAGCACGTGCGAACAGACCGCAGGGGTTCCTCCGACCGCAGCAGCAGCCGACCGGGGGTCACCTTCAGCACCACGAACCCGGGGATGGAAAACACCCCCCACGCACAGAGCAGCCTTCCCCACGCGGCCTCTCTCCTAAAAGACGCACTCAAGAGGCAGAGGGACAAGCAGGCAGAGGGCTCCCCTCTGCTGATTCACTCCTCAAACGCCCACAACGGCGGGGCCGGGGCCGGGGCCCGGCTGAAGCCAGAAGCTGGGGATTCAATCCAGTCTCCCACATGGACGGAAGGACACAACCTGGCACAACACTTGCTACCTCCCAGCGTCTGCAAAGACAGGAAGCTGGAATCAGAACTGGAGCTGGGAACAAGCAGACGCTCTGACACAGGACACCAGGCCATGTCTGGCCAGGAAATGCCCTCCTGACAGCAAACGGTACCCAGGGACCTCCGGGACAGAAACGATTTAGAAAAAAATGAAAGGCAAATGCAACTGCACTGCTAAGGAACCATGCAACTCACAGGACAACTCTAGAGCAACACCAAGCACTCAGCCCCTTGGAGGCCGGGGAACTGCGAGTTTTGGGTGCTGCGCCCACAAGGGACACACAGACTTTGCTAGATCATGACACAGTCAGGACTCTGCCACAGTCTCTGGCCCTTCCTGCCATGCCCCTCTCAGCCCCACAGAGACCATGCACCTGGCAATAATGCCTCTCGGCTTAGCCAAGGCACTGACTGCAACACAGCCCGGCACAATGTAATCAGTTCTGGCTAAAAGTTAGCTGGAGAGGGGCTGGCACTGTGGCGCAGCGGGTAAAGCCGCCGCCTGCAGTGCCAGCATCCCATGTGGGTGCCAGTTCAAGTCCCGGCTGCCCCACTTCCGGTCCAGCTCTCTGCTATGGCCTGGGAAAGCAGTGGAAGATGGCCCAAGTGCTTGGGCCCCTGCACCTGTGTGGGAGACCTGGAAGAAGCTCCTGGCTCCTGGCTTCAGATCAGCTCAGCTTGGCCGTTGCAGCCAACTGGGGAGTGAACCAGCGGATGGAAGACTCTCCCCCTGCCCCGCGCCGCCTCTCCTTCTCTGTGTGCAACCCTGAATTTCAGATAAATAAATAAATCTTTAAAAAAAAAGTGAGCTGGAGAAAGGACTTTACTAAAACACATCAACCTCAAATGCCCAGAGCACTGACGCGGAGGGGCACTCCCAGTCACCACCGCGTGCTGCGGGCTCTGCCTGCCTTCCCACACCGCACACGCCTCACAGGCATCCACACGGGGGATGGGCCACAACGGTGCCCCCACTGACACTTCCACGGCTAGTGACTGCGGGCTGCAATCTCAGCAGGACCAGCCTGTTTCCTGAGGTCAAGGCCCCGGCTGTGCCCTGCTGCTCCAAGAGCACTGCGAAAGCAGTCACTCCCTCGAGGTGCCATCAGCATGGGAGACCCCCGGATACCTGCAGCTCCGCATGGGAGACCCCCGGATACCTGCAGCTCCGCATGGGAGACCCCCGGATACCTGCAGCTCCGCATGGGAGACCCCCGGATACCTGCAGCTCCGCATGGGAGGCCCCCGGATACCTGCAGCTCCGCATGGGAGACCCCCGGATACCTGCAGCTCAGGATGGGAGACCCCTGGATACCTGCAGCTCCGCATGGGAGACCCCCGGATACCTGCAGCTCCGCATGGGAGGCCCCCGGATACCTGCAGCTCCGCATGGGAGGCCCCCGGATACCTGCAGCTCCGCATGGGAGGCCCCCGGATACCTGCAGCTCCGCATGGGAGACCCCCGGATACCTGCAGCTCCGCATGGGAGGCCCCCGGATACCTGCAGCTCCGCATGGGAGACCCCCGGATACCTGCAGCTCCGCATGGGAGACCCCCGGATACCTGCAGCTCCGCATGGGAGACCCCCGGATACCTGCAGCTCCGCATGGGAGACCCCCGGATACCTGCAGCTCCGCACCAGCTGGTGGACATCTGCCGTCCTCTGTCCAGAATGTCAGCACAGGAAGGCAGGCCTGCGTGCTGACCATCTGATCCGCCAGCCCCTGGACAATCCACAGTTCACCAGCCCTGCCAAAGAGCTGAGTCCCAGACCCTGGCGGCGTCAGCACGGGAGGCTATTCAGTGTCCCTTCTGCAAGGTACTGATGCCGCCCACGTAACTCCATCACGCAGCAGGACCCGCCGCGCAACTGACAAGCACCAATCAACACGACTCATCGCTAGAAAGGCGACGACACTTGCTGTGAGGCCAAACACGAGTCCTGGCAGACCCGCAACGCTCGTGCTAGGAAAAAGCAGCAAATTCAAGCAACAGCCCCTGGTGACAAAACTGGGGCTGTGACGTTTTAATTTATGTGTGAGCCATGTCCACCCGAATCACTTCAAACTAGCTGTCAGGGCCCAAAAGCACAATCCACATCTATTTTTAGCTGTCGACTGGCAGAGACCTGGGGTGTCCCTGGAAGCACGTCTGGCGCGGGTGGAACCTGCTCCGCACACACGCTCTCACCACACGCAGGGCAGTTACATTAATTCAAGCTGGAGTCAATGCCCACAAGCACTGAATCTGGCCCGCAGCCTGGAACCACCATCAATAAAGTGATGCCATAAAAGGAACCTGGAAGTCTAAGGCTGTATTTAAAATTCCCTCGTCACCACCCCAGGACGCAGCCTGGGCACCATGGCGGCAGCCCAACGCTACACACGTGCATTTCACTCAGGTAACTTCTGAACATCCGAGTTACACGACGCGTGGCCGTGACAGAGCACGCTGACCGAGCTCCTGAAGGGCCAGGCTGCTTCACAGGCAAGCCACACGTCCATCACCCAAATCCTCAACGACGGCGGGACCCAAAGTCCACTCGGCTTCTGAAACCAGAAACCCAAGAAAAGTCAACACCTGCTGGAACTGAAGGGAAAACACTGTTTTATCTGCCTCCCCTCCTTGTCCTGAATCGAAGTCCTTCGAGCTGAAACGACACAGCTATCTCGGGTCATCAGCCGTAGAATGCGGGTTCTCCAAACAGGGCCTGGGGACCCAGCGAGCCTGAGATTCCTGCCGGGGGCGGGCAAGGGCACACAGGAGCCCTGCACTCTGAGGAGCAGGCACCGTGTTCCGTCGTCCTCGCTGAGCTCAGAGCCCTGCGGCCCGGGCTGTGCAGGCCTTGGGTCCCGGGGGCTGCGTCCCCGGGAGCGCGGTGCGGATGGACTCCGAGGCCCACAGCCGGGCCACGGGCTCCTCGGCTCTCAGACTCACTCCCACTTTCCCCAAGGCCCTGCACACCCACCACCACGAGCCCCGCGGCCCAGGCGCACACCAGCAAACACACGTCCAGCCAGGAGTCCTCGCGCCTCCTCAGAACCCTGGGTCTCCAGCCTGGCCTCCGCGCCCACCCCGTGCCCAGGGCGCTGGCCCGCGAGCCTCCACCAGCCGCCTTCCCGCCGCCCCAGGCAGTCCCGGGCCCCGCCGCCTACCGCCCCCACCTCGCTCCCGGGACCCGGGGACCCCCGCGCTCTTCCCTCGACCCTGAGGGTGCCGCTCGCCCCGCCCCTCCCCTCCCGGAACCCGGCTCCCCGCGCGCCCCGCGCGCCCCGCGGACCTCTGCTCACAGCCGGGACCCGCGCCGCCCTCCCCGCGCCCCCGGCGCCCTCCCACACACGCCCTCCGCCCCACAGCCTGCGCTCCCCGCGCCCCTCTTCCGGGTCCCGCGCCCGGGCCGCCCGGCCGGCCTAGCGCGGCCTACAATGCACGGCCGCGGGGCGCAGGCCCGCCTCCCTGCGCAGCGCCGCCCGCCCCACTCACCCGCGCGCCGCGGCGGCGAGGCCCCAGGCCCGGCTCCCGGCGCGGCCCATGCGCTCAGCGGCGGCGCGGCGGGCGGGACCCGGCGGGGGCGCGGCCCGAGGCGGCCCCCATCGCGGCGGCGGCGGCGGCTCGGCGGCCCGAAGATGGGCGCGAGGCAGGCCGCGGGGACGCCGCCGAGGCCCGGCCGCCCGCTCTCAGCCGCCCACTCGGCGGGACGCGCCTCCGGCCCGGCTCCGGCCGGCTCCTGCGGCGGCGGCGGCGGCGGCGAGATCGCTGCCCGGAGCCGGGAGCCCGAGCCCAGAGCGCCGAAGCCCAGGCCCGAGCGCCCCCGCCGGCGCCGCCCGGAAGTGCGGGGGCGGGGCCGGGGCGCGGGGCGGGGCCGGGGCGGGGCCGGGAAAGCGCGGACTGGGGCAGCGCGTGGGGGCGGGGCCTGGGCAGGGGGCGGGACCGGGACGGGGCGGGGCCTGCGCGCCGAGTGGGGCGGGGCAGAGAGGCGGTCCCCGGGCTCCCGCGGCGGCGCAGCGGCGGCGGAGGTTCCCGGGAAGGTGGAGGCCGGCGGGTGCCCGAAGTGTGGCTTACGCCGAGTCGCAGCCCTTTCCCGCTGCCCACACGCCAAGGGCGCCCCGGGCGTCCACCCCGTCCAGCTGCGCCAGCTGACTGGGCCCCACGGGAGCTCTGCCGGGTCAGCCCTGGACAGGAGGCCCCTCGCCCGGACTGTCACCATGGCGCCCAGGCAAGTGGACATCCCAGGAGTATAGCGCTGACCTGCTCACGTCCTGCCCCTCGGTTCTCCTGGTCAACGTAACTGACCGTGACCCTGAGGAGGTGGGCGGGGGTTCTGCTCTCCTTGATCGCCGTGCGGGAGGGACTCCCACTAGGGTGCGGAGTGGCAGCCCACGGAGTGGCCCTCAGGCGGGAGCCACAGCCTCTGAAGAGCAGCGGGCAGAGCTGGTCGCGACTCCCCTGCGCTGGTCCCCTTGACCTTGATTTCTCCCAGGCACCATCAAGGATCCCAAGGGCTGCCCAGGGGTCCAGCTCACCCAGGCCAGCCTGACAGCAAAGACTTCTGGGTGTCGCAGCCTCCCTGCTCCTGTGCCAGCCCGTGCCGGGGTCTCGGGTGTAAAGCATGAAGCCCCAGCTTGTCAGCTCCATCCAGGTCCCCTGCACACACCCAGGCCCTGGAGTCAGCAGCCCCAGCACCACGCCGCCAGAACCAGCGCTGTGCTCACCTTCCCTGGCCCTGCCAGGCCTCAGAAGGAATTTCACCTGCCACTCCCACCCCCAGCCCAGGACAGCCCAGGACCAGTTGCAGAGCAGTTTGGGGCTGCTGTCCCGTGGGATCCCACAGACTAGGCGGCTGCAGCTGCCAACACCTGTCAGTCACACAGCTTGGACAGCAGCCCTCCCTGGCTGTCCCTCTGCTTTCAGCCCCTCACAGCCCTGCAGGGCCCTTTCTGAAGATCTCGCTGCCCCCGCACCTGCCCACACCCATGCCTCCAGGATGATGCCACCCTCACCCCCCAAGTCACCCCTCATGGCACCCCACCCGTCCTGTGGATGCTGCTCACCCATCACACATCAGGACTCCTAGCTCGGGGCTTCCCCCAGCTCCCCCCCCCCGGAGTGTGCCTGCTGCCTGCCTCTCCCAGGACTCAGCACGGTGCCCCTTGCTGGGTTTGCCGTGTGAGGAAGGGCTCCGGAGGCATTCCCGTCTACTGGGGACCCAGGCCACTCCTAGGGCCAACACTGGCCCCACTGTGTCCGGGTACCAGGTGGCAAGCCCCGTCCACCTCAGATCCTCGGTGCTGGACACTCAGACCCCCTGAAGCCCCTTCTCCAGCCTGTTCCACCTCAGAGGACACACAGTGGGTGCTTCATGGCACAGCAGGGTCTCCGTAGGATGCGGGAGTCCTGGGTGGGCGCGGCCGAGAGCAGAACCTCTCAGCCGGCCTTTGAGCTCCCTCCCCACTCCCAACATGGCCCCCATGCTTGCCTTGTTCTGCAGAGCTGCTGCTGCGGCCAGGCCAGGCTCTTGGGTTCTGTCCACGTCCATCTTCCACCTGGCCCATGGTGGTGGCTGTCCCCAAGCCCCGGGACCAAAACAGGGCCCTCGGACCTCTGGCTCCTCGGGACCCCTGCCCTGCAGGGACAAGAAAGGAATCAGAAGCCAGAAGGAAATGCAGCGGCTCTGCTGAGTGGGGCTGTGGTGTGTGCCTGGGGGTGATTTGTGGGCCTGGGCTGTGCTGTGGGCCTGGGCTGTGCAGTGGGCCTGGGCTGGGCTGTGGGCCTGGGCTGGGCTGTGGGCCTGGGCTGTGCTGTGGGCCTGGGGTGTGCTGTGGGCCTGGGCTGGGCTGTGGGCCTGGGCTGTGCTGTGGGCCTGGGCGTGCTGTGGGCCTGGGTGTGCTGTGGGCCTAGGCTGTGATGTGGGCCTGGGGTGTGCTGTGGGCCTGGGCTGGGCTGTGGGCCTGGGCTGTGCTGTGGGCCTGGGGTGGGCTGTGGGCCTGGGTGTGCTGTGGGCCTGGGCTGGGCTGTGGGCCTGGGCTGTGCTGTGGGCCTGGGCTGGGCTGTGGGCCTGGGTGTGCTGTGGGCCTGGGCTGGGCTGTGGGCCTGGGTGTGCAGTGGCCCTGGGGTGTGCTGTGGGCCTGGGTGTGCTGTGTGCCTGGGGGTGATTTGTGGGCCTGGGCTGTGCAGTGGGCCTGGGTGTGCTGTGGGCCTGGGGGTGATTTGTGGGCCTGGGCTGTGCAGTGGGCCTGGGTGTGCTGTGGGCCTGGGGGTGATTTGTGGGCCTGGGCTGTGCTGTGGGCCTGGGCTGGGCTGTTTCCTGGGCTGTGCTGTGGGCCTGGGCTGTGCTGTGGGCCTGGGCGTGCTGTGGGCCTGGGTGTGCTGTGGGCCTGGGCTGGGCTGTGGGCCAGGGCGTGCTGTGGGCCTGGGCTGTGCTGTGGGCCTGGGGCGTGCTGTGGGCCTGGGCTGTGCTGTGGGCCTGGGCTGGGCTGTGGGCCTGGGTGTGCTGTGGGCCTGGGCTGGGCTGTGGGCCTGGGCTGTGCTGTGGGCCTGGGCTGGGCTGTGGGCCTGGGTGTGCTGTGGGCCTGGGCTGGGCTGTGGGCCTGGGTGTGCAGTGGCCCTGGGGTGTGCTGTGGGCCTGGGTGTGCTGTGTGCCTGGGGGTGATTTGTGGGCCTGGGCTGTGCAGTGGGCCTGGGTGTGCTGTGGGCCTGGGGGTGATTTGTGGGCCTGGGCTGTGCAGTGGGCCTGGGTGTGCTGTGGGCCTGGGGGTGATTTGTGGGCCTGGGCTGTGCTGTGGGCCTGGGCTGGGCTGTTTCCTGGGCTGTGCTGTGGGCCTGGGCTGTGCTGTGGGCCTGGGCATGCTGTGGGCCTGGGTGTGCTGTGGGCCTGGGCTGGGCTGTGGGCCTGGGTGTGCAGTAGGCCTGGGGCGTGCTGTGGGCCTGGGCTGTGCTGTGGGCCTGGGGTGTGCTGTGGGCCTGGGGTGTGCTGTGGGCCTGGGCTGGGCTGTGGGCCTGGGTGTGCTGTGGGCCTGGGCTGGGCTGTGGGCCTGGGCTGTACTGTTGGAGCAGGGTGGGGTTCAGGTAGGCAGATAAGGGAGCTCAGGGGCACCCCCTCAAAGAAATCCATCAGAGATGTGGAGGACGGCTCCGAAGGCTATAGAGGAAGGCAGCCCTGGCTGGCCACCTGCACCTGTGTCCAGGGGGCCCACACCCTCTCTCGTCCCCACTCCTGCACCTGTCCAGGCCCACACCCTCTGTCGTCCCCACTCCTGCTCCTGTCCAGGCCCACACCCTCTCTCGTCCCCACTCCTGCACCTGTCCAGGCCCACACCCTCTGTCTTCACTGAGGTCCCCACTCCTGCCCCTGTCCAGGCCCACACCCTCTCTCGTCCCCACTCCTGCCCCTGTCCAGGCCCACACCCTCTGTCGTCCCCACTCCTGCCCCTGTCCAGGCCCACACCCTCTCTCGTCCCCACTCCTGCACCTGTCCAGGCCCACACCCTCTCTCGTCCCCACTCCTGCACCTGTCCAGGCCCACACCCTCTCTCGTCCCCACTCCTGCACCTGTCCAGGCCCACACCCTCTGTCTTCACTGAGGTCCCCACTCCTGCACCTGTCCAGGCCCACACCCTCTCTCGTCCCCACTCCTGCACCTGTCCAGGCCCACACCCTCTGTCTTCACTGAGGTCCCCACTCCTGCCCCTGTCCAGGCCCACACCCTCTCTCGTCCCCACTCCTGCCCCTGTCCAGGCCCACACCCTCTGTCGTCCCCACTCCTGCCCCTGTCCAGGCCCACACCCTCTCTCGTCCCCACTCCTGCCCCTGTCCAGGCCCACACCCTCTCTCGTCCCCACTCCTGCACCTGTCCAGGCCCACACCCTCTCTCGTCCCCACTCCTGCACCTGTCCAGGCCCACACCCTCTCTCGTCCCCACTCCTGCTCCTGTCCAGGCCCACACCCTCTCTCGTCCCCACTCCTGCACCTGTCCAGGCCCACACCCTCTCTCGTCCCCACTCCTGCACCTGTCCAGGCCCACACCCTCTGTCTTCACTGAGGTCCCCACTCCTGCACCTGTCCAGGCCCACACCCTCTCTCGTCCCCACTCCTGCCCCTGTCCAGGCCCACACCCTCTCTCGTCCCCACTCCTGCCCCTGTCCAGGCCCACGCCCTCTGTCTTCACTGAGATCCCCTGGGACAGACCTGCTTTGCCACGCAAGGCTCCTGTTTGATGAGCTGTAAGTGCAGTGGTTCAGGTTTTCTTTCCAGAAACCAAAGGAAAGGCTTAAAAGATAACATTATTTTCTTCGCGGCCACAGAGAAGGAACACTTGGAAACTGTGTTCCTCCGCGAGGACCGGGAACACCAGCAGCAGAGGCCGTCACAGGGGCGCGTGCGGCAGGTGAGGCCCGGCAGGGGACTTCTCGGTCCCCCGTTTTGGGCTCTTTGGTCAGGCCCGGTGGTGGTCAGAATGCTTGGGAGGAGGAGGCAGAGGAGCCCAAGTGACCGAGCACCGCACTCAGCGGGAGGCCCAGCCCACAGGCCCCAGGCCCCAGGCCTCACCCCTGGTTCAGAGCTTTGGGGGTCGGGGGAGGCAGGTCTCGTGCCTCAGCCCAGGGCCAAAAGAGGGCGCGGGGTGCGCCTGTGAGACAGGCCGCAGGGAGAGGGGCGCAGGACCGCACGCAGAGGCTGTGATGGGGCCGTGGAAAGCAGCACGCCAGGGACTTGCCGCTGCCTCCTGGAAGGGAGCAGAACTGTGCGTCAGCTCGGGAGCCTCGTGCCGTGAACACGCCGTGGCTGTCACGTGGAAACCACCGCGCGTCCCTCCAGCGACGCCGGCACCAGCTAACCCTTCCGAGAGAGGTGGGCTGCAAAGGCACCGGGCCTGGCTGACGGAGCCCACCGCAGGCAGTGTCAGCCCTGCATGGTGACTGCCACACCACACCAGCGTGGCCTGGGGCCCGCAGGGAGCACCACCTTCGTGGGAAGTGCACGCTGCCTTGGGCTTCCCGGGCTGGAGCCTGCCAGAGCTCGCCCACCGGGGGGGAGCAGCTTCGAGAACGACTTTTACCCACGTTCCCTGCATGGACCATCCACCCAGGAGCCCTGACACAGCCCCCACATCCTCCAGCTCCAGGAGGCGAGGTTCAGGCTCCCAGGGCCAACAGGAAAGGAGAAGCACCAGGTACAGGGTGACCCCGCAGGCTTGCCCGCCTGAGCGGTGCCCGCGGCAGCTCCGTCCCAGGCACAGCCGCCACCCTACTTGCCATCAGATCTCACCCTGCTGTCCTGAGAGGAGTCCCTCCCACTGCGCCTGTCCCCAGGGCTCTCATCCCAGACACAGGGTCCAGGAGTCCAGGAGCCAGGACAGGGCCAACACCAGCAGAGAGCTGAGTTGGGTCAGGGCTGGCCCATGAATGTGGGGAGTACAAGGTCCAGACAGCGCTCGTCTGCCACCCCAGCCACAGAGGCCAACGAAGGAGGGCGGAGTCAGCCTACCCCCACCCCAGTGCCTCCCCAACCTCAGGCCTCGGGCCCAGCCCCTCTTCCTCGGAGGCGAGCATCTGCCTGTGTCTGGGTGAGACAGGCTGTCTGCTCTGGCCCAGCAGGGGCCTGAGCACACCTCACAGCTCAGAGGCCCGTGTGCGACCCTCTCGGACCTGTGCTGGGCAGTGGGATGGAGCCTACAGCCTCAAGAAGGGGCAGGGGCCTGCTGGCCTCCCGCGACCCCAGGCCAGGGGGTTTCTGAGTGAGGGCTTGTACCTGAGGGGCTCAGCCTGGCTTCTGGAAGTCACGCCTCCCCAGGAGCCTGCTGTGGGCTCGCTGGGACGTCCTGCCCCCTGCTGGTAACCAGCACCCCACAGCAGGCCCTGCGGCCCTGGCAGCTCCTGCGGCCCTGTTAGCCTCGCTCTCCCGCCCGACTCGGCCCTGTGGCCCCTCTCCCGAGAGGCCTGCACCATCCGGGGACCAGCAGCCACGCCTGGAGCCAGGGGCTCAGGCCAGCTGCCCTGCCCCAGGGCCCACCAGCGCCCCTCCTCTCTGCTGCCCCGAGATGTCTCTCTTGGCTGCCACTGCCGAGTCCCACGTGTGTGATTCTGTGTGCTGGGCTCCCTCTGGCCCCTCTGCGGCCGCCATTCTGTCATGCAAACAAAAGTGCACTGGATTAGCCACAGTGGATTAAAAGATTTACTCCTCAGAGTTCACCAATGACCGAGCGACCGAGGCGACGGAGGCTTTGAGCCCCAGGACGTGCACGCAAGGCCTCCTGGGGCAGCAGGACCGTGGTCAGGGTGATTCCACACAGCCAAGGCCGTCCTCAGCCAGCGCTGCCCATGGCCAGGCCTGCACTCTCCAATGGCCCCTGCTGGGCCGGACACTAGAAGACGGAGGCGCAGGTGGGAGCACCAGGCCCCGTCAGGACCGCCTTCCCGGGGATGTGGCCGTCAGCGGCCAAGCCTTGCCTGCGCCCAGCCCAGCCACCCTGCAACCACCCACGGGTGCCACACGCAGCCGCAGCAAGGATGCGGAAATGTGCTCGGTGGCCACGGCGGGCAGGAGAGCGCCAGGCCCTGCCATGCTGCCTGCGTGGCCCGCCCGCTCACACGCGTGCACACGCAGGTTGCACACGCGCAGACACACAAGCACGCCCCCCTTTCATCTCCAGAGGAGACTCCATTGACAAGCTCTCCAGCCCCAGCTGGCCAGCAGGGCCGTCCTCTGAAGTCCGAGTAATGGGATTTGGCGCTCTGATCCATCTGGGCTGGCCGCCCCTGTTATAGGTGGACATTTTTTTCAATCGCTTTTTTTCTCCTCAAAAAAAAAAAAAAAAATCACAAGGCTCCTTAGACTGCACTGACTCGACCCAGCTTGCCGCCGCCTGGCCCTGGGAGCAGTGGCCGGCATGCCCGGGGCCAGGCAGCCGGGGCTCGACACAGCCTGCCACCTCCGTGTGAGGCACACCACGCGGTCTGGGCGCTGGCGCGGTGGGAGCGTCCTGCTTCGCGTCCTTTGTCTCTCCCCCTGACCCTTCCTCGGGACCTCTGGGGAGAAGGCGCATGGGTGGGCCGAGGGCAGGGCCGCAGCCAGAACAATGGGCACGGGGAGCACGTCCAGCTGCACACCTGCCCACCCGCCCGTCTGGCCGCCCGCCCGGCTCACCTCACCTGCTCGCGTCCCGCTGTCCTGCCGGCCGCCATGATGGGCTTGGCTGTCCGTCCGAGCACTTTCTGCCACTCCAGGACGCGGGTCCCTGCTCTTGGCCACTGTGTGGCTGGGAGGCAGAAGCGTGACTCTGGGCTGCAGCTCAGGCTCCCACCGCCGATTGGCTGAGGCAGGGACCAGATGACGGCCTCAGAACCCTATGGTAACCATGGCAACCAGCCCCTTTAGACACCGCCACCCCTGAGCCACTCCCGACTGCTGAGGGAGCAGCTGGCACCGCCGGTGGGCCCGTGCCAGGGTCCCCTCAGAGGGCAAGCCGGGTGTGGCTGAGTGACAGCTGCTTGTCACCAGCCGCTACGTGTCTGCGTGCGTGTGTTCCGTGCACATCTAGCATGAGGGGCTCCTGGCCCTCTTGTGGCCTGTCCCGGGCTGCTGCAAGCCCCGCCTGGACCCCTGTGGCAACCCTTGCTGAGAGGGCTTCAGGTCAGGCTTGCCCCAGGGGCCGAAGGCCGGGCCTGGGCAGGCAGGGTGGGAAGGACAGGGAGAACTCCCCACCCACCCCAGAGAAAAGGGCCTCTCCGCTACCCTCTCATTCGCCACCACCTGCGGAACCCCCAGATGCACCCTCTTGGGCCCCCAGCATAGTCCTGCTTCCTGTGGACCCCTGGGCCCCACCAGGAAGGGCTCTGGGACTTCCATGCCCAGGCAGACTGTTGATGGCCACACCCCCGTGACTCCTGCTTCTCCCCCCAGTCCCAGCCCCAGCCCCCTGCAGTGTCCGCCCACATCAGCCCTGGGCAAGCCTTCCCCAGATGTGTCAAGACCAGGGTGCAGTGGGTCATCACTCCAGTCACCCTCCAGCATCCCAGTGAAGCAGAAACTGGCCCTGGCCTGTCCATACACCCTGGGAGCTCAAGGCACCTGGGAAGGCCTTTTAAGAGCGCAGGAGGGGGCTGGCGTGGCGGCACAGTGGGTTACGCTGCCACCTGCAGCTCCGGCACTGCCAGTCCTGGGGGCTCCACTTCCGAGCCAGCTCCCTGATAATGCGCCTGGAAAAGCAGGGGAAGATGGCCCAAGTTCAGGTGGATTTTCTCGCTCCTGGCTTTGGCCAGGCCGGTGTAGCGACCTGGGGAGTGAACCAGAGGATGGAAGATTCTCCTCCTCTCTGTAACTATTTCAAGCAAATAAATAAAAAATAATAATAAATAAGAGCCCCAGGAGGCTGCATCCCACTTCTTAGCCCAAGCCAAGTCCTCCCTTACTCAACAGCACCGGTGACAAGCGGTTCCAGGGCTGTGGCAAGCCCCCGCGGGCCAAGGCTGGGGGACCCACGATCCAGGGGGATCTGGAACACAGATTCTTGGGGACCCCACACACAAGGGAGTGAGCTTGGGGCTGGCCTGGCTGGTCTGGGGGGAGAGGACACAGAGGCTGCTTGGCCAGCACGCTGGCCTGGCCTTGTCCGGAGCTGCCCCTTGGCCCCGAGTCTTGTCCAGGACAGGCTGAGTGGGGATGCCAGTCTGGGTCAGGAGGAGGCGTTTGGGAGTGGAGTCCCCTTCTCGGACATGAGGCGCCTGCAGGGAGGGCTGGATTGTGCTGCAGCAGCAGGAGCTGGGATGGTGCAGGGCCCCTACTGCTGACCAAGTCCATTTGGCCCAGGGCTCAGCTAGGGGATGGCTGGTGGCTGTTAGACTCTGGTGAGCCCGTGGGCCCCACACAATCTGACCCTGTATCTGGGCCAGCAGAATGTTCCAGCTGTAGGCAGGTGGGGGTGCTTACACAGAGGGAGACAGCCCAGAACATGAAGGTGCCCACCAACCAGTCCCGGGTGGGCCCCTGCTGAGCTGAGCACCTGGCAGAGGTGCAGGGCAGAGGCCAGGGAGTCCGGGCGGCCCAACCGCACCTGCTCTGCTTCCCAGCCCTCCGCCACCCTGCAGCCCTGTGCGCCTGAGCAGGCTGCAGAGGCTCAGCACCAGCCTCGTGAGCCCTGCCCCTCTAGCCTTGGCTGTCCCCTCCGCGTGGAGGGACAGGGTCCCCCCTGCCCTTCCTGGGCCTCCACTGGCCCCACTGCACAGCCGCAGTGAGGTCCATCGCCTACAGCCCGGCAAGTCAATCGCTGGGACGCTGGCAGACTTCTGGCCTCCGAGAGCTGGCACAGGGGCAGCTTTGACCGCGGTCGGCAGAGTCCCCACTCCCCGCACCTGAGCAGCTGCGGCTTCAGCAAGGGGCACTCACAAAGGTGCTGACACAGCGAGGAGCTGGCAGGCGTCACCGGGTGGAAACGAGGACGGCGGCTGGGCCCGGCCAGGGCCTGCGACGGGCGAGACCTGGAGGGCAGGCACCTGGGCAGGACTGCTCCCCAGACCACCTCCTAGGCCCACAGCGGGTGTGCACATGCGTGCACGTCTGAGCATGTGCAGGCCTCTACCCTGACGGCAGAACAGTCTGCTGGGGCCTGGCCCAGACCGGGTCACCGTTTGACTTGCGGGAAGGGGGGACTTTGGCACTGTCTGGGGGATCCTAGCCTTTCCTGAATCAAGTTTGCTGAAACTGACCTAGAGGACAGCATTGGGACACAGCAGAAATCCCTATGTCCCAGCTGCTCCACTTTTTTTTTTTTAAGATTTATTTGAAAGTCAGAGTTACACAAAGGAGAGGCAGAGAGAGGTCTTCCATGCGCTGGTTCACTCCCCAGATGGCTGCAATGGCCAGAGCTATGCTGATCCGAAGCCAGGAGCCAGGAGCTTCTTCCTGTCTCCCACAGCAGGGACCCAAGGAGCTGGGCCATCTTCCACTGCTTTGCCAGGCCACAGCAGAGAGCTGGATCGAAGTGGAGCAGCCGGGTCTAGAACTGGTGCCCATATGGGATGCCAGCCCTGCAGGCGGCAGCTTTACCAGCTACGCCATCGCACTGGCCCCCGTTCCACTTCTGATCCAGCTCCCTGCTAATGGCCTGGCAAAGCAGCAAAGGACAGCCCAAGCGCTTGGTGAAGTTCCTGGCTCCTGGCTCTGCCTACCCCAGGCTGCTGTGGCCATTTCGGGAGTGAGCCAGAGGATGGAAAGATCTTTTGTCTCTCCTTCTCTAACTTTATTAAAAATTAAAAGTAATAATAATAAACAAATCCCATCAGAAAACGGCTGCTTTAGGGGTTCAAGGCCACTCCCAGAGGCCACCTCAGCCCTCCTGGTGGTGGAGACTGGCCCCCGGTTTTGGGACCTGCTGAGACCACACTCAGCTGCTCTGGTCAGCAGCCCAGCAGCCAGTCTGGGCCCTGTCCTGCAACCCTCAGACCCACACACACAACTCCAAAGGACAGTGCAGGCCATGACCTGGACACCTCACCTGGCAGCCTAGCCACACCTCCCTCCGTGCTAGCCCAGGAGCCTCGGGTGAGCTGGCGATGTCCCAGGCACCCCGGGGGAAGCCAGTGCAGGTTGAGGGCTGGAAAGGAGGAGGCCAGGACGGACAGAAGCATCTGACACACCCTTCTCTACCTGTGCTGGGGAACCTCCCTCTTCTCCCTGAGGCCTCAGTGGGCCTCAGGGCGCACAGCGCTACGACAGGTGCGGGGAGAAGGTGGGGACTCCCCACACTTCAGGCGGCGAGGGCCCAGGGGCAGCAGGCCCCCTCCAGCAGGCCCCCGGGGGCCGCTGTGGGGAAGACACTGAAGCTGGAGGGCCGGAGCCTCCACTCGGCTGCCACCAGCAGTGCCCTCGGGCCCGCTGCCAGCCCCTGCAATGCCCGGCCGTGCCTCCCACTCTACCTGCAGGACTTTCCCGAACAGGCAGGGGTGTGGAAGTGGGAGGACCAGCACCTCCCCGACGCACCCCAGAGGAAACTTTGACTGTGCTGGACCCTCTCCCAGAGGGAAAACACGATGAGACCGAGTCTCCACTGAGGGGCCCACCCCGGCCGCTGGGCAGCAGGTGGCAAGGCCAGGACCTTGACCAGCCCCAGTCCCCCGAGCAAAGAAGCACACACACGGCCCGGCTCACACTTTACTCGTCCCCAGCCCCACAAGCCCGGCAGGTGCTGCCCAGACCGCGGGGCCCTGCCTGGGCAAGGCTCCGCCGGGCGCCAAACCTCTTAGGACAAAGGCACCCGCCTGGGGCTGAGTGGCCGGCACCTGAAAACCAGGGGCTCTCACTGTCCACAGATGGCCCTCACGGTCACCCCAGGCTCTGTGCCCGCAGCACACACGGCTGGTCAAAACCGCTGAGCCTGGTGGTCGGGCCCGGGAGGGTCACTTGCTGCTGGCTCTCTTCCGCATCACCACGGGCTCCGCCAGCACCTGCTGCTGTAGCTGCTGAACCAGCTCCTCCACGTAGACCTTGAACAGCGGAACAGGGGCCTGGGGGGGACAGTGAAGACAGTGAGGGGCCTGGGGGGGGACAGTGAAGACAGTGAGGGGGCCTGGGGGGGGACAGTGAAGACAGTGAGGGGTCTGGGGGGGGACAGTGAAGACAGTGAGGGGGCCTGGGGGGGGACAGTGAAGACAGTGAGGGGGCCTGGGGGGGGACAGTGAAGACAGTGAGGGGCCTGGGGGGGACAGTGAAGACAGTGAGGGGTCTGGGGGGGGACAGTGAAGACAGTGAGGGGGCCTGGGGGACAGTGAAGACAGTGAGGGGCCTGGGGGGGGACAGTGAAGACAGTGAGGGGTCTGGGGGGGGACAGTGAAGACAGTGAGGGGGCCTGGGGGGACAGCGAAGACAGTGAGGGGCCTGGGGGGGGACAGTGAAGACAGTGAGGGGGCCTGAGGCGGACAGTGAAGACAGTGAGGGGCCTGGGGGGGGGACAGTGAAGACAGTGAGGGGCCTGGGGGGGACAGTGAAGACAGTGAGGGGCCTGGGGGGGACAGTGAAGACAGTGAGGGGCCTGGGGGGGACAGTGAAGACAGTGAGGGGCCTGGGGGGGGACAGTGAAGACAGTGAGGGGCCTGGGGGGGACAGTGAAGACAGTGAGGGGCCTGGGGGGGGACAGTGAAGACAGTGAGGGGCCTGGGGGGGGACAGTGAAGACAGTGAGGGGCCCTGGGGGGGGACAGTGAAGACAGTGAGGGGGCCTGGGGGGGACAGTGAAGACAGTGAGGGGGCCTGGGGGGGACAGTGAAGACAGTGAGGGGCCTGGGGGGGGACAGTGAAGACAGTGAGGGGCCTGGGGGGGGGACAGTGAAGACAGTGAGGGGCCTGGGGGGGACAGTGAAGACAGTGAGGGGCCTGGGGGGGACAGTGAAGACAGTGAGGGGCCTGGGGGGGGACAGTGAAGACAGTGAGGGGCCCTGGGGGGGGACAGTGAAGACAGTGAGGGGGCCTGGGGGGGGACAGTGAAGACAGTGAGGGGGCCTGGGGGGACAGTGAAGACAGTGAGGGGCCTGGGGGGGGACAGTGAAGACAGTGAGGGGCCTGGGGGGGGGACAGTGAAGACAGTGAGGGGCCTGGGGGGGACAGTGAAGGACAGTGAGGGGCCTGGGGGGGGACAGTGAAGACAGTGAGGGGCCCTGGGGGGGGACAGTGAAGACAGTGAGGGGCCCTGGGGGGGGACAGTGAAGACAGTGAGGGGGCCTGGGGGGGGGGACAGTGAAGACAGTGAGGGGCCTGGGGGGAGCAGTGAGGACAGTGAGGGGCCTGGGGGACAGTGAAGACAGTGAGGGGCCTGGGGGGGACAGTGAAGACAGTGAGGGGGCCTGGGGGGGACAGTGAAGACAGTGAGGGGCCTGGGGGGACAGTGAAGACAGTGAGGGGGCCTGGGGGGGGACAGTGAAGACAGTGAGGGGCCTGGGGGGGACAGTGAAGACAGCGAGGGGCCCTGGGGGGGGACAGTGAAGACAGTGAGGGGGCCTGGGGGGGACAGTGAAGACAGTGAGGGGGCCTGGGGGGGACAGTGAAGACAGTGAAGGGGCCTGGGGGGGGGACAGTGAAGACAGTGAGGGGGCCTGGGGGGGGGACAGCGAAGACAGTGAGGGGCCTGGGGGGGACAGTGAAGACAGTGAGGGGCCTGGGGGGGACAGTGAAGACAGTGAGGGGGCCTGGGGGGGGACAGTGAAGACAGTGAGGGGGCCTGGGGGGGGACAGTGAAGACAGTGAGGGGGCCTGGGGGGACAGTGAAGACAGTGAGGGGGCCTGGGGGGGGACAGTGAAGACAGTGAGGGGGCCTGGGGGGGACAGTGAAGACAGTGAGGGGCCTGGGGGGACAGTGAAGACAGTGAGGGGGCCTGGGGGGGACAGTGAAGACAGTGAGGGGCCTGGGGGGGACAGTGAAGACAGCGAGGGGCCCTGGGGGGGGACAGTGAAGACAGTGAGGGGGCCTGGGGGGGACAGTGAAGACAGTGAGGGGGCCTGGGGGGGGACAGTGAAGACAGTGAGGGGGCCTGGGGGGGACAGTGAAGACAGTGAAGGGGCCTGGGGGGGGGACAGTGAAGACAGTGAGGGGGCCTGGGGGGGGGACAGCGAAGACAGTGAGGGGCCTGGGGGGGACAGTGAAGACAGTGAGGGGCCTGGGGGGGACAGTGAAGACAGTGAGGGGCCTGGGGGGGACAGTGAAGACAGTGAGGGGGCCTGGGGGGGGACAGTGAAGACAGTGAGGGGCCTGGGGGGGACAGTGAAGACAGTGAGGGGCCTGGGGGGGACAGTGAAGACAGTGAGGGGCCTGGGGGGGACAGTGAAGACAGTGAGGGGGTCTGGGGGGGGACAGTGAAGACAGTGAGGGGGCCTGGGGGGGACATTGAAGACAGTGAGGGGGCCTGGGGGGGACAGTGAAGACAGTGAGGGGCCTGGGGGGGGGACAGCGAAGACAGTGAGGGGCCTGGGGGGGACAGTGAAGACAGTGAGGGGCCTGGGGGGGACAGTGAAGACAGTGAGGGGCCTGGGGGGGACAGTGAAGACAGTGAGGGGGCCTGGGGGGGGGACAGTGAAGACAGTGAGGGGGCCTGGGGGGGACAGTGAAGACAGTGAGGGGGTCTGGGGGGGGACAGTGAAGACAGTGAGGGGGCCTGGGGGGGACATTGAAGACAGTGAGGGGGCCTGGGGGGGACAGTGAAGACAGTGAGGGGCCTGGGGGGGGGGACAGTGAAGACAGTGAGGGGCCTGGGGGGACAGTGAAGACAGTGAGGGGGCCTGGGGGGGACAGTGAAGACAGTGAGGGGGCCTGGGGGGGACAGTGAAGACAGTGAGGGGCCTGGGGGGGACAGTGAAGACAGTGAGGGGGCCTGGGGGGGGGACAGTGAAGACAGTGAGGGGGCCTGGGGGGGACAGTGAAGACAGTGAGGGGGTCTGGGGGGGGACAGTGAAGACAGTGAGGGGGCCTGGGGGGGACATTGAAGACAGTGAGGGGGCCTGGGGGGGACAGTGAAGACAGTGAGGGGCCTGGGGGGGGGGACAGTGAAGACAGTGAGGGGCCTGGGGGGGGACAGTGAAGACAGTGAGGGGGCCTGGGGGGGACAGTGAAGACAGTGAGGGGGCCTGGGGGGGACAGTGAAGACAGTGAGGGGCCTGGGGGGGGACAGTGAAGACAGTGAGGGGGCCTGGGGGGGACAGTGAAGACAGTGAGGGGGCCTGGGGGGGACAGTGAAGACAGTGAGGGGCCTGGGGGGACAGTGAAGACAGTGAGGGGGCCTGGGGGGGACAGTGAAGACAGTGAGGGGGCCTGGGGGGGGACAGTGAAGACAGTGAGGGACCTGGGGGGGACAGTGAAGACAGTGAGGGGCCTGGGGGGGACAGTGAAGACAGTGAGGGGCCTGGGGGGGGACAGTGAAGACAGTGAGGGGGCCTGGGGGGGGACAGTGAAGACAGTGAGGGGGCCTGGGGGGGACAGTGAAGACAGTGAGGGGGCCTGGGGGGACAGTGAAGACAGTGAGGGGCCCTGGGGGGGGACAGTGAAGACAGTGAGGGGGTCTGGGGGGACAGTGCTGCAGTGAGGGGATCTGGGGGGGACAGTGAAGACAGTGAGGGGGTCTGGGGGGGACAGTGAAGACAGTGAGGGGATCTGGCGGGGACAGTGAAGACAGTGAGGGGGCCTGGGGGGGACAGTGAAGATAGTGAGGGGCCTGGGGGGGGGGACAGCAAAGACAGTGAGGGGGCCTGGGAGGGACAGTGAAGACAGTGAGGGGGCCTGGGGGGACAGTGAAGAAAGTGAGGGGCCCTGGGGGGGACAGTGAAGACAGTGAGGGGCCTGGGGGGGACAGTGAAGACAGTGAGGGGCCTGGGGGGGGACAGTGAAGACAGTGAGGGGGCCTGGGGGGGGACAGTGAAGACAGTGAGGGGGCCTGGGGGGGACAGTGAAGACAGTGAGGGGGCCTGGGGGGGACAGTGAAGACAGTGAGGGGGCCTGGGGGGGGACAGTGAAGACAGTGAGGGGGCCTGGGGGGGACAGTGAAGACAGTGAGGGGGGCTGGGGGGGGACAGTGAAGACAGTGAGGGGGCCTGGGGGGGAAAGTGAAGACAGTGAGGGGCCTGGGGGGGACAGTGAAGACAGTGAGGGTCCTGGGGGGGACAGTGAAGACGGTGTCGCAGTGAGGGTCCTGGGGGGGGGGGGACAGTGAAGACGGTGTCGCAGTGAGGGTCCTGGGGGGGACAGTGCTGCAGTGAGGGGGCCCTGGGGGGGCAGGGCCGCGGTGAGCGGGGTGGCTGAGTGGCAAGGGCGGTCAAGCCATGAGGCCCTGGCTCCAGGACCACACACTCTACCCCCAACCCTCCAGGGCCACACAGGGGCAGCCAGGCCCTGCCACGGAGGCTGTCGGCTGCCACAAGCTGCTTCCTTCTAGGGAAGATACAGACGAAGGACACTCAGGGCAGGAGGAGGCTGTGCTGCAGGGGCCGTGCCTTGCTGCCCCCGCCCTCCACAGCGTCCAGCGGCCGGCACCCACCTTCTCTTCCAGCAGCCGCTGCTTCTCCACCGCCTCCTCCAGCGTCAGGCCGACCCACTCGGCCTCAGCCTCTGGGATGGCAAACTCCTGGGCAGGCAGAGGCACGGGCACGGTGAGGGCCGGGCCCAGCCAGCAACGCAGGGAGCAGGTGCACCGGGCGGGGAGCGCACCTTGTACTTGTCGTAGATGGCCGCCCGGCGCTGGGGGTCGTCTGGGTGCAGCTGGGGGTCCTGCCGGGCGAGTCTCAGCAGCATTGCTCGTCGCAGGTCCATCCCGAACTTGGAGCACAGGTCCTCCTTCGGGGTCTGGCAGGAGGGCGACATGGAGCCGAGGGTGGACGGCAGGGCCCAGCCCCACCCACCGACTCCTTTCCAGCAGCCAGAGGCCCAAGGCCAGGCCTGGCAGTGGGGTCAGGACAGAGGCAGAGCCCCGAGCAGGGAAGGGGGCCGACCTGCCCACTCAGGCCCCACCGGCAAACCAGCCACACACAGCCCCCGCCCCGCCCCGGCGCTGCCCAGCTAGGGGCGTGGCTCCACTCGGCACCTTCCAGGGACCTCGGCCCAGGACACCAGCCTGCCCCGCTGCGCCCTGACGGCCCCCACTTGCCTTCAGGATGTAGAAGTCGAACCCGTAGGCCTCGTCTATGAGATCCAGAGTCCGCATGGTCACCGTCACGGTGAACGTCTTGTCCAGGATCTCGCTGTAGAGCTCACGCTGAAGCAGCTGGGGCTTCCACACCTTCCTCACCCTCTTGGAGAGCTGGGGCAGGCAAGCAGTTTGCCCCCAAGGCACGTTCCTCGCGCATGCACCGAGGCCCAGGGCGCAGCCCTCCTCCCGCCCCAGGGATGCGGGTCTCAGACGCGGCGGGGCTCACGGGGACCCGGGGACCCACAGCACAGCAGGCCTCGGGACGCAGCCTCGGCCGGGCAGGCGGCCTGGCGCTGAGGGTCTCCCGGCCTCCCTGGCCGCGCCGAGGGAGCCACGCCGGCCGCCGGCCGCCGCCCTCCGCCCTCGTGCCCCGCAGCCGGCCGGGCGGCGCTCACCCACCTTGTCGTCGCCCACGTATCTGTAGCCCAGGATCCAGCCCTCGCCGCCCCACAGCCCCCGCTGCGACTCCGGCGGGAAGTGCACGGGGACCGGGACGTCCTGCACACGCTCCCGCTGCCCGTTCTTGGGGTTGATCCTGAACTTGGCGCCGCAGGGCCGGTAGTGCACGGGCGCGGGCGTCCGCGCCTCCTCCAGGGAGCGCAGGTAGTGCGCGGGCAGCCGGGCGTAGATGCCCTCCCGCAGCCGGAGCCGCCTCCACAAGCCGACCGGGAACTTGTGCAGGGGCATCGCGGCGACCCCCGCCCCGCCTGTCGGAGCGCTGCGCCCGGCGGCCCGCCGGAACCGGAACCGGAACTCGCGCCGGCCCGCCGGGACCTGCTCCCGCCGCTGACTGGCTGCGACGCCCGTCCGTCTGCCTCTCGTCCCACCCCCTTCCCGTACTTGGGAACCGTGAAAAATACCCCGCGGAGACAGCAGCGGCCCAAGGCACCGTCGGCAAAGTGCGGCCCAGGCGCTTCCGGCGAGCCGCGGCCGGGAGCGGTGGGCTGGCTCTCCTGCCCGCCCCGCCCCCGCCCCTTCCCCTCCCACCGCCAGGTAAGAGGCGCAGAACACACGTGGAAACTCGTTTGGCTTGAAAAATCACTGTAGAATATTAAATTCACCAATCATAGCGAAATCATCTCTACATAAAAATATATCTCAATGTCTTAGAATCTTTTACCCCGAAACGTCACATTCACGTTTCCCACGCACGAGCCTAGAAAATGCTTTGGTGGCCAAGTGCAGGGTGGCAGGGTTTGGGGAAGACACCCCGCGAAGGAAACCCCCAGCCGCCCCTTACTCTCGCCTTAGGGCGGGGCAGGGCACTGCTGCAGGGAGCCGGGGCCAGGTCTCTTGGGCCCCTCCCCAAGCACCTCAGCACCAGGGACCCACTCAAGAGGACACAGGGCGGGGCCCTGGTCCCGGGTTCCCCACCACAGGCAGGCTGGAATTCAGGCTGGGCCAGCTTCAGTGCCAGGCTCAGGCCTGCTGGGAGCCCTGGGTCTCACGTCACAGCTTCACAGGGCATGGGGCAACGGGGAATCCACATTCCTAAGCACCCCCAGGACCCCCCTCCAGGCCACTGCAGAGCAAGACCAGCCCGAAGACCGGCTCGGAGCAAACAAAGGTGCTGGGCAGGTTTATTCGGGTGCAGCCAAGCTACAAGGGCGGGCGGGCTCCTGGCCATCACGTGACCGCGTACAGCTCGTCCCGGTCGTTCCTGCAGATCTGATAGTGGCAGGGCAGCTTCTGGGCGCAGGCCCAGGGCTCTGCGTGCCGGTCGCGGGGCGGCAGCAGCAGGGCCGCGCTCCCGGCCAGCAGGATGTGCCAGATGCTGTGAGTGTAGTAATAGTTGTCGTTGGTCATCATCGACGTGTAGATGGTGATGCCCACAGAGGCCATGGAGATGCCCGGCAGCAGGTAGAAGACCCAGCGCTGCCACGAGGTGGGGTAGCATTGGTGCCGGTGCCCACAGCGGTACACCTGGGGGAGACGGCCACAGGAGTGTTGGCCCAGGGCCAGGGGTCACCGGGGACGCCAGGTCTGGGCAGCAGATCCACGAGGGCGGCTGCCCGGACGAGGCTCCGGGGCATAGGTCACCGGTCCTCAGACCCACCCAGGCCTTCGTGCCAGGCCCCCGCCCATGCGCAGTGCTGAGGCCTGGCCCAGGCTGTCGCAGCAGGACTGGGGGCATGGCCAGAACGAGGGCTAGGCAGCGCCTCCCGCCCTGGGTACTTACCCACATGGAGGCCATGATCACAAAGGCAAAGAGGCAGGGCCCCATCATGTTCCAGATGCCCCTGCGGTCCAGCTGCAAGGACATGGCGATGACCAGCGTGCCCAGTAGAAACAGGACCTGGGCAAGACACAGGGACCGCTGTGGGGTCACAGGGGATGGCACAAGCCCCAGTGAGAGCAGAGCGGAGGCGCACCGGTGTCCCCGACGGCCGGGACAGAAGCGCCCGCTCCTGCGGCTGCAGCTTTGGGGTCACTGGTGCCTCTGAGCAGAGGTGTGGCCAGGCAGGCCCCTCCGGGGGCTAGCAGGGGCTGCTCCTCCCTCAGCTAGGACACAGAGTGGACAGCCACACGTGGCAGCTCCCAGACCCCCGGTTCTGGGGGTCTCCCACCAGGCAGCCTCACCAGATGCCACCCCTACGTCTCCGCCAGAAGCCCCAGCGCACAACCTGCCGACTGCTGTTCCGCAACACTGCACTGCCCCTCACCCCTGCCCCTGGGCTCCGTGGCTGCCTCCTCAGAGCAGCACTGGGCCTGCAGTTCCCAGGCCCAGCACGGACAGCGGACACAGCTCCCAGGCACCAGACCTGCGTCCACCAGGGATCCCAGCAGCAGGTCTGGGGCAGCAGGGAGGCCCCGCCTGGGATGTAGGCCCCTCTCTGACAGGGCCCAGGGAGAAGGACTGAGGGGCCTCACCTGACCCCACCCACCACCCCTTCCCGGCTGCCCATGGCTTCTTCCAGCGGGGACACGATCCATCACAGGGGACTCGAGGTTCCCGGGGCAGTGGCCCCAGGCCCCACCTCCGTCCTGCCCTCCCTCTGTGTGGCCTCACCCCACCACCCGCCGAGCCCAGACCAGCCTCAGAGGGCACTCACGTATTTCAGGACCGTCTTCAGCCGGGCCATGCACAGGATGGTGACCCAGGTGGACACCCCGGAGCCCAGGAAGTCGCAGTACTGCAGTGTGTCATAGCTGAGGATACACAGCACGGCCTCCCCCGGCTGGTCGCAGGCGTGGTAGAACTGCGGGGCGGGACGGTGAGCGCGGCCCCGCCCTCCCGCCCCGGGCCCCGGGGAGCGCCAGGCCTACCGTGGAGAAGAACATGGTGTAGGAGTAGACGGAGGCTTCCACCAGGAAGGCGCGGTGCACCGACACCGTGATGGGCGCCAGGAACATGAGGTTGCTGAGCGTGAGCAGCAGCGCGGCCACCCTCTGCTGGGCCACCGTCTGGGCAGTGCTGTTGTCGCTGCAGCTCCACCCGCGCCAGCCTGGGGGCCGCACAAGGCCACGCGGCTGAGGGCAGGCCACGGAGGCCAGGCCGGGGACGGCCAGGGGGGACGGGCGGCTGAGGGCGGGCCACGGAGGCCGGGCCGGGGACGGCCGGGGGGACGGGCGGCTGAGGACGGGCCACGAAGGCCAGGCTGGGGACGGCCAGGGGGGACGGGCGGCTGAGGACGGGCCAAGGAGGCCAGGCCGGGGACGGCCAGGGGGGACGGGCGGCTGAGGGCCCCGCCCTCCCCAGGGCCCTGGACCCAAGCCCCTTTTGCACCCAGGAGCTCGCTGGGCAGCGGTGGGTGGGCAGTCGTGGGGCACCTGTGAGGTGGTGCAGGCAGGCGGGAGCGGGCGGGAGCCGCCGAGGCCCTCACGGTGGGGTGCCGGAGTGGGGTGGCGGGGCGGGGCGGAGGCAGTGGGCCCGCCCTCACCTGCCTTGCAGCTGCAGCCGGCATACAGGTAGCCATATCTGCGCAGCAGGAGACACTGGCCGTAGGGTCCACAGTCGTTCCAGCAGGGCACCAGGCACAGCGCGGTCTCCACGGGGACCACGGCTTGCTCACAGCCCCTGCGGGGAAGGGGCCCCGCGAAGGCTGGCTGCATGGCTGCACGGCTGCACGCACCCAGCACCGAGCCCCCCAGCCCCAGTAGCCCCCGCAGCGGCCACGGATGCAGATGGGGACTCCTTTGTCACGGCGGCCGCCGGCAGGCTGCCCGGTCACCCCACCAGGCGGCCAGTTTCCTTACTCGGGACTCCCAGGGCACAGGAGCTGCAGGGAGAGGTACCAGGTGCCAGTCTCTGGGTAGGGAACGATGAGGTTCGCGGTGAGTGATGAGGTGTTCAGCGACAAGGCATAGCCCTGGAAGAAGGCTGGGGGTCGGAAGGGCCGTCAGAGGCGTCGGGAGGGCCGTCAGAGGCGTTCAGAGCAGCCGGCCGCACACCCGACCTGCTCGGCCCACCCTACCTGTAGTGCAGCTGAAGGAGGTGTTGAAGCCGAGGAAGGGTGAGGCCATGTTCACGCAGGCCGCCACCAGGGTTCCATTGGCGATGTTGGTCTGCAAGGGGAGGCGGGGCAGGCTCAGCCCCGGCCCGGGGTGGGGGGTGGGGGGGCAGCCTGCAGCCCAGGGCCCTTCCACCTGCAGGCCCAGGTGCACGGCCCAGCCCTGGGGGAAGGCCCAGGGGCCCACACCCTCACAGACCCCTGGCCCGGGTACCTCATTGGCCTTCAGGGAGATGGTGAGGGAGCCCCCACTGTCCATGCCTGTGTTGAGGCGGAGCTGCATGAGGGAGGGTGTGGCCGAACGCACCAGCACCAGGACCCTGCCCAGGGGCTGGAAACGCACAGACATCACGTCCACGTCCTCCCGCAAGACTGGGTAGCTCGTGAGGCAGAAGGGGTCGCCGGCCACCCCGCTGACCCGGGCCAGGTCTGGGCGGCCGGAGCCAGGGGGCAGTGGGCCAGCCGTGCTGTTAGAGCTCTGGGTCAGGCTGCCCTCCATCAGGTGCTGGGAGCTCACGCTCCAGGGCCTGCAGGCTGTCACAGGGACAAAGCGGCTCAGCGCAGGGAGGCCGGGCGTCCAGGGTGCACCCGGCGCCTCCCTCCCCTTCCAGGCGGCCCACCTGTGAGGGCAGCGACGGCACGGAAGACCACCGACACATGGGGGCCTGCCAGGCTCTCGGCCATCACTTGCAGCCACTGGTCCCAGGGCGGTGAGGGCAGCAGCAGGCGGCAGGCTGGGGTGGGCCCGGTGCAGGTGAGCACCTTCTGGGAGCTGCCAGGCAAGGTGACGGAGCCGACCGTGAGGCGCACAGGGCAGCCCTGGCTCCCGTTGCACGCACAGCCTTGCAGCTCCAGCTGAAGCTCCCGGGTGTACTCGGGGACGAAGACCCTGCAGCGAGGGCGTGGGCTCAGGCTCTGGGCCCCTCCCACTCAGGGCCCTGCCCCCACCTGTGCCTGGGGTCCCAGACCCCCCCCCACTCCCACCCTGGGGGTCCGAGGGGCTGAGCATGACCCCAGAGCCGAGAGCTCGGCCTTCTCACCTACACGGGGGAGACGGAGGAACCACCACTCCACCGGAGAGAAGGGCCGGGGTCACGGGCAGACCAGGCGCACACCCCCCCGCCCTGCCTTCAGGGCCCCACTCACTTGAGGTAGCTGGGGTGGGAGAGGAGGGTCTGCGGAAGGGGCACGTCAGGCTCCACGATGGAGACCTCCACCACCCGTGTGATCAGCATGTCAGGTTGGAAGACGTAGGCACAGGTGGGAACAAAACCCTGGGAGGGAACAGGTGTGGGGTCAGGACCCCAGGCAAGGTGGGGGCAGGGCCCTGGGAGGGAACAGGTGTGAGGGTATGGGGGGGTCAGGACCCCAGGCAAGGTGGGGGCAGGGCCCTGGGAGGGAACAGGTGTGAGGGTATGGGGGGTCAGGACCCCAGGCAAGGTGGGGGCAGGGCCCTGGGAGGGAACAGGTGTGGGGGTATGGGGGGTCAGGACCCCAGGCAAGGTGGGGGCAGGGCCCTGGGAGGGAACAGGTGTGGGGGTATGGGGGGTCAGGACCCCAGGCAAGGTGGGGGCAGGGCCCTGGGAGGGAACAGGTGTGGGACGATGGGGGCGTCAGGACCCCAGGCACAGGTGGGGGCAGGGCCCTGGGAGGGAACAGGTGTGGGGGTCAGGACCCCAGGCAAGGTGGGGGCAGGGCCCTGGGAGGGAACAGGTGTGGGAGCATGGGGGCGTCAGGGACCCCAGGCAAGGTGGGGGCAGGGCCCTGGGAGGGAACAGGTGTGAGGGTACGGGGGTCAGGACCCCAGGCAAGGTGGGGGCAGGGCCCTGGGAGGGAACAGGTGTGGGAGCATGGGGGCGTCAGGGACCCCAGGCACAGGTGGGGGCAGAGCGGGATCCAGAGTGGGATGGCCAAGCCCCAAAGCAATGATGGCAGGGCCCAGGCGCCCGGGCACCCAGGCACCCCAGTCTCTGGAGGGCAGCCCCTCACCTGCACCTCGATCTTTTGGGAAGACGGGGGCAGGTGGGCAGCCACAAACCAGTCCCCAGGCGCAGGGTGGGGGACGCTGACGGAGGAGTTGCCCAGCAGCATCGTGACGTGATGGGACGGCTGCACCGCGCTGTCCTCGGGGAAGCTGGTGCCCAGCGGGTCGATGACGGGAGGGGCGCCGTAGCGGAAGTGCCTGCAGGCGAGAGCGCGGCGGCGTGAGCTGCAGGGCCGCCCGGCCAGGCGCTGGCGGAGGCAGGGCAGACACCTACACGGTGATCTCCAGCTCGGTGCACGTGTGGCCGCTGTCCCGGGACGCCTGCAGCAGCCAGCGCAGCAGCACGGTGTCCGGGGGCACGTGGAAGCGGAACAGCCTGGCGCTGCCGTACCAGCTGTAGGCGGACAGCTTCTGTGGGGCCTGTGAGAAGTGCTCGGAAACCAGCCCGGCCTCTGCGGAGACAGCCCGGCCGGCCGGCAGCCGCTGGTCACCCCGGGGCGCGGCCGGCAGCCGCTGGTCCCCCCCCCCCACGTCAGCCAGCCGCTGGTCACCCCCGGGGCAGCAGTCAGCTGCTGATCACCCACCCACGTCAGCCAGCCGCTGGTCCCCCCACGTCAGCCAGCTGCTGGTCACCCCAGGGCGCAGCAGTCAGCCAGCCGCTGGTCACCCCACATCAGCCAGCCGCTGGTCACCCCCACGGGGGGCGCAGCAGTCAGCCAGCCACTGGTCCCCCCACATCAGCCAGCCGCTGGTTGTCCCCCCACCTCCGCGCAGCAGTCAGCCAGCCGCTGGTCCCCCCACGTCAGCCAGCCGCTGGTTGTCCCCCGCCCTCCGCGCAGCCATCAGCCAGCCACTGGTCACCCCCACGTCAGCTGGTCCCCCCCAGGGCGCGGCAGTCAGCCGACCGCTACACTGGTCGTGTCCGTCCCCCCCCCCCCCCCCCCCGCGTGCAGCAGTCAGCCAGCCGGTGGTTCCCCCCCGGGGGGCGCAGCACGGGCAGGAGGCCCTCCTGCACGCAGCTGCACTCAGAGGCCTCCACAGGGGGAGGGCTGGCACCCCACTGGGTCACTGCCACCCTCCTGCCCCTGGAGGCCCCCCTGGGCTGGTCAGGGGTCCCCCCAGGCGGCTGGTCCTCCACCTGCCTTCCTGCCAGGTGCCCGGCCTTCTCACACCACAGCAGCTTCCGAAGGACACACTGGATGCCTCCCGACTGCCCCAACCTTGGAAGAGCCCCCCACCCCCGAGGACAAGAGCCCCTCCTCCCGCCGCACAGCAGCCATCGGCTCCATCCCCTGCCTGCGGCCCAACACACAGGCAGTCGGGGGAGCCAGACCTCTCTGGACACCAGGACACTCCTGCCCCCAGCTTCCTCTGAGCCTCTTGCAGCCTGGCATGGTGGTCATGCAGGCAGTCCTCCTGGACAGGCGTGGAGGCTGGAGGCCCGCTCAGGCCTGGGGCAACACAGCTGGACCACAGTCCAAGTTCCCCCTTTCCCAGAATGTCCCGCTGAGAGGGGGGGACCCCTGGCCTGCAGTGAAGTAGGGTCAGCAAACCTGCCCTGGGGATGAAGCCCTGGCCTGAGGCGCAGGGAGCAGGCAGAGGCCCGCAGCCCCCAGCCCGGGGCTCCCCGGGCCCCATCCCTGTAGCAGCTCTCGGATTCCCAGCCCAAGCCCAGGCCGGCGCAGGGACCTGCGCCCGGAATGAGCCCGGCTTTCTCTTCCTCTTTCCGGGTCCTAGTGTTCTCACAGTAGCTGAGGACAGCGTGTTCTCCCTCCAAGGTTAATGGGTGGCCAGGTGCTCCAGGGAGGAATGTGCAGTGGCCACAACAGGGCTCGGCCACCTGGGAAGCCTCACTCGGCCCAGAGCCCCCAGGAGAGGGCTGAGGGAGCGAGGGGAGCGGCTGGCCCTCCGGCCAGCCTCCTGACCGCTCTGGTCCCCCGGAGGCCCCTGGAGAAAACCAGCAGCACGATGGCCAGGCCCGTGCAGCTCCAGAGGGGCCTGGTGTGCCGGCGGGGCGGGAGGGCCATTCCAGGCTACCCAGGTGTCTGCTGACCACCAGCTCCCGCTCACCCAGCTGCTGCAGGCCCTCGGGCTGTGAGTGACAGGGAAACAAAAAAGCTGGGGCACTCGGCAGGGCACCCGGGGGCCCAAGCAGGACGGGGAGTGTGCAGCTCTGCTCATCTGCTAGGGGCAAGGCCCTGGGCCCCTCTAGCCCTGGGGCACACAGCCTGAGGGGATACCTGGAGCCCGCTGGCCTCTGCAAAGCCTCAGCAAGTACACAAGAGATAACAGACCTGCTCAAGTTCCCTAGGACCTGGCCCCCAACTCCCAGGGCCACACAGCTTGGGCCCCAGAGGACAGCCTAGGCTCCCTGTCCAATGATACCCACACTGCTTCTCGAGTCTAAGCTGTTCGTGACGTCGGGCGGGAAGGGCGAAGACCAGCCTCCGAGACACAAAGAAACCGCAACCCAGGCAGGACAGGGACCTGCTGGGGAGCCCGCCCACCCCGGCTGCAGGGGCAGCGCCACAGAGCTGCCTGGCCCTTGGCAGGCCTGACGCAGCCTCAAGGCTCCTGCCTTGTCCCACCCTGGTTCACGTGTCCGCTGATCATCCCATGGTGACCCATCACCCAGGCCTGGTCCCACGGAGGAAGAAAACAGGGTGGCAGAATCCTGCCAAGCAACGTGATCGGGAGTTGGATCCTCAGGGAAATCTACCTTCCGTCTGGAGCTGCGCCAAGCTCAGAAACCATAAGGCACAGCCCTGGGAAGAAACCCGGGCTCAGAGGAGCCGCGCGGGCTCCCGAGGCAGGCAGCAGAGGGGCACCGCCGCCCACTGCCCCGGGGCATCCTGGTGGTCCAGGGGCCTCTGGGCCCTCCCAGCCCGCCAGGTCAAAGGCGCCCCAGGGAGTTCCAGGGTGTTGCAGCCAGAGGAAGGCACTCCTCACCCGCAGGTGCCAGGGCCTGGCTGTCCACGCCTCAGTGCCTGCCCCAAGCTGAACCCGGAAGGGAGCACCCTCTCTGATCCAGCCACCTGCACTTCGGTCAGGCAACAGACAAAGGGATGCCAGCAAGTTGCCCCCACACCTCTCCCACTCCGCCCCCCAGCACCAAGAAGGGGGCCTGGCGACCCCACCGCCCGGCCACTCTCCCCACGGGGCCGCCCAGCAGTTGCAACCCCCGACGCCCCCAAGTGTGCCAAGGTCGTTCCCGACCCGAACGCATCAGCAGGTGCAGCCCGCGGACAGCCCAGCCCCGCTGCGGGGCGTCCTCTCCACCCCGACCACCTGGACACGGGCTGCTCCTTGAGGGGCTGCCCTGCGCCCCCAACCCGCGACGGGAACCCAGGCCCCGCGCCTGCGCCAGGTGAGCGCACAGGCGCCCCCAGGGGAGTCACAATCCCGGCCCCGCCCCCGCCGCTCCCCGCCCCGCGCCCCTCGCCGGCGCTCGCGGGTTCTCGCTCGCTCACCGCTCCTCCAGCTGTCGCCGGCGGCAGCAGGCGGGGGCCGAGCGAGCAGCAGCAGCAGCAGCGGGCCCGCCACCGCCACCGCCGCGCCCCCGGCCCCGGTGCCAGCCCGGCCCATGGCTCAGCGCTCGGCCGGCGCTACCCGGCCCGCGTCCCCGGCTGCCCGCCCCCGCCGCCGCCCGGGCAGCCCCCGCCGCCAGTGCGGCCGCCGCCGCCGCCGCCGCCGCAGCCTCTGCCCGGGCCTCCCATGGCCCAGCCGGTCCCAGTCGCCGGCGCCCCGGGCACTTCCGCCTGCGCGGCCCCGCCCCGCAGGGCGCCGGCCGGCCGGGCGGGGCGCGGGGCGGGGAGGCCGTGCGGGGCTAGCGGGTCCGCGGGCGGACGCGCGGCGCGGGGTGAGGTGGGGACCGAGCGGCGCCCGAGAGGCGGTGGAAGGGAGGTTGCGCGCACCGAGCGGGGCCGAGTCACGCGGGACGGAGAGGGGGCGTGCGGGGCACAGTGGGTGCGCGGGGCAGTGGCGCGGGCCGGCGGGGAGCGCACGAGGCAGTCACGCGGGATGCAAGGGGGGTGCGGCGGTCACGGGACGGAGAGGCCTCGCGGGCACGCGATGGACTGCGCAGGGGATGCCAGGCGGCGGGGCACCTGAGAACCCCTGGGACTTCCTCCTGGAGCGCGAACCTGCGCGTGTGAGGCCGGGGTCGCGGGATAGGCCGCCTGCGGCCCCAGAGCCACGCAATCAGCGCCCGGAGCTGGGAAGGAACACTTTCAAGGAAAGATAAAAAAAAAAAAAATTCCTTTCTACCCGGGAATATGGTGCGCAGACACGGCGGCGGGGCCCCGCAGTGAGCCCTGGGTCCCGATCGGGTTAAAGATCGAAGCCTCAGGAAGGAACCGCAAACGCGCTAGGGGAACCTGCGAAGGGAGCTGAGGAGTAAATGCATGGAGAAGACAAGTTCTCTGCGGAAGGAGCGTCATAAACACAGTCTAAAATAGTCCACGTGAGGGGCAGGGGAGGGGACCGGCTTTGCTTGTCACAAAGGGCTGACCTTGATAGGGTGAGGTTCTTCGTGAAGATTTATTAGGAAGGCAGAGTTAGATCCACCACCCGCTGGTTCACTCCCCAAATGGCCCCAAACCGGGCACTGGGTCTGGGCAGGCAGAAGCCGGAGCCCAGGACTCCATCCCGGTGTCCCATGAGGGTACAGGCTTGTGCTGCGGCTTCCCCAGGTGCACTAGCAAGGAGCTGAATCCCAAGTGGAGCGACCAGGACTCGAACCTGTGCTCCTGAGGGGTGAGAGTGGCTTAGGCCGCTGCACCTCAACGCGGGCCCCAAAACTAGCGGTGCCAGGAGGAGAGCTGAGACCAACCCAGCGGAGACCGGACGCCTCCCACAGAGATGCAGATGGGCCGGCGCTGGCATCCACCCCTCCTACAGACATGCAAATGTCCGGCCCTAGGGTTGCTTGCGTTCTTCCCCTGGAATGGCGAGGGTGAGCCCACAGACGCTCATTTTTCGTGGGGAGCCACACGGGAGCCCAGTAGCAGGAGCGGTGGCCCTCGACTCAGGGGTGCGTGGCCGAGTCCCCCGCCCGTGCTCTCTCGCAGGAGCGCGGGCTCATCCGGAGGGCTGTCGCCTGGACCTTGGTCATCAGCTTCATAGGGCAGTCAAAGCTGGGGCTGTCCATGCGGCCGCGCGTGCCCAAAGGGAAGGTCAGGAGGCGCCTGTGCTGTTGGCCTGGTCTCCCAGATGTACTACTGGCTGAAGAGGGACGGGCGGGGGAGGCACGTCTTGTGTCACAAGGCACAGAAGGCCTCTGGGACAATCCCGCAGCAGCTTACCTGGGTTGACCCTGAGGGAGGGGACCAGGTCTCTGCCTGGGGGAGGGGGCGCTGACCTCACAAGCCCACAGCCACTGGTGGCCAGAGGAGGGGAGGTGGAGGACAATGGACTGGGGGGATCACGCCCCAGAATCTGGGCTGGGCCCTCCTCACCCCCGACCACAGGGGCTCCCAGTGGTACCGTGCGCGAGTGTGGCTAAGGGGAAAGCGAGATCTCTTGGTCCAAAATGTGCTCTTCCCCCGAACACGTCAGCAGGGGGAGTTTTGAATGGACAAGTGGGACCGGTGTCCTGGCATAGCAGGTGAAGCCGCCGTCTGCAGTGCTGACGTCCCTTGTGGGTGCTGGACTGAGGTCTGGCTGCTCCACTTCCAATCCAGATCACCCACGTGAAGACCCGGAAGAAGCTCCTGACTCCGGCCAGGCCCTCTGGGGAGGGAACCAGCAGCGATGGAAGCTCGCTTTTGCTCGCTCGCTCTCTCTCTGACTTTCAAATAAATAATGAGGGTCCATCCAGCTCCACCAGGGAAGCCCGGGGCGGGGGGCACCGAGGGTGGGGCTCCGCATCGTGGGTGGAAACTCCTTTGTTAGCTGGTGCAAGTCCACCGTTCCGATCTCCTCCCTCAGGAGGCTCCTTTCTTGTAAGATTCTATTTATTTATTTGAGAGGTAGAGTTACAGACAGAGAGAAGGAGAAATAGAGGACATGTATTCCATCCACTGGTTCCCTCCCCAAATGGCCGGAGCCATGCCGATCTGAAGCCTGGAGCCAGGAGCTTCTTCCAGGTCTCCCACGTGGGTGCAGGGGCCCAGAGACTTGGACCATCTTCCACTGCTTTCCCAGGGCACAGCACAAAGCCGGATTGGCCGGATTCTGTCCCGGTTGCCCCTCTTCCAGGCCAGCTCTCTGCTGTGGCCAGGGAGTGCAGTGGAGGATGGCCCAAGTGCTTGGGCCCTGCACCCCATGGGAGACCAGGAGGAGCACCTGGCTCCTGCCATCGGATCAGCGCGGTGCGCCGGCCGCAGCGCGCCAGCCGCGGCGGCCATTGGAGGGTGAACCAATGGCAAAGGAAGACCTTTCTCTCTGTCTCTCTCTCACTGTCCACTCCGCCTGTCAAAAAATAAATAAATAAATAAATAAATAAATAAATAAATAAATAATTAAAAAAAAAAAAAGCCGGATTGGAAGAGGAGCATCTGGGACTAGAACCAGCATTCAAATAGGATGCCAGCGCCACAGGTGGAGGCCCAGCCTACCACACCACAGCACCACCACCCCCGGAAGGTTTTGTTATGCAAATGTTACCATTCACCAGGCTAAACGCAGGTAATTCACAATACCGGAAGCTGGGTTTTATTATATAAGATAAGAAAAAAAGGGCAAGGAAAGGAAGGTGCTTTGATTAGGGCCACAGCGGGCCCCACGCCGATCTCAGCATGGAGGCCAGGCTGTCAGTCACCCCCTGGCTTTGCTGAGCACCCCGCGGCATCCACCCACCGAGTCGACGGCTGTGGTCAGCACCAAGGCCTGGAAATGTTCCGTCCGAGATCATGTTCTGGCCCGGGCCAGGCTTGGCGGGTCGTTGGACACCAGCCTGCGAGGGGGCTGAAGAAAAAGGGCATTCCTGTGTGCTGGAACACAGACAGCTGTGCGCCGGCCAGCAGTGACTCATCCAGTCTCACTGTTGATAACCGTGTGTGTGTGTGGGGGGGGGTGGTCCCAGCCCTCTCCAGAGGACGGCAGGGGGGGTCCTCCCTGCCCCACACCCTTGGGGCTGAAAGGGGGGGGATTTCAGGAACTTCACGCCCTCCACCTAGTCGTATCCCAGAAGCAGCAGGTGGTTCACCACGGGGGCGGGCAGAAGGGGGCAGGTCTGCGGATCTGCAGCCCTGAAAGGCTGAGACGCTGGGGCGCCGCCCGCTCCGCCAGGTGCACCCTGACTGCCGCTCTGTGTCACGTCCGAATCCTTTCTTGCCTGAGGACAAGCAGCTCTCTGCCTTTCACAGAAATAGACTTTTTTAAAGCTAGCGTCCAGAAATCAGCGCACGGCCCACTCAGAGGCTGGGAGCTCAGACCAAAGCAGCACACGGCCCACTCAGAGGCTGGGAGCTCAGACCTTCCCGGCGCGGCAGGAATAGGAGCCGTCTCAGCCTTTGGAAAATGAAGGCAGAAACACAGAAATGCGATAGGCAGCAAAAGGTGTGAGGATGCCACGGGAGACGCAGGAGGAGGGGCTGGGCACAGGTCCTCAGGGTCCCCGGTGGGAGGCGGGAGGCAGCAGGTGCATCTGTGGGCACAGACGGGCGCCCTCAGGGGGATCCCAGGGAGAGTGCCTGGGGAAAGCAGGTGAAGTGTAGTGAAGGGCACAGCTGACAGCCAGGTGGGCGGCGCAGCAGACACCTGCGAGCTCCCAGCTCAGTCTGGATTCAGACCGGGGCTCCTAAGGGCAGGGGTCCAGGTCATCCCGCCGGGTCTCCCCCACCCTCTTCTGGACCAAGGTGAGGAACAGGAGAAAGCCCTCCTACACAGGCAGGCAGGATTCTCCTGGGGGGGGGGGGGGGGCTGGGACCACCCACAAGTCACTGGGTGTGGGCAGGACGCTGTAGGGTGGAATCGGGTGCTTTCTCACACGCAGGCTGACTCCAGCTTCCTGCCCAACATCGCCCCTGAAGAGAAGTTTCCAGAATCTTACGGGGTCGAATGGGCGACGGTCTGACTTCTGCGTTTCTTCCACCTGCCATGTGGGTGGAGGGCTGGGTTTGGGTGTTCTCTTGTCTGTCCTATGGTATGTGAGTGTGGCCCTGCACCAGCCGGAGGACTGGTCACAGCACCCAGCAGGACATGCATGTCCCAGGGCCATCAGGAGCTGGACGGCTTGTGTTCTGCTAGAGAAAAAACGAGCAAGGGCGTTCAGGTCAGCCTGTGTAGAGCACTGTTCTGGCCCGAGAGTCGTTCAGCCCTTAGGCAGTGCCGTGTGGGAGCCTGGCTCTGCTGCCCAGTGCTTGCCCAGTGCCCGGGCTTCCACACTGGTAACAGCACAGATGACAGGTGCTTTAGCTGGGCTGGCCTTGCTGCTCCTTTTCAGAGCAGACCACCCGCAGCTGGGCCTGCCGCCTGTCGGCTGCCACAGAACACGCCAGACGCCGGAGTGAAGGCAAAGGGCTTATGGATGGGACACCGACAGACCAGAGGGAAGGGGCGAAGAAGGAAAAGAGAGATGGAGACGCCATGTGTGCAGGAACAGGTCCTCTTGGACTTTTGCCAAGGGGCGGGCAGGGAAGTAGGAGCAGCGAATCCCACTAGAGCCGGGGTGGAGCTGACGCTGGGGTTGGGCCATGGGGCCACCCGGCTTCCAGCAATGGCGGGGGGGGCTAGAGCCTAGGATGGTGTCGGGGTGTAGATGGCGCCGTCTTACTAACACCGCCACTTCTTCCTAGCTCGCTCCTCTTCCTCCTGGTCTTGGTTAAAGTGGGCCACGGAGGCAGCCGTTGGGATGTCAGCCGGGACGGTGCTTGGTCCCATCCCTAATTCTGAAGCTTCCTTCTGCTCTCAGGCACGGCCCGAGCTGGAATCCAGTCGTGGGTCTGCTCCGACGCTGTCTCTCCCTGAGTTCGGTCGGTGCCCGGGAGGAGGGCTTTGTACTTCCAGGTGAGATCAGACACGCCAGTCGCCCCAGGCTGTCTGTCTGCCCGTGTGTTGGGGTTCTCAGGACAGGTGTGAAGCAGGGACCTGTCCACTTGCTCTGATCTACACCGTGCCAGGCAGCGCCCAGGGAAAGACCGAGGGCTGGGGATGGGACGGCGGCAGCTTTGCAGACCATCTCAGGACAGTCGCCCGGCCAGAGTCGACTGGGGGAGAGTCGGGCCTCCCTGAGGTTCCCCACGCACGAGGGAAGCTGGCTTTTGCCCTGGGTTTGCAGACTCGACCCAGGCTCACCACGTAACCCACACTCAGCCAGCTCTGTCTCTTCCCGTGGGCAGGGGGAGGGGTCAGCTCCAGACCTGGTTCCGGAAGCCGTGGCTGAGCCGGCTGCCTCTGTCCACAGCCAAACTGCGGCCAGTTTCTGAGTATGCGTGCTGGTGGTGAGTTGTGTGGCCATGAGGCCAGGGGTCCCATCTGAAAGAGGACAGAGGAGAAACGGGCAGGGGTCCCTCTCATTCAACCTCCCCACTTGGGATCCCTGGGACTTCCGGACTTGGACCACATGCAGCCCGTGGGTTGTGGGGTTAACCAGAATTAGCCGGCTTTTACCAGAGCTTACCAGGTCACCCATCTGGACTTTTGGACCTAACTAGAATTCATAGCCACTGCAGACCCTGGCTCAGCCAGCCACGGGCCTCCTCCCAGCTGGACCTCCTGGGGGCCAGGCAGTGCCTGGTCAGTCAATGTTTAGTTGGCTCAGCCTCCCTCAGTTCCCCACGCCTGCTGCCAGCGGCCAGTTCACTGCTGTTTTGCCTTCTCTTCAGCTGGAAAGATCAGAAACGCGTGTGGGTGCCAGCACTCCTAGTCCCAGGGCGGCCCAGCAGCAAGGACGCCCCAGGGGGCCACATTCCTCCCACACCCCCTGGGTGGTTAACCCTTGGTGCCTTGAGGGCTGGGCTAGCTACCTGGAGAGGGCAGGGGAGGGTTACCAGCAAGGAGGACAGGAGATAGACTGGCAACCTGTCCCAGCGCCGGCAGGCTGCAGTGGGCGTACCTCCCTGCCAGCACCTGTCGCACAACCAACAGGACTCGCAGGACAAGCCATGGCTGGCACAAGGCCCTGGGGGTCCCCCTGGAACCGCAGTGATGGTCCTGAGGGCAAAACATCAGCGTTAAACAAGTGCAGCAACGTGAGTCCATCCTCTGCTATCCCGACAGTGCCCTTGACACGGCACAAACCACTCAAAGGTCTGTCATCGCTCCAGCCAGAGACCCAGCCTCAGAAACGTCCAGGGATCTGTAAGTCTCAGTTAGAAGGTTCAGTCTGGGGCCAGCGCTGTGGTGCAGTAGGCTAAGCCTCCACCTGCAGTGCCAGCATCCCATGTGGGCACTGCTACGAGTCCCGGCTGCTCCACTTCTGATCCAGCTCTCTGCTGTGGTCTGGGAAAACAGTGGAAGATGGCCAGAGCTCTTGGGCCCCTGAGCCTGCGTGGGAGACCTGGAAGGAGCTCCTGGCTCCTGGCTTCGGATCGGCCCAGCTCTGGCCATTGTGGCCATTTGCGGAATGAACCAGCAGATGGAAGACCTCTCTCTGTCTCTCATTCCCTTTGTTTGTAACTCTGGCCCTCAAATAAATAAATAAAATCTTTAAAAGAAAAAAATTCAGCTTGGAACTTAGGTTCAAATGATTTGCTCAAAGCAAGATCTCAAAGCATTGCAAAAATAATCCTTCTAAACAGGGCTTTAACCAAAGCTATGGGCCAGACCTCATTAGAGTTAAGAAAATCATTTAAACACTTAAAAATAGATAATGTGAACTCATAATGTGAACAGATAATGTGATTCAGTTTTTCCAAGTGGTCAAGCCTCACTACAGGGGCCAGCGTTGTGGCATGGCGAGCCAAGCCGCTGCCTGGGAAGTCAGCACCCCACATGGGATGTCGCTTTCCCACGCGCATTAGCAGGGAACTGGATCAGAAGTGTAGCAGCTGGGACTTGAACCAGTGCCCACATGGGATGCTGGCACTGCAGGCGGAGGTTTAACCTGTTACACCACAACACAGGCCACCTATGTCTTTACTTTTTTAAAAAATATTTATTTTTTCATCTATTATTTTTCACTTTATGTTTCTTTGTGGGAGCAAACTGTTGAAATCTTTACTTAATGTATACTAAACTGATCTTCTGTATATTAAGAGAATCGAAAATTAATCTTGATGTGAATGGAAGGGGAGAGGGAGTGGGAAAGGGGAGGGTTGCAGGTGGGAGGGACGGTATGGGGGTGGGGGAGCCATTGTAATCCATAAGCTGTACTTTGGAAATTTATATTCATTAAATAAAAGTTTTAAAAAAATGCAAATTTGCTCTCCAAAAAAATATTTATTTTTATTTATTTGACAGGCAGAGTTACAGAGAGAGGTAGAGACAGAGAGAGAGGTCTTCCATCTGCTGGTTCACTGCCCAGATGGCCACAACGGCCGGAGCTGCACCGATCAGGAGCCAGGAGCTTCTTCTGGGTCTTCCATGTGAGCACAGGAGCCCAAAGACTTGGGCCATCTTCTACTGTTTTCCCAGGCCACAGCAGAGAGCTGGATCAGAAGAGGAGCAGCTGGGACTAGAACCGGAGCCCATATGGGATGCTGGTGCCCCAGGCCAGGGATTTAACCCGCTGCACCACAGCGCCTGCCGCTTTTCTTTAATTTTTTAAAAGATTTATTTGTAAAGATCTTTTGTTTGAAAGAGCTACAGAGAGAGGAAGAGACTGTCTCTCTCTCTCTCTCTCACACACACACACACATACACATACACACACACACAGATCTTCTATCTGCTGGATCACTCTCCCAGTGGCTCCAAGGGTCAGGGCTGGGCTAGGCTGAAACCAGGAGCTCAGAGGTTGCCCAGGGTCTCCCACGTGGGTGCAGGGACCCAAGCACTTGGGCCATCTTCTACTGCTTTCCCAGGAACATTAGCAGGGAGCTGGATCGGAAGTGGAGCAGCCGGGTCTGGAACTGGTGCACATATGGGATGCCGGCACTGCAGGTGGCGGCTTCACCTGTTACACGACCCACGTGCTTGTGCCCCTGCACCTGTGTGCACCTGCTTCTGGCTCCAGATCGGCCAAGCTCCAGCCATTGCAGCCATTTGGGGAGTGAACCAGCAGCCGAAGGGCCTCTCTCTCTCTCTCTTTCTGTAACTCTGCCTTCCAAATAAATTAATTAAGAAAAGAGGGCTGGCGCCGTGGCTCACTAGGCTAATCCTCCACCTTGCGGCGCCAGCACACCGGGTTCTAGTCCCGGTTAGGGCTCCGGATTCTGTCCCGGTTGCCCCTCTTCCAGGCCAGCTCTCTGCTGTGGCCAGGGAGTGCAGTGGAGGATGGCCCAAGTGCTTGGGCCCTGCACCCCATGGGAGACCAGGATAAGTACCTGGCTCCTGCCATCAGATCAGCGCGGTGCGCCGGCCGCAGCAGCCATTGGAGGGTGAACCAATGGCAAAGGCAGACCTTTCTCTCTGTCTTTCTCTCTCTCTCACTGTCCACTCTGCCTGTCAAAAAGAAAAAAAAAAAGAAAGAATATGGGTTGAAGTGGAAATGTGTCTGTGTGTGCTGGGGCCTGCTGGCTGGCCTTACCTCAGGTTCTCTCTCCACACCTGAACAGATTCAAAGATGGACACACAAAGCGTGTGGCAGAGCCGGATTTACGCAAAGCAAAACAGAAGTGCAACTCAGTGACCCGGTGGTGTATGACAAAGGCCAAAGAGAAACCCCTCAGGAGGCAGGACAGCCGGCAGTGCCAGTTCTGGACAGAAGCCTTCCCTCCCTGCCCTCAGAGGCACCAAGGGCAATGCTTGTCCTGGAGCCCAGCTGCTGGCAGGGCCTGGGCACCGCCCAGTTCCTTGCCCTTCTGGGAAGTCTGGAAGTGTCACGGTGCCGGGAGCATGATGGCAGTGGGTGTGTCCCCAGGGCGATTTCAGTATTATGACATTATTACGACACCCCCTGCGCCATGTTGGATATAGCTAGCTAGTGCTGGTTCGCAACATTGTAAAACCTGCGGTTTCCACCCACAGAAGGAAGTTGGTGCTGGTGCAAGGGTAGTGGAGCTGGAGCAGCCACAGAAGGGGCAGAAGGGGACTTGTCACGCGGGCCGGCCAGGATTCACCTGGAGCTGGCGCCACCGACCACCTCTCACAGGTTCGGCAAGGAGCGGTCAGAGCCCAGCTCCTCCCCCGAGCTGCCCATCTTCTCACACAGGGGAGGCCTGGCTGGCGTTCCTGGCTCCTGGTTTTGGACTGGCTCAGCCCTGGTTATTGTGGCCTTCTGGGGAGTGAACAGTGAATGGAACTTCTTTCTCTCTGGCTCAGAATTTCAAGTAAGTGGTCGATCCTGGGGCTGGCGTTATTGGGCGGCAGGTTGAAGCACACTCCAGTGCCGGGCGAGGCCCGGCTGCTCTGCCTCTGCTCCCCGCTGACGCGCTGGGAAGGCAGCAGAAGCCGGGCTAGGTGCTTGGGGCTGCTGTCAGCTGGGAAGTTAGGGGTTGGCTTCTGTGCGTACGAGGGGCCTGGGGAGCACAGTGCCCGCGGGGAGGAAGGCGGCACGCTCAGAAGCAGCCCCGTTTTCACACGACCAAGCCCGCCCAGGCGGGTAAAGCTGCCGCCTGCAGCTCCAGCATCCCATGTGGGCACCAGTTCGAGTCCTGCTCTCTGCTAATGCACCTGGGAAAGCAGTGGCAGATGACCCAAGTACCTGGGCCCCTGCAGCCACGTGGGAGGTCCAGAGGAAGCTCCTTGCTTCAGCCTGGCCCAGCCCTGGCCATTGCGGCCATTTAGGGAGTGAACCAGTGAATGGAAGACCTCTCTCCCCACCCCACCCCCCGCCTCTCCTTCTCTGAACTCTGCCTTTCAAATAAGTAGATAAATCTTAAATAAAAAATAATGACAAAGCCCTGCCCATAGCCCAGTAACTTCACAGGTGCTCACAGGATTCTCCTGTGCTTGGTGCCAAGTGGGCTACGCAGTCTGAAAACGCAGAGTCATAAAACATTAAGAGGGATTTTGCCTATTTCACATCCAGCAAAACTTTTGTCCATGAGAAGGGGGCAGAGGGAGGAGAGCCTGGCATCATGGCGTAGTGGATAAAGCCATCGCCTGCAACACCAGAATCCCAAGTAGGTGCTGGGTTGAGTCCCAGTTGCTCTACTTATTTATTCATTCATTTTTAAAATTTTACTTGTTTTAATCAAGTAATGTAGCTGCTGGAAACAGGGACTTTTAAGACAGTTCAATAGAGCAAAGTGAAGGACTGCAAGGATTGCTCTGTTAGGATACCCTCCCTGAATAAAATTCCGTGGACTACGTGAATTCGAATTCCATGGAAATTTGGCGCCAGACTGAGCATTAGTCCAAGCCAAAGTTTTCCCGCTAGTGTTGAGAAGCCCTACACACGTTTTCTCCAGGTGGAAGCAGAAGCTCCGGAACAGAACCTGATCAGCGACACTGCCGTGCGCAGCGCAGCGGAGGCACCAGGTTCTCCTGCCGTCTCTCGGCCCCGGCGAGGCGACCGGTGCGCCTGCAGCTCCGCTCTCCGGGGTGGCACAGCACATTCCGCCCAGGGATACGGCTCCTGTTCCACTCAGCAGACCCACCAAAGGCAGTTGTAAATAAATAAGATTCTAGGCTTCAGTTCCTCAAACCATCAAGCTCACACGGTTTTATTTGATCAAATGTTTGTATACTTGCAACGTGAAAAGTTTTTTACAGACACTTGTTAAAGTCTCATAATCTGAGATGGGTCACAGGAAATAAGGAAACGCTGTGAAAACCCTGCAGCGCAGGCTTACCCCCAGCTCCCAGCTCCCAGCTCCCAGCTCCCGCCGGGCCCTCCTGCAGAGAGGAAGCAGCACGGCCAACTTCATCTTGAGGAGGATTGCTCAAGTGTAGTCGGATCCAGTGAGTCCATTAGCTGACGGGCAAGGAATCCTCCCACAGGACCAACCCAAGCCCTGCAGGGCCGCAGGCCCAGTCACCCGCACTCGGAGCCAGCGTCCCAGACCTCTGGGTGCCTGCCTGGATTCAACGTGAAGTAAAAGTATCCCACGTCTTCCACCGAAATAGAGGCGCTGACTTAGACACGTGCTCTTAACCTTGTTTTAAAGTAAGACAGGAAGAAAATCAAGTTTGAAACACATAACTTATTTTTTAAAAATATTTTTTAAATTGATTTATTTGAGAGGTAGAGTTAGAGACAGTGAGAGGGAGAAACAGAGAGAGAGGTCTTCTGTCCCTTGGTTCAATCCCCAAATGGCCGCAACGGTCGGAGCTGCGCTGATCCGAAGCCAGGAGCCAGGTGCTTCTCCTGGTCTCCATGGGTGCAGGGCCCAAGGACCCGGGCCATCCTCCACTGCCCTCCTGGGCCACAGCAGAGAGCTGGCCTGGAAGAGGGGCACCCGGGACAGAATCCAGCGCCCACGTGGGATGCTGGTGCTGCAGACTGGGGCTTTCACCCAGTGCGCCACAGCAGCAGCCCAGAGGTAAAGCTTTACTGTATTTCTTAGCGGCTGAATAAGGTCGTTACAAATACGTAGGCTTACACTCTGAAGACCTCCTTATGGTCTGAGACCTAACAATGCACCACAGGCTCCAAGAATCCTATCAGGTTAAATGATGTACATTTTACAAAGCAGCCAACGACTTCAGCCACAGGCCCTCAGAGCCGAGTCTTTATTCTTGTTAACTGCATAAACGTGATCCCAACGTGGATCCATCACTAGTTTTTCCAAAAGAAACATGCTGTAAAATGAGCAACCTACATCCGCTCCCTGGTGACGGCTCATCGGGCTTAGTTACGGATCCCTCACGGTGACAGATTCTAGCAGAAAGTGCGGCACGATGCTAAGCTATTCAGCTTCCGCACACACGTTGCGCTTCTGGCTGATAACGCAGAAAAAGGTGCAGCGTCAAGGTCAACGTCCTCGTCCTCATGCCCCGGCAGCCTCCGAATACTCCACCTCTGTTCCCGTCTTCACCCCAGAACTCCTCCTCTGCCTCCTTCAACCTGTGATGGGGGTTCTGCTCCGGCAGTCTCCTGGGCAAGCTCTTCTGAGACGGAGCTCTGACCTCTCCAAGGCTGCATCCTTCAGCACGCCTGGAGTGCTGGCGGTGCGGCTGCTCCCCCTCACCCACTCCCCGCTCTGGCCTGGGAGAGCAGCCGAAGCCGCCCACGTGCTTGGACCCCTGCCCCCACAGGGGAGACCCGCGGCAGCTCCCGGCTGCCCACTGCAGCCATCTGGGAAGTGAACCAGCGGATGGTCCTCGCTCTAATTCTTTCAAGTAAATAAATCCTTTAAAAGAGAGAGCTGTCTTCCATCTTCCCACCTGCTGGTTCACTCCCAAAGCAGCCGCAGCAGCCAGGTCTGAGCCAGGCTGAAGCCAGGGGTCGGACTTTCCATCTGGGTCTCCCTCATGGATGGGAGCGTGAAGTGTGCACGGAGGCCTTCACTCAAATTGTTTTTAAGTGAGGCTTACACGATCAACACAGGTGTTCCGTTATAGAAACAGAGTGGGCGGGGGGGGGGCAGTACACGAAGAACCAGGTACTCAGCCCTGAGCACCCCCGGGGGACCTGGCTCCTGGCTTTGGTCTGGCCCAGCCCTGGCTGCTGAGGGCGTGTGGGGAGTGAGCCAGAGGATGCACGCTCTCTCACCCCCCTCTGCGTTGCTCTTTCAAATAAATCATACAAAGGGATAAACTGAAAAAGGAAATACCTTGAGATGACTGAGAACAGAGGCTCGTGGAGGACATTCGGAGGGCAGGAGTACCGCTAGAGCCTGCTCCGCGGGGATTTGCAGCCGTCAGTGCCTATATTTAGAATGTAAGTGGACGCCCTAACCTTGGAAACACCGGTCACTGCTGTCCAGCGATGCCCTGGGGGCTCCAGCCAGAGCGGCCACGGGAAAACGAGATAACGGGCATGGGGTAGAGAAGGCGGAAGTGACACGCATGTTTCCACATGACACGCGTGGAAAACTCCGGGGAATGTACCAAAGACTGGCATGAGGATCAGTAGGCGCACGCGGTCAGGCCGCAGGCTCAACATAGCCACTGAGCCAACAACCCCTGTGCACGCGCAGGAGACTGGGTCAATGGCTCCTCAAAAACGCGCCGAGAGCCCTCAGGGTCACCACGACGCGCCGCCGCGGCTGCGGCCGGGGGCTCCGGCACGCGCCGAGACGCGGGAAAAGGCGGGCCCGGGCACCCGCCGCCGCCCTGCAGGTGGAGCGCGGCCGCCCGTGCCTCTCCGGGCCGGGTTTCCTGGCCGCAGCCCCGGAGACGCGCGGCAGGAGCTCTTCCCGCGCGTCCCCGGGCTCGGCGGGAGCGCGCGGGCGGCCGGGCGGGCGGGCGCCATGGGCGGCCTCTTCGGGCGCGCGGCGCTGCGGCGGCTCCTGTGCGGTCCGCGCGCGCCGCGGCGCCCCTGCTCGGGTGAGTGGGCGCCTGCTCGCGGCCGGGCGGCGCCGCGGGCCCGGGGCTGCCGGGGGAGGCCGTGCCCAGCGGAGCGGAGCGCCCAGAGGGGCCGCGTGCGCGCGGCCGGGGCCCGGGGTCGGCGCACGCGGCCGCAACCCCGCCGGGCCCTCCCGGTCCTCTCTCTGTCCGGGTCGCGGGCCTGCGGCGGCTCGGGGAGCCAGCCTCGGCGGCGGGGGCTTCGGCCCGCTCGCGGGCTGCGGTTAGCTTTGTCTGCTGGGCACCCAGGCGGCTCCGGCGCCCTTTGTGTGGGACATCCAGCGGCTGGGCTCCTCTTACAAGCACGCTTTGGCCTGAGCCCGTGAGGGCGGTGAGGACGTCTCCCTGGCTGGGCAGACCTCAGGCCTGCCCTGGGCTGGGAACCCCACAGTGGGCAGGCCTGCGAGGAGGAGCCCCCGACTCTCCCCAGCTGCCAGCCAGGAATCCTTGCCCAGCGCCTGTGGCCCACCTGCTGGGGGAGGGGCCATTCCTTCGCCCCAAACCTCAGGGTGTAGACAGTGTCTGTGGTCACCGAAGGGCTTTGCTGCCAGTGCAGCAGCTCCAGACCGCCCGGGAGCTGGCCTGTGTCCCTGGCACGCTGACGGGCCTTCTCAGGGGGAGCAGGTCCCTCTCGGGCAGCGAAAGCCAAGGCCCCTGAGACCCCGAGACCCGCTGGAAGCCCCCAATCCAGAGCTGCGTGCAGAGAGGCAGACGCCCGGAAGCCTGGTGACACCTGGGCCCTGGCACGGCGGCCCAGGCTGCAGGGACAGGGATCGGTGAGCTGTTGGCAGCCCTGACCCCTCCTCTTTTAAAGGAGAGCCCTCCTGGGCCCGGGAGCGGACCCTGGTCGCGGTGAAGCCGGATGGGGTTCAGCGGCGGCTCGTGGGCGAGGTGATCCAGCGCTTTGAGAGACGAGGCTTCAGGCTGGTGGGGATGAAGATGCTGCAGGTGTCGGGGCTGGGCCTGGGGGCTTCCCTGAGGTCGGGGGGGGGGGGGGGGGCTCGGGGGCACTGCTCCGCCCTGCACGACTGGGCCTGGGGGCATCCCTGGGGTCGGGGGGGCTCAGGGGCACTGCTCCGCCCTGCACGACTGGGCCTGGGGGCTTCCCTGGGGGGGGGCACTGCTCCGCCCTGCACGACTGGGCCTGGGGGCATCCCTGGGGTGGGGGGTGGGGCTCAGGGGCACTGCTCCGCCCTGCACGACTGGGCCTGGGGGCATCCCTGGGGTCGGGGGGCTCAGGGGCACTGCTCTGCCCTGCACGACTGGGCCTGGGGGCTTCCCTGGGGTCGGGGGGCTCAGGGGCACTGCTCCGCCCTGCACGACTGGGCCTGGGGGCATCCCTGGGGTCGGGGGGGCTCAGGGGCACTGCTCCGCCCTGCACGACTGGGCCTGGGGGCATCCCTGGGGTCGGGGGGGCTCAGGGGCACTGCTCCGCCCTGCACGACTGGGCCTGGGGGCATCCCTGGGGTCAGGGCGGCTCAGGGGCACTGCTCTGCCCTGCACGACTGGGCCTGGGGGCTTCCCTGGGGTCGGGGGGCTCGGGGGCACTGCTCCGCCCTGCACGACTGGGCCTGGGGGCTTCCCTGGGGTGGGGGGGGCACTGCTCTGCCCTGCACGACTGGGCCTGGGGGCTTCCCTGGGGTCGGGGGGCTCAGGGGCACTGCTCCGCCCTGCACGACTGGGCCTGGGGGCATCCCTGGGGTCGGGGGGGGGGTGCTCAGGGGCACTGCTCCGCCCTGCACGACTCTGGGCAGTGGCAGGGAGTGTTGGGGCGTGGGGGCTGGAAGGGCAAGAGGCTGTGGACGCTCCCGGAGCTCTGAGTTCTCCCCACCGCTACCCAGGTGCCCGAGAGCGTCCTCGCGGAGCACTACCAGGACCTGCAGGGGAAGCCGTTCTACCCAGCCCTCATCCGCTACATGAGCTCCGGGCCTGTGGTGGCCATGGTACGGCGGGCAGAGGCGGAGAGGGTGCCCGTGGGTGCTTCCCACCCCGCCCTAACCTTTGTCTGCTGCAGGTCTGGGAGGGCCACAATGTGGTGCGCGCCTCAAGGGTCATGATAGGAAACACCGACTCCTGCGAGGCCGCGCCCGGCACCATCCGGGGCGACTTCAGCATCCACATCAGCAGGTACGGGGCCCTGGCTCCGGGGCCACCGCTGCAGGGGACACGCGCCACTCTTGGGCGGGTGCTGGATGTCCTTGAGGTCAGCCGGCCCAGCTCCCTCACGGCAGGACCACGCAGGATTCCCCTGTGCTGCAGGTCCTCTGCATCACTGTTATCCCAGGGGTCGGCATGCAAAGGCTAGGAGGAAAATGAGGCTGGGGTCTGGGAGGTGTGGCTGGAAGCCAGCTCTCCAGCTCCCGTCACTGCTGTCCCCTCTGCACACCTCCCAGCTTGCTCCCCTAGACAGAGGGGGGGCAGCAGACTGTCCTGAGACCCCCGGGGCACACTGGAGCCTGAACCTTTCTGCCTGTCGCCTGGCACAGGAACGTCATCCATGCCAGTGACTCTGTGGAGGGGGCCCAGAGAGAGATCCGGCTGTGGTTCCGGAGTGGTGAGCTGCTGGACTGGGTGGCTGGGGACCACCAGAGCTGCACCTCTCCAGCCTGAGGGCCCACGCTGCCCCTGGACGCTTCAGTGGCCACCCAGGACCAACTACCTCGGTCAACAAGAACTCAGGCCACACCCACACCTGACTACCCCAGCCACTTCCTGTTCCCCTTCTGCCCAGAGGAGTTTGAACCCCAAGTTTACGTGCCTTTCCACAGCTGAAGCCAGCCCAAGATTGGACCCAGAGCACCTTCGGGGGGTCCTGAGGGGGGACCTCTCTCTCCCAGAGGAGACATTAAAGTTCACTGTGGCCTATGTGGTGCTGGTGCCGTGCCGTCTGTCTCGGGCAGGCCCACGGGGCAGTGGTGGTGCCGTGCCGTCTGTCTCGGGCAGGCCCATGGGGCAGTGGTAGTGCCGTGCCGTCTGTCTCGGGCAGGCCCACGCGGTGGTGGAGCTCACCATGACGTCTGTCTCGGGCAGGCCCACGCGGCGGTGGTAGTGGTGCCGTGCCGTCTGCCTTGGGCAGGCCCACGCGGTGGTGGTGCCGTGCCGTCTGTCTCAGGCAGGCCCACGCGGCGGTGGTAGTGGTGCCGTGCCGTCTGTCTCAGGCAGGCCCACGCGGCGGTGGTAGTGGTGCCGTGCCGTCTGTCTCAGGCAGGCCCATGCGGCAGTGGTAGTGGTGCCGTGCCGTCTGCCTTGGGCAGGCCCACGCGGTGGTGGTGCCGTGCCGTCTGTCTCAGGCAGGCCCACGCGGCGGTGGTAGTGGTGCCGTGCCGTCTGTCTCAGGCAGGCCCACGCGGCGGTGGTAGTGGTGCCGTGCCGTCTGTCTCAGGCAGGCCCATGCGGCAGTGGTAGTGGTGCCGTGCCGTCTGCCTTGGGCAGGCCCACGCGGTGGTGGTGCTGTGACATCTGTCTCGGACAGGCCCACGCGGTCGTGGTGCCGTGCCGTCTGTCTCAGGCAGGCCCACGTGGCGGTGGTGCCTTGACGTCTGCTGTCTCAGCGGCAGGAAGAACACTGCTATGCAAGTCTGATTAAGTTTTGTTTTTTTTTTTTTAAAGCTTATTTATTTGAAAGGCGGAGCAAAAGAGATTTTCCATCCACTGGTTCGTGCCTCAAATGTTCACAACGGCTGAGGCTGGGCCAGGCCAAAGCAGGAGTGTGGGACTCCATCCAGGTCTCCGCCTGGGTGGCAGGGGCCCAGGTGCTGCCCCGCAGGGTGCCCGTCGCTGGGATTTCAGCCGGGCACGCCGGCACGGCAGTGGGTGTTCGGGTGTTCAAGCAGCAGCTTCGCCTGTACCCCCTGTCTCTCTGCCGTGTTGCTGACGCGCCTGCGCCCTGCAGACCAGCACTGGCCCTGCTTGAGCCCGCGTGAGGACCCAGCGGCAGCCCCGTGGCTGGAACCGGCTCTGCTGGCCCGGGAGGGAGCAGCTTTTCTCCCGGAGGCCTCCCCTGGCTGTTGGCTTCCTGTGCCCCCGGAAGCCGGGTGCGCCGATGCCGAGTGCCGTGAGTTAACGTGCCTGCTGTGAGCAGTGCGGGCTTCTGCACGGTACGTGTGTCTTACCACACGCTCGCAACGAGGCAGTGCCTGCCGCTCACCAGCCGCTGTGGTCTGCTGACCGGTGACAGCCCTTCCACGCGGCTGCGACACTGCGGCAGCCTTAACCTAGCCCTGACACCGGGGTTGTAGTGTGCCTTCGTACTGATGATCTCAAGACAACCGCAAAAGTATTGCTTTTGCATATCCCCACCTCCATATTACCCTAAAAGGACTACGTTCCTAAGAAACAAATTGCCTTAATTTCTCTAAATATTCAAAAACAGAAAGAACAGAAGGCAACTCGATATTCATAAAATGAGAAGTGGTAGGTTTTCCTTTAGTTCCTTTTTAAATAAAATTTTAGATTTCTTTTTTTTTTTTTTAAAAAGATTTATTATTTGAAAGGCAGTTAGAAAGAGAGAGAGAGAGAGAGAGAGAGAGAGAGAGAGAGAGAGGTCTTCCATCCGCTGGTTCACTCCCCAAATGGCTGCAACAGCTGGAGCTGCGCCGATCCGAAGCCAGGAGCCAGGAGCTTGTCTCTGGGTCTCCCACGTGGTGCAGGGGCCCAGGGACCTGGGCCATCTCCCACTGCTCTCCCAGGCCACAGCAGAGAGCTGGATCGGAAGTGGAGCGGCCAGGACTAGAACTGGCGCCCATATGGGATGCCAGCACTGCAGGCGGCGGCTTCACCCGCTACACCACAGCGCCGGCCCCTGTTTTCATTGATTTTCAGCTCAAGACTATTCTATATTCATGACAACATTCCCTGTGCCTACAACAGACTTTGGCACACACGAGGGAAAAAGCTACTCAGCGGCTTTTCCGGTGGACAGGAGCACGAGTGGTCAGTATCTGGATTACTGCCTTCACTGGCACAGGCAGGTGACCTGACCCCTCCCGGCTGGTAAAGCACCGAGCTTCCTGTTCCAGCAAGGGCCAGAGACCTCCAAACATGTCTATTTCAACTTCAAGACATAACAAAGTCTTTAAATACAACCGGTTTGTTGTCAAAACTGGTTTTCATCAGCAAATGCCTTCCAAGTCAGCCACTCTGCACAAGGGATGTGACAGCTCAAAGACGAGCACTGGGGGTGGGGGGCCGGCGCTGTGATGTGGCAGGTGAAGCCGCTGCCTGCAGTGCCCGCATCCCCTACGGGCGCTGGTTCGAGGCCCGGCGACTCCACTCCGATCCAGCTCTCTAAACAGGTGCAGGTGGCGACCCCGGCGCCCACCAGGGACCAGCTGTGCTGACTCTGCAGGGCCAGAGCCCGGCTCCGAGCTGGCCCGGCCTGGGCCGCAGAGCCCCTACTCCGGCCTCCCGGTGCACAGCTCCAGACGCTGGAAGAGGCCCCGCCACCGCGCCGCACCTCTGGCGGGGTACACGCTCCCCAGGTTTATTTAGATGTTTTTTTTTTTCGTTTTTCGAATTTGAAGGGCAGAGAAAGAGAGCCCGGCAGAGATCGCCACCCCCAGGCTGACTCCCCAAGTGCTGAGCCAGCAGCTGCAGGCGGGTCTCGCGTGGGAAGCCGGCGTGCGACACTGCAGTGAGCGCTGCCGGCTCCCAAGCGGCACCCTAGCCGCCACGCCGGGCTCCTAGGAGGAGTGCTGGAGAGGCACAGACCTCCACGCTCGGCATCAGGTCTGGGGGTCTGGGCTGGGGTCGCAGGATCCTGCAGGGTCGCACACGGCCGGAGCCGGCGCCGGCGCCGGCGCCCGGTTCCAGGACCTGCCAGCTGTGCTGTGAAGGCCGGACGGTCCCCAGGCGTCCATCCTCGTCCGCTCTCAGGTCCGGCGCTGACAGACGTTTCTGGAACCAGAGGTGGCGACTGGGCGGCTCAGCACAGGCACAAGCCCGGCACCGAGCGATAGCGGCCCGCGGCGGAGCCCCGCCCACCTCAGCTCCGCCCCCGCTCGCCTGAGCTCCGCCTCCGCCCTGCCCCCGTCTCGCCTCAGCTCCGCCTCCGCTTCAGCTCCGCCTCCGCCTGAGCTCCGCCCCACTTCAGCTCCGCCCCGCCACGCCTCAGCTCCGCCTCCGCCTGAGCTCCGCCCCACTTCAGCTCCACCCCGCCCCGGCTCAGCTCCGCCTCCGCCCTGCCCCCGTCCCGCCTCAGCTCCGCCTCCGCCTGAGCTCCGCCCCACTTCAGCACCGCCCCGCCTCAGCTCCGCCTCCGCCTCTGTCTCAGCCCCGCCCCCGCCTCAGCCCCTCGCTTCGCCTCATCTTTCTGTTCCCCGCCCCAGCTCCGCCTCCGCCCTGCCACCGTCCCGCCTCAGCTCCGCCTCTGCTTCAGCTCCGCCTGTGCCTGAGCTCCGCCCCACTTCAGCTCCGCCCCGTCCCGCCTCAGCTTTACCTCCGCCTCTGTCTCAGCCCCGCCCCCGCCTCAGCCCCGCCCCTGCCCCTCGCTTCGCCTCCTCTTTCTGGTCCCCGCCTCAGCTCCGCCCCGCCCGGCCCCGCCTCCGCTGCAGTGCGCCTGCGCAGAGAGCTTCCCGGGCTCTGGCTGGACCGCGGTGGTCGCTGTCTCGGCGCGCTCCGGCGTCATGGCTCAGCCGCCTCCCGACGTGGAGGGGGACGACTGTCTCCCTGAGTACCGCCACCTCTTCTGCCCGGACCTGCTCCGGTGAGCCCGGCGCAGAGAGGACCTGGGACCGTGGGGCGGGCGGGGCGCGCGGGGCGCGCGGACCGGTGTCCGGCAGCCCTGGGGACCGCGGCGGGCCGGGGGCCGCCTCGGCTCTCTCCACGGAGCATGTCGGGTTGGAAGCAGTGTTCCCCAGGAAGCCTGGAAGGCCCGGCCGTTTCGTGGAAGCCCTGCGTGCGCCTCGCCACGGGGCTGGGTCAAAGTGCCAGTGGAGGGCCAAAGTCCTGCGCTGGCCGCCAGCCGCCTTCGACTTACCTATTGGGAAGGCAGAGTGCCAGAGGGAAGTGGAGACTCTGCGTTGGCCAGTTCGCTTCCCAAATGGCAGCATCGGCCGAAGCCAGGAGCCTGGGCGGGTCTCCCCGGGGGTGCAGGGGCCCAAGCACTTGGGACTCCGGGCGCTGGCAGGGAGCCGGATGGGAAGCGGAGCAGCCCGGGCTCGAATGAGCACCCCACTTAGTCTGGCCACGGCGCCGCCCAGCGGGGGCCTTCGTAAGGAGCCTTCTTCCTGTCTCAGGGATCAGGTGGCCTTCATCACGGGTGGTGGCTCCGGGATCGGGTTCCGGATCGCGGAGGTTTTCATGCGGTAAGTAGACGTGGCGGTCCCTCCCCGACCCTGGCTTCGAGCTGGGCAGGGTGCAGCGGGGAGGGTTAGGGGTCTGGTGCCTTAGTGGGTCGGGGAGGCGGCCAATGCTGCTCTGAGGTCGGCTGGGACTCTGGGTTCTCCCTGACATCACTGGGGACTGAGCCCTGGCCTTGGAGCTGCAGCACTCTTGAGACACAAGTTCTGTGCCCTCGGGCTGGGGTCTGCCACTCGTCCCTCACCGCGCAGAGGCCCGGCGCTAGGAGGCGCCCGCTGTGGCCCCCGGGGCCCCTGCTTTTCGTATGTCAGAGCTTTCGGGACTCCTCTGTCCCTGGGCCGCCGTCCGTCCAGCAGATGGTTCTGTGCGTGGCCACCGCACTCAGGCTGCTCCAGAGTTGGGTGGGACGGTGAGTTTCCTGCGAGATGGTTGGGCAGTGGGAGCTGTGAGGCTGAGTTTGTCAGGAGGTGGGCAGGCGAGCACCCTGAGTGGGCCTCTGTGGGTGGGGCTCACCGGGGCACCCAGGAGGCCCTGTGCAGCTCTCGGGCCTGGTGTTGGTGGCCCACAGCCACCCTGTGGTGTGCGTGTGTGTTGGCACTGGCATGCTTGTGTGGCTGACACTGCTCGAACAGCCTAGCCCGAAGACCTGGAACGCGTGGCCAGCCCCGCCCAGCCCCTGTGCCTCTGCCGCCCTGCCTGCAGCCCTGGCTGTGCTCCCACCTAAGGCCCTTTGGGGGAGCCCTGCTCGGAGCGCCCGGCGGCGTCCTCACGCCCTGTGTCTGGTTTTGCAGGCATGGCTGCCACACAGTCATCGCCAGCAGGAGCCTGCCGAGAGTGTTGACGGTGAGAGGGCCTCTCCTGTGGCCATCCACGGGCAGCTGTGGGCGTCCTGAGCCTGGGCTGGGAGGTCCCGAGACCCAGGAGTTGGTGATGCCCGGATGTGCTCCTCTCTCAACCATGGAACCTCAGAGTGGCCTCCGGGAGACACCTTGGCTTTTTAAGAACTCAAATTATTGGGTCCTCGGATTGGGGTGGTGTGGCCCCAGGAGAGGTCTCTCTGGGCTCTTCAGAATTATGAAGCTGGCCCACAAGGTTTGGGAACAGGTTGGCCTCTCTGGTCGCTGCTGGTCTTGGCAGGGACTGGGAGTCAGCTAGAATAGCCGCTGATGGTGTCCCGAACTTTGCGGCAGGTGGCAGGTGGGCGTAGAGAGCACAGGATGTCCTGACGAACGTCCAGCAGGGCTCGTGCCCCGGGGAGTGGCCTCCCCAGCCCTGAGGCTCTGGGGGACCTTGGATGGGTCATTCTCAGCTGACTCAGAAAGCCTGTCGTCCGGGCCAGGCCGCTGGGCTGGCCTCCACCGCTCTTCCTGTCCGCCTTCCAGGCTGCCAAGAAGCTGGCCGCTGCCACCGGCCGGCGCTGCTTGCCTCTGTCTGTGGACGTCCGAGATGCCCCAGGCGTCATGGCTGCCGTGGACCAGGCTCTGCAAGAGTTTGGCAAAGTCGACATTCTCGTTAACTGTGAGTCGGCCAGGGGCTTCTGAAGGGCCAGCAGTGCCCTGACCCTGGCGCTGGGGTAGGGTCTGGCCCAGAGAGCCTCGGCGCCTGCCCCAGGCTCAGCTGCACCTGTTCCATCCGTGTGCCTGGCTCTGGCCTGTATCTCAGGCTTGCTGTTTTTGGGTGATCAGTCAACAGAGCCTCAGCTGCAGTAGGTGCCCTACAAGCAGCTAAATGCGAGTCAGGACGCCTGTGTCCTGAACGTCTCTGTTACAGTAACGACCACTACAGGGCCCTCGTGGTGGTGAAGCTGGTGAAGCCGCCTTTGGCATCCCCATGCCATCTCTCAGTGCCAGTGAGACCTGGCGCCTGTCTCTGACCCCGCTTCCTACTAACACCTGGGAAGGCAGCGGATGATGGCCCGGATGAACAGTTTAAAAAAGGGATGGGTGGGCCGTTAAGACCCTGCTTGGGATGCCTGCCTCCCGTCTTGGAGTGCCTGGGTTCACGTGTGGGCTCTGCTCCTGACTCGCTTCCCAGCGGTGCGCGTGCAGGCATGCACCAGGTGATGGCCTGCATAGGAGATCTGGATTCATTTCCTGGCCCTTGACTTTGGTTTGGCCCAGCCCTGGCTATTGTAGGCATTTGTAGGGTGAACCAGTGAAAGGAAAATTTGTCTCTGTCTCTTCTCTTTCATCCTGTATGGGCACTGGGTTCTAGACCCGGCTGCCCCTCTTCCAGGCCAGCTCTCTGCTGTGGCCCGGTAGGCAGTGGAGGATGGCCCAGGTGCTTGGGCCCTGCACCCCATGGGAGACCAGGAGAAGCACCTGGCTCCTGGCTTCGGATCGGTACAGCTCCAGCTGTGGCGGCCATTTGGGGAGTGAACCAACAGAAAGAAGACCTTTCTCTCCATCTCTCTCACTGTCTGTAAACTCTGTCAAATAAGTAATCACTTTTTTTAAATACAGATTTACAGAATACTCAAACAGGTAGTACATGGAATTCCACATACCCATGCCATAGTTTCCCCTATTCCCCCTCCCCCCCTCCCCCCCTCCCCTCCCCTCCCCTCCCCTCCCCTCCCTTCCCTTCCCTTCCCTTCCCTTTCCTTTCCCTCTTTCTCTAAGATTGATTTATTTGTTGAAGAAGAGGTAGAGAAAGAGAGGTATCTTCCATCAGCTAGTTCATGCCTCAGATGGTTGCAATAGCCAAGTCAGGCTGAAGCCAGGACCCAGGAACTCCATCCTGGTCTCCCACATGGGTGGCAGGGACCCAAGTACGTGGGCCATCACCTGGTTCCTTTTCGAGTACGTCAGCAGGAAGCTGGATCAGAAGCAGAGCGCCCGGGACTTGAACTGGCGCTCCAGTACGGATGCAGGCATCCCAAGCAGTGGTCCCACCCCGCGCGCCACGCTGACTCCAGTGACTCCTCTTCTCAGCATCTTGTATGTGTTGAGTGAGTGAACCAGTGCTGTGTTATTAACTGTAGCCCGCAGCTGACGTTCAGGTGCCCTCTTTGCTAGAACTTCCCTTTGAAAGCGTCCTGTTTTTAGCTCCCTGGGCTAAGAGCACTGCAGCTGGGTTGGTGAGGACAGAGATGTGATCTCTCAGTTCTAGGACTTAAGAAAATCTAGAATCAGGGCATTGGCAAGCGGTGTGCTCTCTGGGGCTCCAGGGGAGACTGTCCTGTGTCTTTCTTTCAATTATTTATCGGAGACAGAGAGAGCGAGCGAGCGAGTGAGCGAGAGCTCCCATTCACTAGTTCATTCCCTAAATGCTTAAATGGCCAGGGCTGGCCTGGGCCAAAGCTGGGGGTCAGAAATGGTGTCCAGGTCTCCCAGGTGGTGGCAGGACCAGGTGCAGGTCCCGCGCCATCACCGCTGCCTCCCACTGTGCAGGAGCGGGGGCTGCGCAGGAGCCCATCCAGATACTCAGGCACACTCCCACGGCACTCACGGGCGGCCCACCCTTGACTCTGTCCTGCCTGTGGCCTGTGGCCTGGGCTTGGCTTCCACCATGGCCGATGCTGCTTGGCATTTCTGGGCTCGTGGACAAAGCACTGCACTGACCGTGTACACCTGGCGTTCTGTGTGTCCTTGTGCCCCTCACAGCCCCTCCCCCGTCCTTGTGTCCCCCACAGCCCCTCCCCCGTGTGTCCTTGTGTCCCCCACAGCCCCTCCCCCGCGTCCTGTGCCCCTCACAGCCCCTCCCCCGTGTGTCCTTGTGCCCCCACAGCCCCTCCCCCGTCCTTGTGTCCCCCCACAGCCCCTCCCCCGTGTGTCCTTGTGTCCCCCCACAGCCCCTCCCCCGTGTGTCCTCCCACAGCCCCTCCCCCGCGTCCTGTGTCCCCTCACAGCCCCTCCCCCTCCCCGCGTCCTGTGTCCCCCCACAGCCCCTCCCCGGTGTGTCCTTGTGTCCCCCCACAGCCCCTCCCCCACATCCTGTGTCCCCTCACAGCCCCTCCCCCACGTCCTGTGTCCCCTCACAGCCCCTCCCCCGCATCCTGTGCCCCTCACAGCCCCTCCCCCGTGTGTCCTTGTGCCCCCACAGCCCCTCCCCCGTCCTTGTGTCCCCCCACAGCCCCTCCCCCGTGTGTCCTTGTGTCCCCCCACAGCCCCTCCCCCACATCCTGTGTCCCCCCACAGCCCCTCCCCGTGTGTCCTCCCACAGCCCCTCCCCCGCGTCCTGTGTCCCCTCACAGCCCCTCCCCCTCCCCGCGTCCTGTGTCCCCCACAGCCCCTCCCCGGTGTGTCCTTGTGTCCCCCCACAGCCCCTCCCCCACATCCTGTGTCCCCTCACAGCCCCTCCCCCGCGTCCTGTGTCCCCTCACAGTCCCTCCCCCACGTCCTGTGTCCCCTCACAGCCCCTCCCCCGCGTCCTGTGTCCCGTCACAGCCCCTCCCCCGCGTCCTGTGTCCCCCCACAGCCCCTCCCCGGTGTGTCCTTGTGTCCCCCCACAGCCCCTCCCCCACATCCTGTGTCCCCTCACAGCCCCTCCCCCGCGTCCTGTGTCCCCTCACAGCCCCTCCCCACGTCCTGTGTCCCCCCACAGCCCCTCCCCCACGTCCTGTGTCCCCTCACAGCCCCTCCCCCGTGTCCTGTGTCCCCCCCACAGCCCCTCCCCCGCGTCCTGTGTCCCCTCACAGTCCCTCCCCCACGTCCTGTGTCCCCTCACAGCCCCTCCCCCACGTCCTGTGTCCCCTCACAGCCCCTCCCCCGCGTCCTGTGTCCCCTCACAGCCCCTCCCCCACGTCCTGTGTCCCGTCACAGTCCCTCCCCCACGTCCTGTGTCCCGTCACAGCCCCTCCCCCACGTCCTGTGTCCCCTCACAGCCCCTCCCCCGCGTCCTGTGTCCCCTCACAGCCCCTCCCCCGTGTGTCCTTGTGTCCCCTCACAGCCCCTCCCCCACGTCCTGTGTCCCGTCACAGTCCCTCCCCCGCGTCCTGTGTCCCCTCACAGCCCCTCCCCCACGTCCTGTGTCCCCTCACAGCCCCTCCCCCGCGTCCTGTGTCCCGTCACAGCCCCTCCCCCACGTCCTGTGTCCCGTCACAGCCCCTCCCCCACGTCCTGTGTCCCCTCACAGCCCCTCCCCCGCGTCCTGTGTCCCCTCACAGCCCCTCCCCCGTGTGTCCTTGTGTCCCCTCACAGTCCCTCCCCCACGTCCTGTGTCCCCTCACAGTCCCTCCCCCACGTCCTGTGTCCCCTCACAGCCCCTCCCCCACGTCCTGTGTCCCCTCACAGCCCCTCCCCCGCGTCCTGTGTCCCCTCACAGCCCCTCCCCCGTGTGTCCTTGTGTCCCCTCACAGTCCCTCCCCCACGTCCTGTGTCCCCTCACAGTCCCTCCCCCACGTCCTGTGTCCCCTCACAGCCCCTCCCCCACGTCCTGTGTCCTGTCACACTGCCTTCTGTGTGCTCCTCTTGTGAGAACATCAGTTACTGGGTTATCCCCCCCAATTCTGTGTCCCCACCCAGTTGATGACGTCAGTGAAGACCCAAACAAGGCCGCCAGGGTTAGGCTGCGGCGTTTCTTTGGGGGACGGAATTCTGTCGCATCGTGTTTCTCAGGAAACACCCCCACTCCTTCCCTGTCCGCCAGGCCCACCCCGGGGCCCTTTAACCCTGAACTTCCGGTAGGGGGCTGGTCACTCGTTGGCCCTCCGTCAGGGCCGCTGCCCAGTGGTGTGGCTTCTTCGCAGGGCCCTGGCACTGTTTGTCTGCTCTGCAGGCGCAGCCGGAAACTTCCTGTGCCCCGCCGGCGCGCTGTCCTTCAACGCCTTTAAGACCGTCATCGACATCGACACCATCGGCACCTTCAACGTGTCTCGCGTGCTCTACGAGAAGGTCTTCCAGGTGGGTGTTCTCCAGGTGGGTGTCCTGGCGGGGCCTCTGCTGGCCGTCTCCAGGCGGGTGTCCTCCTGGCGGGGCCCCCGCTGGCCGTCTCCAGGCGGGTGTCCTGGTGGGGCCTCTGCTGGCCGTCTCCAGGCGGGTGTCCTCCTGGCGGGGCCCCCGCTGGCCGTCTCCAGGCGGGTGTCCTGGTGGGGCCTCTGCTGGCCGTCTCCAGGCGGGTGTCCTCCTGGCGGGGCCCCCGCTGGCCGTCTCCAGGTGGGTGTCCTGGCGGGGCCCCTGCTGGCCGTCTCCAGGCGGGTGTCCTCCTGGCGGGGCCCCCGCTGGCCGTCTCCAGGTGGGGGTGTCCTCCTGGCGGGGCCCCCGCTGGCCGCCGACTCACCACCTCATCCCCGTGCCTTGCAGAACCGCGGTGGGGTGATCGTGAACATCACCGCGACCCTGGGTCTGCGGGGGCAGGTGCTCCAGGTGCACGCAGGCTCTGCGAAGGCGGCTGTGGGTACGGACGCCCCGGGTCTGCCCGCCTGGTTCCCTGACCGTCTCTGGGGCTGGCAATCTTCAGACTAGGCAGTGGAGAGGCCTGGCCTTGGTCCTGAGCCGCCCGGCAGGCAGAGGAACCCGCATTTCTCCCCATGTTCCCTCTTTCCTGCAGATGCCATGACACGGCACTTGGCGGTGGAGTGGGGGCCCCGGCACGTCCGCGTAAACAGCCTCGCCCCAGGCCCCATCAGCGGCACAGAGGGGTTACGGCGACTTGGTGAGACTCCTGGGCACCCAGTGAAGCGGCCCAAAGCCGGCAGGGTGTGTGGAGAAGCCTGTCGCTGTTGTTCGGGCTTGGTGATGCTAATGGGGCCATCACCTTTCCCAGCGTGGCTCAGGGAAGGAGCTGGCTGGTGGAGGGCCCGGGGTCCTAGGGCTCAGCGGGGCCTGAGCCTCCTGTGCTCCTCCAGGCGGGCCCCAGGCCGGCAGGAGCACCAGCGTCCCTGCGATCCCGCTGCAGCGGCTGGGGAACAAGACGGAGGTGGCCCACAGCGCGCTATACCTGGCCAGTTCCCTGTCGTCCTATGTGACCGGAGCCATGCTGGTGGTGGACGGCGGGGCATGGCTGACGCTGCCAAACCAGGCCAGGGGGCAGGTGGACTCTGCACCGCTCGCTAAGCTCTAGGTGAGGTGGGTGCCTCGCCACCCATGCCTCTTTGGGTGCTGCTGCTATGGAAGCATAGGGACCTCCTGCTCACTGCGGCCCCGGCGTGGACAGACATCCCCTCCAGGCTGTGCAGGACGTGGGGGCCAGCGCCACACGGCTTTCCCAAGGACCCTGGCTTCTGCCCGCGGTCCTGGCAGTGCTGGACATGCAGCGAGTGGTATCCGGCAGAACCCCCCCAGGGGATCTTCTGCGTGCCCGTGCCCTTGTCCTTGTCCGTCAGCGGGCACAGCTGAGCACTGACCCGAGTCTAGCGTCCAGCAGCACTCCCTGTGCCGCGGCTGCAGCTGCTGAGCAGGAGTGACCAGTGAGCCCCGCCCGCCCGCCCCCCTGCCCGCCCGCCCACCTGCCCCCCTGCCCGCCCGCCGCCCGCCCGCCCCCTTGCCCGCCTGCCCCCCTGCCCACCCGCCTGCCTGCCCCCCTGCCCGCCCGCCCCCCTGCCCGCCTGCCCACGGGCTGTCCCAGCACAGCTGCTACAGTCTTGTTCCGAAACCACATTTTCTTTTTTCAAAAGAACATCTTTTTGCTATAAAAATACCTGTTTGTTGGACTTAGCAAAAGTTTTTAGAAGACAAAGGCTGATTCCAAGAATCCCTGGAGGGGTGGGCCTCTGTCGCCGTGGTTGGGACAGCTGCGTCTCACACTGTCGTTCCTGCGTTCACGCCTCAGGCAGCAGAAGGCGGTGGCTCAGGCGTGTGGCCCGGACGCCCTCACGGAAGGAGACCCAGACAGAGCGCCCGGCTCCCGGCTCCAGCCTGGCTCTGCGGGCACTGAGGGAGCACACTGGCCTTGGAGGTACCTGTCATTGAAATAAACAATCACTGCTGAGCACATCATGTAGACGCAGCAGGTGTATTTCTTTCTTTTTCTATGACATTTAGGAAACTTGGAGCCCCAGGCAGGTACCTACTGGTCTGGGGGAGGCCCCGTGCCTCCTGCCTGCTCTGTGAACTCAGCCCTGGCATCTGCACACGGACACGGGGGGCAGCGTGGTCTCCGTCCTCCTGATCGGGAGGAGGGCGCCTGACTGACACCGTGCTCCCTGACACGCCTCTTGCTGTCCTCCCACCTCTCCATCATCCTGATTGGGAGGAGGGCGCCTGACACCGTGCTCCCTGACACGCCTCTTGCTGTCTTCCCACCTCTCCGTCCTGATCGGGAGGAGGGCGCCTGACACCGTGCTCCCTGACACGCCTCTTGCTGTCCTCCCACCTCTCCGTCCTCCTGATCGGGAGGAGGGCGCCTGACTGACACCGTGCTCCCTGACACGCCTCTTGCTGTCTTCCCACAGTTCCAGACTCAGATGTGTTCAGTTTCACTTGCTGTGAAAGAGGAGACAAAGTCGGTATCTGGGTGGAGTTCCTGAGCTGTGGACAGGTGACAGGTGCAGCCGGGTTACCTGTGTGGGAGTGTCAGAGTGGTGCACATATAACTGTCACCAGCAGTCCTGTGGCCATCACACTATAGCTGAGGCTTTAGCCAAGGCCCTTGTTCTGCCTGTCACCCCCATGACCATGTCCACAGCATGCCCATGTCTACCCTGGAGTCCGCACAAGGCCTCTGGGGGTCTCGACAAACAAGACTGAAACGTGCAGCCACATGGGGTCCGGGGTTCTTGGCCTAGTGGTTACACCTGAGTCACGTCGGAGTACCTGGGGCTGCCGCCTGCTGCCGCTTCCTAGATCCTGGGTGGCAGTGGTGAGACCTCCGGCGATCGGTCCCTGCCCCTCATGGGGACCTGCACTGACTTCGTGGCTCCTGCCTCTGGCCCCTAGCTGTGTCTTGCCACTGTGGGCACTTGGGGAGTGGATCAGTTAATGGGGAGCTCTCTGCCACCCGAATAAATAAGAATTCAGAACAAAGCAACAGGAACACAAACGTGAGCGGCTCTCTGAGACACCACACCAGTGTGCCTGCGGGGCTGTCCTGCGTCTGGGACGCGGGGCCAGAGTGACCCAGGGCTCAGACCTGAGAGGTTTGGGAACCCTCTGAGCCGTCCACAGCTCTGTCACTGGCTCCTGCCTACTTCTGCCCTGAGGGCTGGTGCTGGCAGAGGCTTCGCTAGAAAGTCATCCTGGAGCCTGACTCCTGCCCTCCCCAGCTTCCCTTGCCGACAGAAACGCCCTGGTTCCCTGTGCAGCTGGTGAGGGGGTTGGGCCCCCCCAGGAGAGGCTGCAGCCCTGGGCAAAGCCTCTTTTGAGCAGTGCACCCCTGGAATGAACCAGAAAGCCAGGGGTGCTTTTGGGAAGACGCCCTGTTTATTCCCTCAATTTCCTGTGTATCCTCCTCAAAGCGACAGGAGTTAGCAGCCTGGGTCTTGGTGCTCCAGGGAAAACCTGCTCTCCCTGTTTGAGGACCCCAGGTCACCAGGCCTGCCCGGGCCAGTGATGGCCTGTGAGCTCCTGACTGATCCCGAGCCGAGCCCCGGCGAGCAGCATGGGGCGAGGCCCCGCTCTGCGAGGAGCTGGCGCTTTGCTCGCGGTTCCGTCAGCCGGTGCAGCACTCAGTGCACTTGAGACCCTTCAGCTCGCAGCCCAGCAGGTGCGTGAGACCCCAGGGTCATCCCAGCGGAGCACCCAGCTGCTGTGTAAAGCTCACAGACCGGAGAGTGGTGGGGCCACGGCCACCAGCTGAGGAGGCAAACGGAAAAGTCCCGAACCTTGGAAACAGTTGCCAGGCGCTGTGGGAGGGAGGCGGAGGTGGCGCTGAGATCTGTGGAAGTGCCAGAGACGGGCTGTGGACCAGCCCTGCTGTTCTCCCGGGGAAGTGGCCCCGGGCTTGCCTGCCAGCCATGACAAGGCTCTGCTGCCTCTGAAGACGGTGGGAACACTGCCCCGTAATGGGGCTTGGGTAAGAGAAATAAATAGATAAATAAGAAAATAAGTGAAGGCCACCTGGCGAGACTCACTGGCGTGCTGGAAGCAGGTCCCCAGGCAGCTGCCGCCTGCTGCACACACACAGTGAAGATACCTGCTCCCCTGCACCGTACCTGGCTGCAAAAAACTGCTTTGCTCTGGCACAGCCACTGGCCCAGGATGCTGGCCTGCAGGCCTAGAATGGCCGCTGTGGGCTCTGTGGTTGCAGGTGCGCCCAGCGGGTGCCATCTGCCCAGCGCCGAGGCCGGGGAAGACAGAGGAGCAGAAGGGCCAGGTGTGTGCAGAGAGGCCGGCAGTGCCGTCGGTCCCGCCGGGCTCTGGTGGCGAAGAACTGGGCTGTGCGATTCAAAGCAGCAGTCCCTCCCTCTGGGCGGGTGAGGCGGACGCGGGGACAGCTGCGCTCCCAGTGCCTGTCATCCCCCGCTCTCTGCGGCCTCCAGCTCCCTCCACGCAGCCCTGGGCGCAGTGAGGCCTCAGGCACTCGGACCCCTGCCACCCACGCGGGAGGCCTGGATGGAGTTCCCGCCTGACCCAGCCTGGTTCTGGCTGTCGCAGGCATCTGGGGAGTAAGCCAGTGGAATGGGCGCTCACTCTGTCTCTACCTCTCAAATTAGTTTTTAAAGGTTTATTGATTTGAAATGGAGAATTAGAGAAAGAACCTTCATCTGCTAATTCACTCCACAAATGGCCACACTGCCAGGGCTGGCCAGGCCGCAGCCGGGAGCTCAGAATTCTTCCCGGTCTCCCATGCAGGCCATCTGCTGCACAGGCACGCTGGCAGGAAGCTGGACCGACAGCAGAGCGGGACTCCAGCCCAGAGATCCGAGTCCCAGGGAGCTGGGGAGCCCACAGGAAAGCTAGGAGACAGTAGACAGCGCCCAAAGATGTCGTGAGAAACACTGTCAGAAATACGGAGAATGGGGCCGGCGCTGTGGCACAGCAGGTTAAGCTGCCGTCTGCAGTGCTGGCAGCCCATATGGGCGCTGGTTTGAGTCCCATCTGCTCCACCTCTGATCCAGCTCCCTGCTAAAATGTGCTTGGAAAATCAGTGGGAGATGGCCCTAGTGCTTGGGCCCCTGCACCCCCATGGGAGATGGGCATGAAAGCCCTGGCTCCTGGCTTCGGCCTGGCCCAGCCCCCGCTGTTGCGGCCGTTTGGGGAGTGAACCAGCATACGGAAGATTTCTCTCTCTTTCCTTTTCTCTCTCGTCTGTAACTCTTTCAAATAAATAAATAAATAAATATTTAAAAAACAAAAGAAATATGGAGAATCACTCTGCAAGTGACTTGGACATGTTTGCCCAGTGGGAAGGGAGTGACAGGAGTCAGATCTGTCTTCCCTTTTGGGGCTGGTGGGGGGGAGCGCAGGGCCTGGGGGGCGCTGGAGAGACCGCCACCACTGGGAGACGAGGCAGGTGCTGAGAGTGAAATGCTAAAAAAAGAAAGTCATCCAAACCTTGGGCTGAGTCAGAGGAACGAAAGGCCTTACAAACCCGTGTTCTATTTTTACTCTGAGAAATGCATTTTCCCAAATTTGAAGGTGAGAAAAAAAATCCTTCCCCGCTGAATAAAATATCAGTAAACACATGTGGGGCTCTGTGCTGCAGCCACTGACTTTCCTGTAAGTGTACCTATTGAATAGGAAACGTCAGTCTCGTTTTCAAAATTATAAATTAAAAATACTTGGCATGGGCCAGCATTCTGGCATAGTGGGTAAAACCTGTGATGCTGGCATCCCATATGGGTGCCTGTTTAAGTGCCAGCTGCTCCACTTCCACTCCAGATCCCTGCTGATGGCCTGGGAAAGCAGCAGAAGATGGCCCAATACTTGGGCCCCTGCACCCATGTGGGAGACCCGGATGAAGCTCTTGGCACCTGGTTTTCGCCTGGCCCAGCCCTGGCTGTTGTGGTCATTTGGGGAGAGAACCAGCCGTTGGAAGATCTTTCTCTCTCTACGTAACTCTTTCAAATAAATAACAAATTTTAAAAAAGCTTGGCAGTTTTTTCTTACAGCTGAATTAGGTATAATTAATGTATGGGTCTGCTTTTGCTACTTGAGGTAAAAGAGCCAACAGGAGCTCACAGTGGGGATACAGGACCAGGGTCCCTGCAGCCTGTGCCCGACGGAGGTGGGACTCAGTAGGAGCTCACAGTGGGGATACAGGACCAGGGTCCCTGCAGCCTGTGCCCGACGGAGGTGGGACTCAGCAGTGGGGATACAGGACCAAGGTCCCTGCAGCCTGTGCCCGACGGAGGTGGGACTCAGCAGTGGGGATACAGGACCAGGGTCCCTGCAGCCTGTGCCCGACGGAGGTGGGACTCAGCAGTGGGGATACAGGACCAGGGTCCCTGCAGCCTGTGCCCGACGGAGGTGGGACTCAGCAGTGGGGATACAGGACCAGGGTCCCTGCAGCCTGTGCCTGACGGAGGTGGGACTCAGCAGTGGAGGATACAGGACCAGGGTCCCTGCAGCCTGTGCCTGACGGAGGTGGGACTCAGCAGTGGGGATACAGGACCAGGGTCCCTGCAGCCTGTGCCCGACGGAGGTGGGACTCAGCAGCCAAGCAAAAACGGAACTCAAATAGGCAGCCACCCCGTCGTGGCCTAAACACCTCCCCTCAGGCCCAGGACCAGACACCATTGCACGCAGCCTCCACCTTACTCAATCAACACGAAACTTGGGCATCTCCATGCTTTCCATTCCGGGGAGACAAATCCTGCTGTATCCATGACAACTGAAACAGGATAAGCTGTTCATGGGCAGAACATCTGACTGACACGTGTCTAGCGCTGAGAACCCATCAGCACTGCTTGACAATTGGTCCCAGCCCTGGTAGGACTCCCTCCCCCGTCCCCAACTCCTCAGCCTCACGGGACCACGTGGTGCTGTCACTACGGGTCCCTCTGCATTCCCCAGAATTCCACATAATCACAACATGTTCTCTTTTCTGTCTGGATTAAAGATTTTTTTTGAAAAGTAGGAAGTCAGGCCGGCGCCGCGGCTCACTAGGCTAATCCTCTGCCTGCGGCGCCGGAACACCGGGTTCTAGTCCCGGTCGGGGCGCCGGATTCTGTCCTGGTTGCCCCTCTTCCAGGCCAGCTCTCTGCTGTGGCCAGGGAGTGCAGTGGAGGATGGCCCAAGTGCTTGGGCCCTGCACCCCATGGGAGACCAGGAGAAGCACCTGGCTCCCAGCTTTGGATCGGTGCAGTGCTGGCCGTAGCGGCCATTTGGGGTGAACCAATGAAAGGAAGACCTTTCTCTCTGTCTCTCTCTGACTGTAAACTCTACCTGTCCAAAAAAAAAAAAAAAAAAAAAAAAAAAAAAAAAAAAAAAAGCAGTCGGAGCTAGACAAACAGGGAGGGAGCTCCCACCCTCTGGCTCAGGCCCAGATGCCAGCAACAGCTGGGGCTGGGTCAGGTGGAAGCCAGGAACCAGCTCAATCCAGGTCTCCCACGCACTTGTGCCAACACCTGCTGCCTCCAGGGTGCACTGCACAGGGCGCTGGACCTGGGAGGGCACTCCACCAGTGCACCCACCCCCACCCCCCGAGTCTTATGACCTTCTGCATAGGGGCCCTCCACTCACTGGGCTCACTGGTTCTGCAGCGGTGGTCTGGGAGGAGTGTGGTTTTGAACGCCCTCTGCTGGTGTTTTCAACATGGATGAAGGAGGCTGTCCATTCAGGATGGACACTCAGGCCCTGGAGGATGTGGCCAGACACAGGGGCTCCTGTGTGGGAGAAGAGGCCCCGTGAGGAGGGGACACCTGTCCAAAGGTGAGAACTGTAGCTGGCGCCGAGGCTCACTAGGCTAATCCTCCGCCTGCGGCACCTGCACCTGAGTTCTAGTCCCGGTCGGGGCGCCAGATTCTGTCCCGGTTGCCCCTCTTCCAGTCCAGCTCTCTGCTGTGGCCCGGGAAGGCAGTGGAGGATGGCCCAAGTGCTTGGGTGCCTGCACCCACATGGGAGACCAGGAGGGGGCGCCTGGCTCCTGGCTTCAGATCGGCACAGAGCACCAGCCACAGCGCGCTGGCTGTAGCGGCCATTTGGGGGGTGAACCAATGGAAAAGGAAGACCTTTCTCTCTGTCTCTCTCTCACTGTCTAACTCTGCCTGTCAAAAACAAACCATAAAAAAAACAAAAAACAAAACAAAACCCAAAGGTGAGAACTGTAGGAAGAGGTGTTGGGCCTGAGAGCCCCCTTTCTCAGGTGCGCATTTCCAGGCTGCTTGGTTGCCCTGCCGCTTCAAACTGAGGCCCAGCACAGGCTCCGGCAGCACAGGGCCAGCCCTCCCCCTGCTCAGCCTCCCCAGGGTACGCTGGCCCCAGCACAGGCTCCGGCAGCACAGGGCCAGCACCCCCCCTGCTCAGCCTCCCCAGGGTACGCTGGCCCCAGCACAGGCTCCGGCAGCACAGGGCCAGCCCCCCCCCTGCTCAGCCTCCCCAGGGTACGCTGGCCCCAGCACAGGCTCCGGCAGCACAGGGCCAGCCCCCCCCCTGCTCAGCCTCCCCAGGGTACGCTGGCCCCAGCACAGGCTCCGGCAGCACAGGGCCAGCCCCCCCCCTGCTCAGCCTCCCCAGGGTACGCTGGCCCCAGCACAGGCTCCGGCAGCACAGGGCCAGCCCCCCCCCTGCTCAGCCTCCCCAGGGTACGCTGGCCCCAGCACAGGCTCCGGCAGCACAGGGCCAGCCCCCCCCCTGCTCAGCCTCCCCAGGGTACGCTGGCCCCAGCACAGGCTCCGGCAGCACAGGGCCAGCCCCCCACCTGCTCAGCCTCCCCAGGGTACGCTGGCCACCTGCCCCGAAGTGTGTGGACTGAGCTTCTAGCTGCAAGGCGCCCACAAAGCTGGACGAGGGAGGCCCTGCCGCGGCACTCCTGGGAGCCTCCCTGGGAAGGGCTGCTTCACACACCTGCTTTGCTCCTGTGTCTAGGCCCCTTCCTCCACACTCAGAGGAACACAGGTTACTGCCAAATACTTGAACCAGCTGGGCCAGGCATCTGGCCTAATGGGGAAGATGCCGATTAGGATGCCTGCATCCTTGGGGCTGTGCTGCGGCAGTGGGTCAAGTTGCTGGCTACAACGCCTGCACCCCATGTGGGCACCGGTCCAATTCCCCGCTGCTCCACTTCTGATCCAGCTGCCTGCTGATGGCCTGGGAAAGCAGAAGATGGCCGAGTCCCTAGGCCCCTGCCACCCGTGTGGGAGACCGGGAGGAAGCTCCTGGCTCCTGGCTTTGGCAGACACTTGGGGAGTGAACCAGTAGATGTAAGATCTCTCACTCTGTCTCTCCCTTCTGTAATTCTTTTAAATAAAATGAATAAACCTTAAAAAGTAACAAGATGTCTGCATCCACAGCAGAGTATCTGGGTTTGAATATCACCTCTGCACTTGACACCAGCCTCCTGCTAATCCAGACCCTGGGAAGCAGTGGTGAGCCAGTAAGCGGGTTCCTGCCACCCGTGAAGCTCCTGGCTTCCAGCTTGTTTCTGCCTAGTTCAGGCCACGGTGGGCACTTAGGCTAAGCCACCATGAGATTCCAGCATCCCTTATGGGTGCTGGTTTGAGGCTTGGTTGCTCCACTTCAAGTCTAGCTTCCTGCTAGTGTGCCTGGGAGGGCAGCAGATAGCCTACGTGCTTGAGTCCTTTGCCACCTACACGAGACCTGGATGAAGTTCCCAGCTCCTGGCTTTGGCGTGCGTAGTTAAGCCACATGGGAGTTCCTGGCTACTTTGTTGTTGTTGGTAAGATTTGTTGGGCTCCGGCACAGCAGGTTCTAGTCCCGGCCAGGGTGCCGGATTCTGTCCCGGGTGCCCCTCTTCCAGGCCAGCTCTCTGCTGTGGCCCGGGAGTGCAGTGGAGGATGGCCCAAGTGCTTGGGCCCTGCACCCCATGGGAGACCAGGAGAAGCACCTGGCTCCTGGCTTCGGATCAGCACGGTGCGCCGGCCGCAGCGACCTCTGTCTCTCACTGTTCACTCTGTCAAAAAAAAAAAAAAAAAAAAAAAAAAAATCTGTTTATTTGGAAGGCAGTTGCGGAGGGAGGAGATACAGAGGGGAGCTTCCATCTGCTGGTTCACTTCCCAAGTGGCTGCCGAAGTCCCATGTGGGTGCAGGGCCCAGCACGAGAGCCGCCCTGCACTGCTCTCCCAGTTCCATCAGCACAGGGCGCTCGATCACAAGTGGAGCGGCTGGGACTTGAACCAGGAGCCTGGAAACTCCCCTCACCCTTCTCCCTCTCTCTGCTTTTCAAATAAAACGGTAAGATTTCTATTCAATGTCCTTGCTCTAAGGACATCCACAGTTCACTGAGAGATCATCTTCAGATTCTTGTAACATCCAACACTTCAGGGGCAGGAGAGCCATGGAAAAGGAAGAAAGGGCCGCCACTCGCCGAGCACACTGGGCTCCAGGCGTCAACAGCAGCAGCCGCTGAGTGCGACCCAGACACCACGGCCAATGCGCACGAGCAGGGAGAGTCCAATGCAGTCTGCTACAACCTCCGTGGATTGAGCAAATCCAGCTGGCCTGTCCCCGACCCCCTGCCCCCTCTGAGGTCTCCTGCCTCACTGTTTCCCCCCCTGTTGGCTGTGCCACCAGCCTGGCCTCAGCTTCCCCCCCCCCCCAGGCCAAAGGTCCCCAAGGAAGGGAACAAGGTGACCCACGGGCTGGCTGAGCTCCAACCCGCTGGGCGCAAGCACCTTCCGGTCACTTCCACGGAGATCGGCAGCTGGGATCTGCCCTCCCTTCCTCCAGGGTCGGGGCGGTCCGGAGGGCAGCAGGTCTGTCGCTGGGCAGCCCTGGGTCTGAACGGCTGGCCCGCGGGGGAAGGCCTGCTGCCCTGGCCTGGCGCTAGCGCTGGCACAGCGGCAGGAAAGAGCCTCCGGGTGGGCACTGGGCCGTGGGGCCCGCGTGGCAGCGCCGGCTCCGGCAAGCGCGTCCAGGTTGAATGCGGCGCTGGCCCAGCCGAGGCCTGGCTGCTGCAGGCAACTGGGGAGCACCCAGATCCCCAGCCTTCCGGGCTCTGAGCGGGGACGCCGGTCTCTCCGCTTCCATCTCCACGCAGCAAGGCGGCTCTGCACACTGTGTGCGGCCCGGGGCGGGGGGTTCTGGCCGAGCCCGGAGCAGCGGCGACCCCTCCTCTTTCTCCCCAGGGCGCGCTCTGGTTCTCCAGGGGCCCGCTCTCCCCGCCACACACTGCCCCGGGCGTCTGCGGACAGGGACGCCGGACACGCCGCGCCCCCACGGCTCCAGCCGAAGGCCGCAGCTCCGCACCCGTCACGCCGGCCCGCGGTGCGTGAGGACTCAGCCTCCGTGCAACCCGCGCGCGGCGTTTGACGCTCACCCCCCGCCGGCGCAGCTCCCTCCACGTCGCCACCGCGCGTGGGTGTGCGGCGCGCACAGGTTCGAGGCCCGTCCTCGCGCGCCCCGCGCTGGTGACTTCACGCCGGCACCCGCAGCCGCCCAACACGCAAGCTGCCGGCGCCCGAGGCCCAGAAAAGCTGGGCCGGAGTCGCCGAAAAGGCCGAAACAACCACCGACGGCGAAACCCCGCGAACACCGCCGCGGCACCGGCCGCCGCCCCCTGGCGCCCCTATTTATAGAAAGCCGGGGGGCGGGGCCGGCCGGCGCCCGGCGTGCTGACGTCAGGCCGACGGAGGGCGGGGCCGGGCGGCGGCCGCGGCGTTCGCTCCTCGGGTACCTCGGGCGCCGCATCCTCCTCAGCCGGCGCCGCCTCGGGTCCTCGCCTCGCGCGCCCCGCGCCCGGCGCCAGCTGCCGGGCTCTCGGCGTCCTCCGCGGGTGGTGCCGCGCCCGCCGCCATGGGCCCGCGCCCTCCGCGCCGCCGGGCCGAGGGCCGCTGAGGCGCGGGGCGAAGATGGGCGAGGGCGGAGCAGGGCCCGAGTGCCAGCCGGAGCAGCCCGGGCGCCCCGCGCGCGCCCGCCCGCGCCGCCGCGGGGATGCCCGCGCCCGCCGCCGCGCCCTGAGCGCCTTTGTCTGCCGCCCGCGCCGCCCGCCGTACCACTAGCCTCGCGGGCCCGCGCCGGGGCCGGGGGCGCGCCCCGCAACATGGAGCCGGGCCGGCCGGCCTCCCCTCCGGGCCCCGACTCGGAGCCGGGCGCGTCCGCCGGGCCGGCCCCGGGTCCCTCGGAGTGCGATGAGCCGGCCCCGGGGCTGGAGGACCCTCAGGACACCGGGCCGCCCAGCCGCGGTGCGCGGGGGCAGGATGCGGACGCCGGGGCCCGCCAGGCCGCCTGCCCGGAGCCCGACCCGCGTTCCGAGGTGGCACCCCCGGAGCCCGACCCGCGTTCCGAGGCGGCATCCCCGGAGCCCGACCCGCGTTCCGAGGTGGCATCCCCGGACCCCGACCCGCCTTTCTCCTGGACCAAAGGCCCGGAGGACTGTGGTCTCCCGCCGTGCCCGGAGAGCCCGTCTTTCTGCGTGCAGGCTCCGGCTCTCAGCTTCGGTGTGCGGGATGCGGCCGACCTGTTCCCCGCCTTCCCTTCGCCTGCCGTGGACGAGCTGGCGCCGGAGGAGGGTCGGGCATCCCCGGAGCAGCCCCTTCCTGGCGAGCCCGCGGGGTGTCCGGAGGACGGCCCCCGCCTGCGAGCGGTGTTCGACGCCCTGGACGGGGATGGGGACGGCTTCGTTCGCATCGAGGACTTCGTCCAGTTCGCTACGGCCTACGGGGCCGAGCAGGTGAGCGGCACGGGTAGGCCCGGGGGTTCTGCGTTCTCTGATCCACCGCTCCGCCCTGGGCTCCTGGTGGGGTTTCCCGGGAGGCCCCCGCCTCCCTGTCCTGCCCAGGGCCGCGTCCCAAGGCCAGCTCCCGGCGTAGCGTCCTGCCCCAGGCCGCCCGAGGCGTGGCCGGAGCCCCCTTGCCCCTTGAGACCCTCCTGGGGGACGCCCCTTGTGAGCGCAGTTGCTTGGCTGTGTGTGGTTGGGTTAGGTTCTGCGGAGATTCCTTCTTTGTCTGTGGCCGGGGAACGCTGTGGCAGCTCCTTGGGGGTGAAGTGTTAGGTTCTGTGCCTCCTGCGGGCAGGAGGTGAGAATGAGCCTGGAGCCGACGGAGGCGCCGTCTGGCACGGGTGGGACGCGCAGGCGGACGGATGGAGTGCACGGGGCAGTGCCCGGGCCCGCGCCGACCCCGGAAGGTCACTTGCTGAAGTTAGGTGAAGATGCCCCCGTGCTGTGTGTGCGCGGACAGCCAGGGAAATCATGATTATCCATGTGCGTACTTTGCTTACCGGTGGGGAACCTCTAGCGTCCGTCTGCTACCTTTCGTGTTCCTTGACTTCTCAGGAATAGACTTTCGTGGAGTGAGTGTTCACGCACATACGCGCGTTTATGCCTAGAGGGTTTTCCAAGCAGGTAGAGTGGAGCCTGCTGTGCCCATCAGTTGGTATGCAGACCTGGGGCCCTTGCTGGGTTCACAGCATGGACGATGTCCGGGGACCTGCTGAGCACCCCTCCGTGTTGGGTCAGTGGAGTGCCTCGTGCTTGGGCGGCGCTGTCAGGGTGGGCCTCCCTCCTCTGATGGGCAGAGGCGGCGACAGGAGTCCTCCGGAGCTGGCCTGATTGGGACTGCTGCTTCAGGTCCTTTTTTTTTTTTTTTTTTTCCCCAAGATTTATTTATTTGAAAGGTAGATAAATACACACACGGGGTGGGGGAGATGGGGGAGATATCCCATTGGCTGGTTCACTCCCTAAATGGCGGCAAAGGCTGGGGCTGGGCCAGGCTGAAGCAGGGAGCCTGGAACTCCATCTGGGTTTCCCACGTGGGCGGCAGGGGCCCTAGGACTCACGCCATCTCGCTGCCTTCTCAGGAATGCTGGGAGGAAGCTGGATAGGAGAGTAGTCAGGCCTCAGACTGGCGCTTTCGTGCAGGATGCTGGTGCTGCTGTGGCCCCTTGACCTCTGGGCCACCACAGCAGCCCCTTGACCTCTGGGCCACCACACCGGCCCCTTGACCTCTGGGCCACAGCAGCCCCTTGACCTCTGGGCCACAGCAGCCCCTTGACCTCTGGGCCACCACAGCAGCCCCTTGACCTCTGGGCCACCACACCGGCCCCTTGACCTCTGGGCCACCACAGCGGCCCCTAGACCTCTGGGCCACACCAGCCCTTGACCTCTGGGCCACACCAGCCCTTGACCTCTGGGCCACCACAGCGGCCCCTAGACCTCTGGGCCACCACACCGGCCCCTTGACCTCTGGGCCACCACACCGGCCCCTTGACCTCTGGGCCATCACAGCAGCCCCTTGACCTCTGGGCCACAGCAGCCCTTGACCTCTGGGCCACCACACCGGCCCCTAGACCTCTGGGCCACACCAGCCCTTGACCTCTGGGCCACACCAGCCCTTGACCTCTGGGCCACCACAGCAGCCCCTTGACCTCTGGGCCATGACACCGGCCCCTTGACTTCTGGGCCACCACACCGGCCCCTTGACCTCTGGGCCACCACACCGGCCCCTAGACCTCTGGGCCACACCGGCCCCTTGACCTCTGGGCCACCACACCGGCCCCTAGACCTCTGGGCCACCACACCGGCCCCTAGACCTCTGGGCCACACCAACCCTTGACCTCTGTGCCACACCGGCCCCTTGACCTCTGGGCCACACCAGCCCTTGACCTCTGGGCCACCACACCGGCCCCTAGACCTCTGGGCCACCACACCGGCCCCTTGACCTCTGGGCCACCACACCGGCCCCTTGACCTCTGGGCCATGACACCGGCCGCTTGACCTCTGGGTCACCACACCGGCCCCTTGACCTCTGGACCACACCAGCCCTTGACCTCTGGGCCACCACACCGGCTCCTTGACCTCTGGGCCACACCAGCCCTTGACCTCTGGGCCACCACACCGGCCCTTTGACCTCTGGGCCACCACACCGGCCCCTTGACCTCTGGGTCACCACACCGGCCCCTTGACCTCTGGGCCACCACACCGGCCCCTTGACCTCTGGGCCACCACACCGGCCCCTTGACCTCTGGGCCACCACACCAGCCCTTGACCTCTGGGCCACCACACCAGCCCTTGACCTCTGGGCCACCACAGCAGCCCCTTGACCTCTGGGCCACAACACCGGCCCCTTGACCTCTGGGCCACGACACCGGCCCGTGATTCAGGTTCTAACGGCGCAGCGTATCTCCTCCTGTGCAGCCTGGCTTCTTAGACGGGTGGTGGTAGGGGGGTGCTGTGTTTGTCCTTTACTTAACTGTAGTGCTAAATTTAGAAGCTGGTGGGAAGCTCATTGGGGTTCCAGTGGTCGTCACCGCAGTTCTTAGAGGTGGTGCCTAGGCAAGTAGGATTCGCTCCCACTTTTCAGTAAGAACCGGAAGCCCAGAAGGTTTAGTAACTTCCCCAAGGCATCACAGATAGTGCTGGAATCCAGGTAGAGCCAGATCTTTAGTCTCATGAACCTTCAGTGACTCTCCCGGAGTGACAGCTTTCCTGCAAGGTTTCATTGTTAACCTTTCTCTTTGAGGAACCTCCCAGTGACCACAGTGGGAGAGACCCTGGACTGCCGTTTGGGGCTGGGTTTCTTGTCATCACGAAGGAGAAATGAGTCAGAATTCTTTGCATTCACAGCTCCTGGTGGAATTTGAAGTTCAGGGACAAGGCCGGGATCTCAGGGTGTGCTGGGGAGCAGAGTGGGGGGGATTTCCTGGGGCGTTGCCCTCCCGGACGCTCAGGAGGAAGCAGTGTTGTAGGGGAGCTGGGGTCTGGGCCTGACTGGCTCCCAGTGCCGGAGGAGTGGGGCTCCGGGCTGGTTGTAGGGGAGCTGGGGTCTGGGCCTGACTGGCTCCCAGTGCCGGAGGAGTGGGGCTCCGGGCTGGTTGTAGGGGAGCTGGGGTCTGGGCCTGACTGGCTCCCAGTGCCGGAGGAGTGGGGCTCCGGGCTGGTTGTAGGGGAGCTGGGGTCTGGGCCTGACTGGCTCCCAGTGCCGGAGGAGTGGGGCTCCGGGCTGCTCTGTGCTGCGTTGCTATTTTGGAGCAGATAATTCCCTGGGTAATGAGAGGTTGCTTTGCGTTTTGTGTAAGCTTTGGTGGCCTTTACGGTGCCTCAGGCTGGCTTCCCTAGTCCGTGTCGGAGTACATTCCAGAGGAGCAGAGAGTGGATAGTTGAGAGCAGAATGAAGCTCTCCACCTCATAATGAATATTTTAAACTCTAAAAGGCAAGTCTGGAGCACACACCGATGTGGACAGTTGGTCCCATGACCCTTTGTGGCCATCACTGGACGTCTGCAGTCTGCCCTGTGCTCCCGGGAGCTCTCCGCTCCTGACCCCAGGTTAGATACCTGGTACGGCATTTCCTCAGTGTTTCAGCATGTATCTCTAAGAAATGAGCATTCTTTTCAAAATAGTCATAGTTTTCTAAAAACTGTAGGACTGGTTCAGATAAGCTGGATGACAGCAGTAAAGACCACAGGTTTGTTGCACTTTATACCTGGATGTTTCGAAATACTGAGAGACTTGTGATAGTCACGCTACTGTCCTTGATGGTGGCAACTTGATTATCTTGGTTTTTGTCCAGCTTTCAATGTAGGAGGTTCAGTGTCTTTATATACTCTGCTCACGAAGGTGGCGTTTTAAATTATTTAAATGGGTTATCTGAATTTTTAATAGAAGCAGCTCCCATTTATGCTGTGGTAGCTTTTGTGTGCTTTCTTTGCCAGTGTCCTGTGTGCTTGGATCTCCTTGCATCACCTGGTGATAGATCGGGTGTGGTGTAATAGAATACAGTGCTGTGTTGGCCGGAGTCAGCTGACGAGAGGAGGAGGAGGGCTGTAGTGAAGTTGTTTGGTTGTATCGTATTGAAATACGGACGTATAGCCAGATGCGTCCAGCGTGAGGTGTGAAGTTGACTAGGTTATTTTTAGTCCCGAACAGTCTCTGAAGATTCATCATTGCTATGACCCCTTCATGTAGATGGGACTGGTGCTTTTGTAGTTACTGCCACCAACCCATTGTAAAGCAAAGATCGTCAAATAAAAATTTCTTAAAGATTGATTTATTTGAAAGTCAGTTACACAGAGAGAAGGAGAGGCAGAGAGGGAGAGAGAGAGAGGTCTTCCATCTGCTGGTTCACTCCCCAGATGGCTGCAACGGCTGGAGCTGTGTCAGTCCAAATTCAGGAGCCAGGAGCTTCTTCTGAGTCTCCCACATGGGTGCAGGGCCCAAGGACCTGGGCCGCCTTCTACTGCTTTCCCAGGCCATAGCAGAGAGCTGGATAGGAAGTGGAGCAGCTGGGACTCGGACTGATGCCCACACATGGGATGCTGGCACTGCAGTTGGTGGCTTTACCCTCTATGCCACAGCGCTGGCCCTGTAAAATAAATTTTAAGGGATTGCAGGACAGGATATATTTCTTTTTCTTTCATATTTAAAAAATTTACTTTATTTATTTGAAAAGTGGAGACACACCAGAGACAGGCAGAGAGAGATCTTCCATCTGCCTGTTGACTTCCCACATGTCTGCTACAGCTGAGGCTGGGACATGCTGAAGCCAGGAGCCAGGAATTCATCTAGGTCTCCCACATGGGTGGCAGGAATCCAGATACCCAGGCCAGGATTAGCAAAACTGTAAAGGACATTGTCTGGACCATTAGAAAAACTTGAACCTCGGTGCAGTATTCTGTGACGTCAACTCAAGTCTCCTGGGTGTCATCATGGTGCTGTGATTAGGTAGGAGGGTGGCCCTGGTTCCTCAGAAATATATCCCAGAAGGATTTAGGGACGTTTCATGATGTCTACAATTTACTTTTGTTTGTGTTAAAATTTATTTATTGGGGCCAGTGCTGTGGTGCAGTAGGTTAACCTTCTGCCTGTGGCGCCGGTAGCCTACGTGGGTGCCAGTTCTAGTCCCGGCTGCCCCTCTTCCAATCCAGCTCTCTGCTATGGCCTGGGAAAGCAGTAGAAGATGGCCCAAGTCTTTGGGCCCCCGCACCTGTGTGGGAGACTGGGAAGAAGCTCCTGGCTCCTGACTTCTGATCAGCGTAGCTCCAGCTGTTGTGGCCATTTGGGGAGTTGACCAATGAAAGGAAGACCTTTCTGTCTCTCCCTCTCACTGTCTGTAACTCTACCTCTCAAATACATAAATAAAAATCTTTAAACATTTTATTTATCTATTTTGAAAGTTACAGAGGGAGAGGGAGAGACAGAGAGGGTTTCCATCCACTGGTTCACTCCCTAGATGGCTGCAACTGCCAGTGCTGGGCCAGGCCGAAGCCAGGAGCTTCATCTGGGTCTCCCACATGGGTGGCAGGGGCCCAGACACTTGGACCATCTTCTGCTTTTCCCAGACCATTAGCAGGAAACTGGATCAGAAGTGGAGCAGCCAGGATACAAAGCTGTTACACCATGACACTGCCTCTTTTTATTTGTTTACTTACTATTATTAATTTTTTTTTTTTTTTTTTTTTTTTTTTTTACAGGCAGAATGGACAGTGAGAGAGACTGAGAGAAAGGTCTTCCTTTACCGTTGGTTCACCCTCCAATGGCTGCTGCAGCCAGCGCTCTGTGGCCGGCGCACCGCGCTGGTCCGAAGCCAGGAGCCAGGTGCTTCCTCCTGGTCTCCCATGGGGGTGCAGGGCACAAGCACTTGGGCCATCCTCCACTGCCCTCCCAGGCCACAGCAGAGAGCTGGCCTGGAAGAGGGGCAACCGGGACAGAATCTGGCGCCCCGACCGGGACTAGAACCCAGTGTGCTGGCGCCACAGGTGGAGGATTAGCCTATTGAGCTGCGGCACTGGCCCCCTATTATTAATTTTTTAAGATTTATTTTACTTATTTGAAAGGCAGAGTTAGAGAGAGGGAGAGACAGAGGTGTCTTCCATCAACTGGTTCACCGCTCAAATGGCCACATTGTGCAGGCCTAAGCAAGGAGCCGGGAGCTTCTTCCAGGTCTCCCTTGTGGATGCAGAGGCCCAAGCACTCGGGCCATCCTTTGCTGCTTTCCCAGGCACATTAGCAGAGAGCTGGGTTGGAAGTGGAGCAGCTGGGACATGAACCAGCGCCCATATGGGATGCTGGAGTCATGGTTGGCAGCATTACCCACTATGCCACTGGCCCCTGTTACTGATTTTTATTTATCTGAGGGTAGAATGACAGAGAGACAGAGACAGAGCACACACACGCTTCTGTCCATTGACTCATTCCCCCAGTGGCCACAGTTGCTGTGGCTGGGCCAGGCCAAAGCTGAGAGCCTGAACTCTGTCCAGGTCTCCCACGTGGTCCTCAGGCCATCTCCTGCTGCTTTCCCAGGCGAATTAGCAGGGAGCTGGGTAGAAAGCAGAGCAGCCGGAACTCAAGCTGGCTCTCTGGTAAGGGGTACTGGTACTGCAGGGAGTGGCTTAACCTGCTGTGCCACAGCACCAGCCCTGTGTGTTTTTTAAACATTCTTTTAGAATTTGAGAGGGAGGGAAGGAAGGAAGAAAGGAGAAAGAGAGAGAGATTGACTCTACAAACAGATCCCATAACTGGTTCACTTCCCAGATGCCCATGACAGCTGGGGCTGGCCCAGGACTGAAGACAGGCGCCTAGTCTAGGTCTCCTGTGAGGGTGGCAGGGAGCCAACTCAGCTCAGTCATCTCTGCTGCCTCTCGGGGAAAGTTTTGGCAGGAAGACACAAGTTTTGGGGGCTGGCGCTGGGGCGTAGCGGGTGAAGCTGCTGCCTGTGGTGCCGGTATCACATATGGGTGCCGATTTGAGTCCCGGCTGCTCCTGTTCCAGTCCAGCTCTCTGCTGGGCCTGGGAAAGCAGTGGAGGTTGGCCCACGTGCTTGTGCCCCTGCAACTATGTAGGAGACCTAGAGGAAGCTCCTAGCTCCTGGCTTTCCTCTGGCCCAGCTCTGGCCATTGCGGCCATTTGGGGAGTGAACCAGTGGATGGAGGACTTCTCTTTCTCTCTCTCTGCCTTGCAAATAAATATTTTTTAAAAATGTGAATAAAAGAAAACACTGCACTCTCACTGGTACCGTGTCTGCACAAGGCCTCCTGTGGGCACAGTGATTTCTGAAGCTGTGAAGTAACCCAGGGGTTGAAACAGGAGAGCCAGCATCAGTGATGTGCCGAGATAACGTTCTTTTTTTTTCTTTAAATATTTATTTATTTGAAAGTCAGAGTTAGAGAGAGAAGGAAAGGCAGAGAGAGAGAGAGAACCATCTGCTGGTTTACTCCCCAGTTGGCCACAACGGCTGAGCTGCACTGATCCGAAGCAAGGAGTCAGGAGCTTCTTCTGGGTTTCCCATATGGGTGCAGGACCCTGAGGACTTGGATTTTTTTTTTTTTTTTTTCCGGTCAGGCAGAGTTAGACGGTGAGAGAGGGAGAGACAGAGAGACAGAGAGAAGGGTCTTCCTTTTTCCGTTGGCTCACTCCCCAAATGGCCACCACGGGTGCGCTGCGCTGATCCGAAGCTAGGAGCCAGGTGCTTCCTCCTGGTCTCCCATGCGGGTGCAGGGCCCAAGCACTTGGGGCATCCTCCACTGCACTCCCTGGCCACAGCAGAGAGTTGGCCTGGAAGAGGGGTAACCAGGACAGAATCCGGGGCCCCGACCGGGACTAGAACCCGGGGTGCCAGCGCTACAGGTGGAGGATTAGCCAAGTGAGCCGTGGCGCCGGCCCTTGGACCATCTTCTACTGCTTTTCCAGGCCACAGCAAAGAGCTGGATTGGAAGTGGAGCAGCTGGGACTAGAATTGGCACCCATATTGGATGCTGGCACTGCAGGTGGCGGCTTTACCTGCTATGCCATAGCGCCGGCCCCTAAAGTTCTTTTTTTTCATGAAAAGATATATTTGTTTATTTATTTGAAAGGCAGAGTGATAGAAGGAGGCAGGGAGAGGGGGGTGAAGAGAAATCTTCCATCCACTAGTTCACTCCCCAAGTGGTTGTTATGGGTGGAACTGGGCTGATTCGAAGCCAGGAGCTTCTTCCAGGTCTCCCACGTGGGTGTAGGGGCCCAAGCACTTGGCCATCTTCTGCTGCTTTCCCAGGTGCATTAGCAGGGAGCTGGATCAAACGTGGAGTAGCCGAAAGTCCTGAGGGTCTTTTTTCTTGTGTATAAAGTATCACAAAATTGGGTTTGTGAACTTGGTTTGGTATAAGCCACAAATTTTCCAGTTCTCACTGCTAATGAAGTAAATATAAATGTGATTAATTTTATACTGTGACCTTTCCCCCGGCTTTTGAAAATATTTATTTGAAAGGCAGAGGAGCAAGAGAAGGAGAAACAGAGAGAAATAGATCTTCTGTCTGCTGGTTCCATCCCCAGATGGCTGCAACAGCTGGATTTGGGCCAGGCTGAAGCCAGAAGCCTGGAGCTCCATCTAGGTCTTCCATGTAGGTGGGAGAGGCCCTGGTACTAGGGTCATCTTCCCACTTTCAAGGCTCATTAGCAGGGAGCTGGGTCAGAATTAGTGCGGCTGGGACTCCTTGAACTGGTTTTTACGTATGGTGCTGGCCTCGCAGGTGGTGGCTTAGCTGGCTGCTCCACAGTGGCAGCCCCTTCTTGCTGTGACCTTTTAATAATGGTCAGGAGCCGGCGCCGCGGCTCACTAGGCTAATCCTCCGCCTTGCAGCGCCGGCACACCGGGTTCTAGTCCCGGTCAGGGCGCCGAATTCTGTGCCGGTTGCCCCTCTTCCAGGCCAGCTCTCTGCTGTGGCCCGGGAGTGCAGTGGAGGATGGCCCAAGTGCTTGAGCCCTGCACCCCATGGGAGACCAGGAGAAGCACCTGACTCCTGCCATTGGATCAGTGCGGTGCGCCGGCCGCAGCGCGCCGTCCGTGGCGGCCATTGGAGGGTGAACCAACGACAAAAGGAAGACCTTTCTCTCTGTCTCTCTCTCTCACTGTCCACTCTGCCTGTCAAATAAAATAAATTAAAAAAAAAAATAGTGGTCAGGAAAGTCCTTGTTCAGGCCTTTTTTCTTTTAAGGATTTGCTTCTTTGAAAGACCGTCTTCCGCTCTTTCCCCAGGCCATGGCAGGGAGCTAGATTGGAGAAGCTGGGACATGGACTGGCATCCACATGGGAGGCCAGCGTCTCTGGTGGCAGCTCTCCACACAGTGCTGCATCACTGGCCCCAGAAGCTGGATTGAAAAGCCAAGCGCCTGCGACTCAACTGGGCCAGGCTGAAGCCAGGATTTTCTTCCACTCTCCCATGTGGGAGGCAGTTGCCCAAACACTTGGGCCATCTCCTGCTGCTTTTCCCAGATCATTATCGGGGAACTGGATTGACAGTGGAGCAGCTGGGACATGAACCAGTGCCTTTATGGGGTGCTGGAGTCACAGGCAGCGGCTTTACCCACCACACCAAAATGCTGCCCCTGTTTTTTAATTTTTTTTTTTTTTTTTTTTGACAGGCAGAGTGGACAGTGAGAGAGAGAGACAGAGAAAAGGTCTTCCTTTTGCCGTTGGTTCACCCTCCAATGGCTGCTGCGGCTGGCGCGCTGCGGCCGGCGCACTGCACTGATCCGATGGCAGGAGCCAGGTGCTTCTCCTGGTCTCCCATGGGGTGCAGGGCCCAAGCACTTGGGCCATCCTCCACTGCCTTCCCGGGCCACAGCAGAGAGCTGGCCTGGAAGAGGGGCAACTGGGACAGAATCTGGCGCCCCGACTGGGACTAGAACCCAGTGTGCCCGCGCCGCAAGGCGGAGGATTAGCCTAGTGAGCCGCGGCGCCGGCCCTGTTTTTTAATTTTATTTTCGTTTTTTAAAGATTTATTTTATTTATTTGAAAGAGTTACACAGAGAGGTAGAGAGAGAGAGAGAGAGAGAGAGAGAGATCTTCCATTTTGCTGGTTCACCCTCCAGATGGCCACAATGGCCAGAGCTGAGCTGATCCAAAGCCAGGAGCCAGGAGCTTCTTCTGGGTCTCCCACGTGGGTGCAGGGCCTAAGGACTTGGGCCATCTTCTACTGCTTTCCCAGGCCACAGCAGAGAGCTGGATCAGAAGTGGAGCAGCCGGGACTCCAACCGGCGCCCATATGGGATGCCGGTGCCACAGGCTGGGGCTTTAACCCGCTGTGCCACAGCGCCGGCCCTGGCCCCTGTTTATTTTATTTTGGTTATGGATACTTTTTACAGCTGATGTAAGTAGCAGGGTATGATTAAATTTCCTTCATAATAATTAGCTTCCTTTTCCTGCAGTTTTCAGTCACATCATATTCTCTTGTTTAGTTTTCTACACGTCCATCAGCAGCTCCTCCCAGCCCCTTGCCCAGGATTTCATCGCTCCACCTGGGCTTCAGTGTGTGTCAGTTGCCCAAAAGCCCCAAGGCAGGGGCTTCCCTATACCTACTCTGAGCCTGGTGTCCTACTTTTGGTGCATTTCTCTCTCTCTCTCTCTTTTTAAGATTTATTATTTATTTAAAGGTAGAGACACAGAAGGGGGCGGGGAGAGAAAGAGAGATCTTCTCTCTGCTAGTTCACTCCCCAAATGGCCACAATGGTTAGGACTGGGCCAGGCTGAAGCCAGGAGCCTCTTTGGGGTCTCCCACATGGGTGCAGGGGCCCACATACTTGGGCCATCAGCTGCTGCTTTCCCAGGTGCGTTAGCAGGGAGCCAGATTGGAAGTGGAGCAACTGGGACCTGAACCGGCGCCCACATGGATGCTGACACTGCAGGCAGAGGCTGACTCTTCCGCACCATAGCGCTGGCCCCAGCATGCCTCTCTCTGTATCCTGAGTCCTCTGGGGAGTGGTCCGTCTGAAGTGTGACCTCACGAGGATTTCCCAGGTCAAGCATCCAGAGCCCCATTGCGCTAATTCAGCTGTGCGGCGCTTGCGGTCGTGGTCCTGTCAGTGTCCACTCTGGCCCTGTCTCCACTTTCTTGGCTCTGAGTTTCCACTTTTCCATCCCTGTGCGTCTTCCCTGACGCTGGTGTCTGTTTCTGGAGGTGCTTTTCCAGTGAACTTTTGGGAAGGAATGAAGGCAGACTCCTGTGTGAGGTCTGCGTGCTGGACTGCACTTAGGCCCCACTCTGTTCTCACGTCCCACTTATCAGTCCATCCTCACAGGCCTGGGCGCATGTGTACTTGTCTCCCTGGATTCCCTAGTCCATGAGAGGACGGCGGATGTGCCCGTGTCCAAGCTGGGAGTCGCAGGGCCACGGTGCAGCCTCTGCCCTTTCTCGTCTCGTGCTGGGATGCAGTCTGTGAATTCTGTCAACAGATGGTTTGGTTTAGCCTTTCTCCTAGTGAGTTCATGTGTGTAAGTTTCCATATTGACCTGAAATTAACTTTTGGAACTAGAGGATTCCTATAATGTTGTTGCACTGTGGTCGTTAGGCAGATGCTGCCCTGTGTTAGCAGTATTGCCACACACTGGACCTCAGACTACACAGGTTACTTCTCATGTGCCTGACTTGCAGCAAGATCTAGTTTTTGTGCTGGGAACGTTGAGTTCATTCTCTTGGGTGAAGGTTAGTCGTGCTTTCTTAGCATCCTAAGCCCTGCTGTGGCATCTGAGGTAGGTAGTGGAGGCATGGCCTGATGATGCAGGGGGCTAAGCCGCCACTTGAGATGTTGGCATTCCATATCAGAGTGCCACTTGGAGTCCTGGCTAGGTCGCTTTTTTTTTTTTTTTAAAGTTATTTATTTGAAACACAGAGTTACAGAGAGGCAGAGGCAGAGAGAGAGAGAGGTGTCTTCCATGCACTGGTTCACTCCCCAAATGGCCGCAGTGGCTGGAGCTGGGCCAATCTGAAGCCAGGAGCCAAGAGTTTCTTCGGGTCTCCCACATGGGTGCAGGGGCCCAAGGACTTGGGCCATCTTCCTCTGTTTTCCCAGGCCACAGCAGAGAGCTTGATCAGAAATGGAGCAGTGGGGACCTGAACTGGCGCCCCATGGGATGCCAGCGCTGCAGGCGGCTTTACCCTCTACGCCGCAGTGCTGGCTCCAGGCTTACACGTTACGTCCGAGGACTGTGGAATCAGAGCCTGCTCTTCTGCTGTAGCGCCGCTGCTCGCTCTTTTGCTCAGCAAGTGTGTGTGATGCTCACTGGGCAGTTCCAGGTGCTGGGGACTGAGTGCTAGCAGGACCGACCCGCTTCCTGGCCTTCCTCGCGATGTTAGCACGCAGTCTGCAGTAGGCGCAGACCATCAGAAGTCCTGGCAAGGAAAGGCAGGGGTGGTGTGCCGGTTGTGTAACAGGGAGCCCGACCTACATAGCAGAGCTTCCCCAGGGAAATGCTTTTCTTTTGAGCTGACGTTCTGAAACTAAGTAGAAATCAGCAAGGCGAAGGTGGGAGAAGAAGGAGCCTCCAGGTGGAGGCTGGTGTGGAGAGGCCTGACGCGGCGAAGGGGCTTTGAGGGGCCTGGAGCTTGTATCTGGAGGAGGCTGTTGGTCTGCATTCCTGGAGCACCTGGAAGGCGCTGAAGGGTTTGAGCAGAGAAGGATGCCTCGTACGATTTAGTGTTCTAGGGCCGGCGCTGTGGTGTAGCAGGTTAAGCTGCTGCCTGCGATGCCGGCATCCCACATGGGCTTTGGTTTGAGTCGTGGCTGCTCCATTTCTCGTCCAGATCCTTGCGGATGCTCCTGGGAAAGCAGCGGAAGCTGCCCAAGTCCTTGGGCTCCTGCCACCCATGTGGGAGACCTGGATGAAGCTCCTGACTCCTGACTTCAGCGTGGCCCAGCCCTGGCCATTGCAGCCATTTGGAGAATGAGCCAGTGGATGGAAGGTCTCTTCCCTCCCCTACACCCCCATCTCCGCCTTGTAACTGCCTTTCAAATAAATCAATAAATGTTAGCGTTTCACAGCATGCCTCAGTTTGGAGGGGTTGAGTGTGTGAGGGGGCTCAGCTGGGAGGCCGGTGCAGTGTTTGGCTGGACTGGCGATTGCTTGGAGTAGGAGTGCTCGAGGAGGTGCAGCCCTAGCCCTCAGGTTCCTGCGCGAGGCTTGAGGGTCTGGGCCCGCTGGTGGTCCTGCGCCGCAGCAGTGCTTCTCAATCCTGTCTGAGTTCCTGGGGGAGCTTGTTCCACCTGAGGGGTCCTGGCGAGGCCCGGAGCCCTTGGTGCTGACTCAGGTGAGCCCTGCGAGCAGCAGGAGGTGGGGACTCCCGGGTGATTCCAGCCGCTGTGTGGCTGAGAACGCGGCTGTCACTCTTTCTCTCAAGCAGGTGGGGACGTTGAATGTGGAGCAGGTTTGTGTGTTTGCTTTAGTTAAAGGCAGAGAAAGAGAATATCTCTGGAATCTGCTGCTTCATCTCCCAGATGCCCACAATAGCCAGGGCTGGGCTGAGCTTCCAGGGGCTTGAACTGAATCCAGGTCTCCCATGTGGGTGACAGGGACCCAAGCCCTGAACCATTCCCTACCGCCTTTCAGAATTTGCTCTAGCAGGAAGCTGGTCAGAAGCAGAGGAGCCAGGACCAGGCTCTGAGGTGGGGATTTTTTTTTTTTTTAATATTTATGTAAAAGGCAGAGGGACAGAGAGGAAGAGACATGGAGAAAGAGACCTTCTTTCTTTGGTTCACCCCCTAAAGTGGCCATGAAGGTGGGGCTGGCATAGGCTGAAGCCAAGAGCCGGGAAGTCCATCTAGGTCTTCCGTGTGGGTGGCAGGGGCTCAAGTACTTGGGCCATCTTCTGCTGTCTTCTCAGTGCATTGGCAGGGAACTGGATTGGAAGCAGAGCAACTGGAACTCACGTGGTGTATGACATGGGGTGCAGCTGCACAAGCAGTGGCTTACTCCACTGCACCACAACACTGCTTACCCAGGCAGCATCTTTAACTGCTCTGACAGACACCGGCCCAGCGGAGCAGATGTTCAACATCTCTCTCTGCTGATAGTGGCCTGCTCCTATAAACCAGGAGGCCTGTTCCTGTAGAGAAAGAGGTCCCTTGTTCCTGCAGACCAGGAGGTCCTTGTTCCTGTAGACCAGGCACCTGTTCCTGTAGACCAGGAGGTCCCTGTTCTTGTAGACCAGGAGGTCCCTTGTTCCTGTAGACCAGAAGGTCCTTGTTCCTGTAGACCAGGAGGTCCTTGTTCCTGTAGACCAGGCACCTGTTCCTGTAGACCAGGATGCCTGTTCCTGTAGACCAGGATGCCTGTTCCTGTAGACCAGGAGGTCCTTGTTCCTGTAGACCAGGAGGTCCCTGTTCCTGTAGACCAGGATGCCTGTTCCTGTAGACCAGGAATCCTTGTTCCTGTAGACCAGGAATACTTGTTCCTGTAGACCAGGATGCCTGTTCCTGTAGACCAGGAATCCTTGTTCCTGTAGACCAGGAATCCTTGTTCCTGTAGACCAGGATGCCTGTTCCTGTAGACCAGGAGGTCCTTGTTCCTGTAGACCAGGAGGTCCTTGACCTGTAGACCAGGAGGTCCTTGTTCCTGTAGACCAGGATGCCTGTTCCTGTAGACCAGGAGGTCCTTGTTCCTGTAGACCAGGAGGTCCCTGTTCCTGTAGACCAGGATGCCTGTTCCTGTAGACCAGGAATCCTTGTTCCTGTAGACCAGGAATACTTGTTCCTGTAGACCAGGATGCCTGTTCCTGTAGACCAGGAATCCTTGTTCCTGTAGACCAGGAATCCTTGTTCCTGTAGACCAGGATGCCTGTTCCTGTAGACCAGGAGGTCCTTGTTCCTGTAGACCAGGAGGTCCTTGACCTGTAGACCAGGAGGTCCTTGTTCCTGTAGACCAGGATGCCTGTTCCTGTAGACCAGGAGGTCCTTGTTCCTGTAGACCAGGAGGTCCTTGTTCCTGTAGACCAGGTGGTCCTTGACCTGTAGACCAGAGGGTCCCTGTTCCTGTAGACCAGACGCCTGTTCCTGTAGACCAGGAGGTCCTTGTTCCTGTAGACCAGGAGGTCCTTGTTCCTGTAGACCAGGATGCCTGTTCCTGTAGACCAGGAATCCTTGTTCCTGTAGACCAGGAATCCTTGTTCCTGTAGACCAGGATGCCTGTTCCTGTAGACCAGGATGCCTGTTCCTGTAGACCAGGAGGTCCTTGTTCCTGTAGACCAGGAGGTCCTTGACCTGTAGACCAGGAGGTCCTTGTTCCTGTAGACCAGGATGCCTGTTCCTGTAGACCAGGATGCCTGTTCCTGTAGACCAGGAGGTCCTTGTTCCTGTAGACCAGGAGGTCCTTGTTCCTGTAGACCAGGAGGTCCTTGTTCCTGTAGACCAGGAGGTCCTTGTTCCTGTAGAGCAGGAGGTCCTTGTTCCTGTAGACCAGGATGCCTGTTCCTGTAGACCAGGAGGTCCCTGTTCCTGTAGACCAGGATGCCTGTTCCTGTAGACCAGGAGGTCCCTGTTCCTGTAGACCAGGAGGTCCCTGTTCCTGTAGACCAGGAGGTCCCTGTTCCTGTAGACCAGGATGCCTGTTCCTGTAGACCAGGAGGTCCCTGTTCTTGTAGACCAGGATGCCTGTTCCTGGAGACCAGGAAGTCCCTGTTCCTGTAGACCAGGAGGTCCCTGTTCCTGAAGACCAGGAGGTCCTTGTTCCTGTAGACCAGGAGGTCCTTGTTCCTGTAGACCAGGCACCTGTTCATGTAGACCAGGAGGTCCTTGTTCCTATAGACCAGAATGCCTGTTCCTGTAGACCAGGAGGTCCTTGTTCCTGTAGACCAGGAGGTCCCTGTTCCTGTAGACCAGGAGGTCCTTGTTCCTGTAGACCAGGATGTCTGTTCCTGTAGACCAGGAGGTCCTTGTTCCTGTAGACCAGGAATCCTTGTTCCTGTAGACCAGGATGCCTGTTCCTGTAGACCAGGAGGTCCTTGTTCCTGTAGACCAGGATGCCTGTTCCTGTAGACCAGACGCCTGTTCCTGTAGACCAGGATGCCTGTTCCTGTAGACCAGGAAGTCCTTGTTCCTGTAGACCAGGAGGTCCCTGTTCCTGTAGACCAGGAAGTCCCTGTTCCTGTAGACCAGGAAGTCCCTGTTCCTGTAGACCAGGAATCCTTGTTCCTGTAGACCAGGAGGTCCTTGTTCCTGTAGACCAGGATGCCTGTTCCTGTAGACCAGGAGGTCCTTGTTCCTGTAGACCAGACACCTGTTCCTGTAGACCAGGAGGTCCTTGTTCCTGTAGACCAGGATGCCTGTTCCTGTAGACCAGGAAGTCCCTGTTCCTGTAGACCAGGAGGTCCCTGTTCCTGTAGACCAGGAAGTCCCTGTTCCTGTAGACCAGGAGGTCCTTGTTCCTGTAGACCAGGAGGTCCTTGTTCCTGTAGACCAGGATGCTTGTTCCTGTAGACCAGGAGGTCCTTGTTCCTGTAGACCAGACACCTGTTCCTGTAGACCAGGAGGTCCTTGTTCCTGTAGACCAGGATGCCTGTTCCTGTAGACCAGGAGGTCCTTGTTCCTGTAGAGCAGGAGGTCCTTGTTCCTGTAGACCAGGATGCCTGTTCCTGTAGACCAGGAGGTCCCTGTTCCTGTAGACCAGGATGCCTGTTCCTGTAGACCAGGAGGTCCCTGTTCCTGTAGACCAGGAGGTCCTTGTTCCTGTAGACCAGGAGGTCCTTGTTCCTGTAGACCAGGTGGTCCTTGTTCCTGTAGACCAGGTGGTCCTTGACCTGTAGACCAGAGGGTCCCTGTTCCTGTAGACCAGGAGGTCCTTGTTCCTGTAGAGCAGGAGGTCCTTGTTCCTGTAGACCAGGATGCCTGTTCCTGTAGACCAGGAGGTCCTTGTTCCTGTATACCAGGATGCCTGTTCCTGTAGACCAGGAGGTCCCTGTTACTGTAGACCAGGAGGTCCTTGTTCCTGTAGACCAGATGCCTGTTCCTGTAGACCAGGATGCCTGTTCCTGAAGACCAGGAGGTCCTTGTTCCTGTAGACCAGGAGGTCCTTGTTCCTGTAGACCAGGATGCCTGTTCCTGTAGACCAGGAGGTCCTTGTTCCTGTAGACCAGGATGCCTGTTCCTGTAGACCAGGATGCCTGTTCCTGTAGACCAGGAGGTCCTTGTTCCTGTAGACCAGGAGGTCCTTGACCTGTAGACCAGGAGGTCCTTTTTCCTGTAGACCAGATGCCTGTTCCTGTAGACCAGGAGGTCCTTGTTCCTGTAGACCAGGATGGCTGTTCCTGTAGACCAGGAGGTCCTTGTTCCTGTAGAGCAGGAGGTCCTTGTTCCTGTAGACCAGGATGCCTGTTCCTGTAGACCAGGAGGTCCCTGTTCCTGTAGACCAGGATGCCTGTTCCTGTAGACCAGGAGGTCCCTGTTCCTGTAGACCAGGAGGTCCTTGTTCCTGTAGACCAGGATTCCTGTTCCTGTAGACCAGGATGCCTGTTCCTGTAGACCAGGAAGTCCTTGTTCCTGTAGACCAGGAGGTCCCTGTTCCTGTAGACCAGGAAGTCCCTGTTCCTGTAGACCAGGAATCCTTGTTCCTGTAGACCAGGAGGTCCTTGTTCCTGTAGACCAGGATGCCTGTTCCTGTAGACCAGGAGGTCCTTGTTCCTGTAGACCAGACACCTGTTCCTGTAGACCAGGAGGTCCTTGTTCCTGTAGACCAGGATGCCTGTTCCTGTAGACCAGGAAGTCCTTGTTCCTGTAGACCAGGAGGTCCCTGTTCCTGTAGACCAGGAAGTCCCTGTTCCTGTAGACCAGGAGGTCCTTGTTCCTGTAGACCAGGAGGTCCTTGTTCCTGTAGACCAGGATGCTTGTTCCTGTAGACCAGGAGGTCCTTGTTCCTGTAGACCAGACACCTGTTCCTGTAGACCAGGAGGTCCTTGTTCCTGTAGACCAGGATGCCTGTTCCTGTAGACCAGGAGGTCCTTGTTCCTGTAGAGCAGGAGGTCCTTGTTCCTGTAGACCAGATGCCTGTTCCTGTAGACCAGGAGGTCCCTGTTCCTGTAGACCAGGATGCCTGTTCCTGTAGACCAGGAGGTCCCTGTTCCTGTAGACCAGGAGGTCCTTGTTCCTGTAGACCAGGTGGTCCTTGTTCCTGTAGACCAGGTGGTCCTTGACCTGTAGACCAGAGGGTCCCTGTTCCTGTAGACCAGGAGGTCCTTGTTCCTGTAGACCAGGAGGTCCTTGTTCCTGTAGACCAGGATGCCTGTTCCTGTAGACCAGGAGGTCCTTGTTCCTGTATACCAGGATGCCTGTTCCTGTAGACCAGGAGGTCCCTGTTACTGTAGACCAGGAGGTCCTTGTTCCTGTAGACCAGATGCCTGTTCCTGTAGACCAGGATGCCTGTTCCTGAAGACCAGGAGGTCCTTGTTCCTGTAGACCAGGAGGTCCTTGTTCCTGTAGACCAGGATGCCTGTTCCTGTAGACCAGGAGGTCCTTGTTCCTGTAGACCAGGAGGTCCTTGACCTGTAGACCAGGAGGTCCTTTTTGCTGTAGACCAGATGCCTGTTCCTGTAGACCAGGAGGTCCTTGTTCCTGTAGACCAGGATGCCTGTTCCTGTAGACCAGGAGGTCCTTGTTCCTGTAGAGCAGGAGGTCCTTGTTCCTGTAGACCAGGATGCCTGTTCCTGTAGACCAGGAGGTCCCTGTTCCTGTAGACCAGGATGCCTGTTCCTGTAGACCAGGAGGTCCCTGTTCCTGTAGACCAGGAGTTCCTTGTTCCTGTAGACCAGGAGGTCCTTGTTCCTGTAGACCAGGTGGTCCTTGTTCCTGTAGACCAGGTGGTCCTTGACCTGTAGACCAGAGGGTCCCTGTTCCTGTAGACCAGGAGGTCCTTGTTCCTGTAGAGCAGGAGGTCCTTGTTCCTGTAGACCAGGATGCCTGTTCCTGTAGACCAGGAGGTCCTTGTTCCTGTATACCAGGATGCCTGTTCCTGTAGACCAGGAGGTCCTTGTTCCTGTAGACCAGATGCCTGTTCCTGTAGACCAGGATGCCTGTTCCTGAAGACCAGGAGGTCCTTGTTCCTGTAGACCAGGAGGTCCTTGTTCCTGTAGACCAGGATGCCTGTTCCTGTAGACCAGGAGGTTCTTGTTCCTGTAGACCAGGATGCCTGTTCCTGTAGACCAGGATGCCTGTTCCTGTAGACCAGGAGGTTCTTGTTCCTGTAGACCAGGAGGTCCTTGACCTGTAGACCAGGAGGTCCTTTTTCCTGTAGACCAGATGCCTGTTCCTGTAGACCAGGAGGTCCTTGTTCCTGTAGACCAGGAGGTCCCTGTTCCGGTAGACCAGACGCCTGTTCCGGTAGACCGGGATGTCCTTGTTCCTGTAGACTAGGAGGTCACTGTTCCTGTAGACCAGGAGGTCCTTGTTCCTGTAGACCTGGAAGTCCCTGTTCCTGTAGACCAGGAGGTCCCTGTTCCTGTAGACCAGGAGGTCCCTGTTCCTGTAGACCAGGAGGTCCCTGTTCCTGTAGACCTGGAAGTCCCTGTTCCTGTAGACCAGGATGCCTGTTCCTGTAGACCGGGAAGTCCCTGTTCCTGTAGACTGGGAAGTCCCTGTTCCTGTAGACCAGGATGCCTGTTCCTGAAGACCAGGAGGTCCTTGTTCCTGTAGACCAGGAGGTCCTTGTTCCTGTAGACCAGGATGCCTGTTCCTGTAGACCAGGATGCCTGTTCCTGTAGACCAGGAGGTCCTTGTTCCTGTAGACCAGGAGGTCCCTGTTCCTGTAGACCAAGAGGTCCCTGTTCCTGTAGATCAGGAGGTCCTTGTTCCTGTAGACCAGGAGGTCCCTGTTCCTATAGACCAGGAGGTCCTTGTTCCTGTAGACCAGGAGGTCCTTGTTCCTGTAGACCAGGAGGTCCTTGTTCCTGTAGACCAGGAGGCTTGTTTGGGGAACAGCTGTGAGCAGGCCAGAGAGAAGTTTGGCGAGAGGGGCTCACTTTGAACCTGAAAGTGTTGGACCCGGAGTCTGATTGGTTTCCACTTTTGAGCTGCCTTCCCTGGGAGACGTAACCTTTCTCGAGAGCCTGGTTCCTGGCCTGGCTAGCTCAGACTTGTCCGTGGAGCCTATTTACCAAATCAGGTGCTGTGTTTTCTTTTTTTTTAGATTTATTTATTTTATTTGAAAGGTAGAGTTACAGAGATGGAGGGAGAGACAGAGACTAAGAGATCTTCCATTCGCTGGTTCACTCCCCAAATGGCCACAGTGGCCCAAATGGTCAAGGCTGGGCCAAAACCAGGAGTCAGGAACTTTTTCTGGGTCTCCTGTATGGGTGCAGGGTCCTGAGTACTTGGGCCATTCTGCTGCCTTCCCTGGCACATTAGCAGGGAACTAGACAGGAAGTGGAGCAGCTGGGTCTCGAACTGGCACCCAGATGGGATGCTTGCATCACAGGTGATGGCTTTACCTGATAGACCACAATGCCGGTCCCATAAATAAATCTTAAAGGTGGGGGGGGGGCGGAGCTGTGGCGTAGTGGTTAAAGTCTCTTTCTGCCTCTGCTTCTCTGTGACTCTGCCTTTCAAATAAAAGTAAATCCTTAAAAAAGAGAAACACGCTCCAAGGATGGCTCTGGGGTTGTGCAGACTGCCCCGGCTCCCATGTGCTCAGTTTGCTCCTGCGGCTTAGCTGTGCGCTGTTCCAGGTGTCGTGCCTTCTTGGAGCAGGATCTGAGACGATGAAGCAGTAGTGAATGGCTCTCTGTGTGCTGAGGGGTGGCAGTCTCCGCGGGGCTGTCCAGGGGCAGAGGAGGGACCGGCGGGAGGCGCTCCGTGTGCAGGGGCAGAGGAGGGACCGGCGGGAGGCGCTCCGTGTGCAGGGGCAGAGGAGGGAGGCACTCTGTGTGCAGGGGCAGAGGAGGGACCGGCAGGAGGCGCTCTGTGTCCAGGGGCAGAGGAGGGACCGGCGGGAGGTTCTCCGTGTGCAGGGGCAGAGGAGGGACCCGCGGGAGGCACTCTGTGTCCAGGGGCAGAGGAGGGACTGGTGGGAGGTTCTCCGTGTCCAGGGGCAGAGGAGGGACCGGCGGAGGCGCTCCGTGTCCGGGAAGGAGGAGGGACCGGCGGGAGGCGCTCTGTGTCTGCTTCTGGGTCCTAGGGCAGAGTTCGGGCTCCAGCTTTCTGCTTCATCAGTGGCCGGGTTCCTGGTCTGCACTGGAAGAATCCGTAATCCTGCAGTGACCTGTGTTTCTTCCTCTTCCTCCTCTGCCTGATCTCTCATCCCTTCCTTCCCCCTCACTGTTTTCATACTTCTGTTTCATTCCACCATTGGGTGGGTTGATTTAGTTTACTAAAATCCAAGAAAAACAAGACGCGTTCTTTTTGCTGTTGGCGATGAAAAGCTGTTTTATGAGAAAAGTTTATCCCTGGCTGCCTGGCTCTCTCTGGCTGGTGCGAAGTCACTGGATACCTCTCTTGGTGATTTAATTTCTAAAAATAAACTTGCAAAAATTGTGTATTTTTATTTGTGAGGCAGAGAGAGAGGGAGGAGACGTCCACAGAGTGCGCCCATCTGCTGGTTCACTTCCCAGATGCCTGTAAGAGGCCAGGCTGCAGCTGGGAGACGCACACTCAGTCCAGTCTCCCCTGCGGGTGGTGGGGATCCAGATGCTTGAGCTGTCACTGCTGTGTCCCAGTGCTTGTTTAGAGGAAGCTAGAGGCAGCAGCTGGTGCCAGTCCTGACCCCGCCCCCAGCCCCAGGCATCTGGGACGCTGGTGTCTTACTGCTAGACTAGTATCTGTCCGGTGATTCAGTTCTTAAGAACCCCTCATTCATGGGCAACACCAGGCTCCTACCGGTGAGGCTTAACTGGCACTTAGGAACAGGGGTGCACTCCTGTAGACTGAGGAATATCTAATAGGAGGGGTTCCAGCATTCGTAGTCTACATCAACAACCTGTTGTCCAGGCCTTTGTTGAGGTGCAGCCTTGTAATGGCTGCAGCCTCAGTGACTGCTTCTGGCACGGCTTCCTGCTAATGTGCCTAGGAGGCAGCTGGAGAGGGCCTGAGTGTGGGCCCTGCCGTCCACGTGGGAGACCGCGATGAAGTGTGTGGCTCCTGACTTTGGCTTGGCCCAGCCTTGGCTGTTGCCGCCATTTGGGAGTGAACCAGTGGTTGGGCGATCTCTCCATCTCTGTCTCTCTTTCTCTGTCTTTTCCCCTTTCAAATAAATAAATAAGTAGATAGATAAATCTTAAAAAAAAAAAAAAATCCTGTTGTCATTGCATAGCTATTGCCAATGTGTTAAAATCTATAAGGGCCGGCGCTGTGGCCTAGTGGGTAAAGCCGCTGCCTGCAGTGCCGGCATCCCACGTGGGTGCCGGTTCCAGTCCCAGTTGCTCCATGTCCGATCCAGCTCTGCTATGGGGAAGCAGTGGAAGATGGCCCAAGTCCTTGGGTCCCTGCACCTGTGTGGGAGACCCGGAAGAAGCTCCTGGCTCCTGGCTTCAGATCAGTGCAGCTTTGGCCATTGTGGCCAGTTGGGGAGTGAACCAGTGGATGGAAGACCTCTTTGTTTCTGTCTCTCCTCTCTCTCTGTGTAACTCTGACTCTAAAATAAATCTCTTAAAAAAAAAAAAACCACAGAGAAAAAAATTGCAAATAATATTTAAAACAAGCAGATAAAAGATAAAATAAAACCTTGTGAGTATTTCAACCTTACAGCTTTTAAAAAATTAAATTTAGGGGCCTGCACTGTGGCGTAGCAGGTTAAAGCCCCGGTCTGCAGGGCTGGCATCCCATGTGGGCTCTGGTTCGAGTCCCGGATGCTCCACTTCCGATCCAGCTCTCTGCTATGGCCTGGGAAAGCAGTAGAAGATGGCTCAAGTCCTTGGGCCCCTGCACCCGCATGGGAGACCTGGAAGAAGCTCCTGGCTGCTGGTTTGGATCAGCTCAGCTCTGGCAGTTGCAGTCCAGCAGATGGAAGACCTCTCTCTCTCTCTCTCTCTCTCTGCCTCTGCCTCTTTTTGTAACTCTTTCAAATAAATAAAATAAATCTTAAAAAAATTATATTTATTTTATTTGTGTGAAAGGAGAGGGACAGAAGGAGACAGAGCACATGAGGAAGAGCCCCCATCTGCTGGTTCATTTTCCAAATGCTCATGGTGGCCAGCGCCAGGAGCTTTGTCTGGGTCTCTCATGTGGACGGCCTGTACCTAACTTGACCTCTGGCTCCCAGGACGTTAGTTGGAAGCTGGATTTGGAAGTGGAGCTGCGACTGAGACCCAGGCACTCGGGTATGGGACGCAGGTGTCCCAGCAGCATTGTAACTGCTGTGCCGATGCCCACCCCAGCCTTCTAAGTTAGTTATATAACAGGCAAACCAGGCCGGCGCCACAGCTCAACAGGCTAATCCTCCACCTGTGACGCCGGCACTCTGGGTTCTAGTCCCGGTCGGGGCGCCAGATTCTGTCCCGGTTGCTCCTCTTCTGGCCAGCTCTCTGCTGTGGCCAGGGAAGGCAGTGGAGGATGGCCCAAGTGCTTGGGCCCTGCACCCCATGGGAGACCAGGAGAAGCACCTGGCTCCCGGCTTCAGATCAGTGCAGCGCACCAGCCACAGCATACCGGCCGCGGCAGCCACTGGAGGGTGAACCAACGGCAAAGGAAGACCTTTCTCTCTGTCTCTGTCTCTCTCTCACTGTCCACTCTGCCTGTCAATAATAATAATAATAATAATAATACAGGTAAACCGGAGTCCTGATGGAGGTACAGTGTGGTTTTATTGTTTTGAAGATAACTTTATTTATTTATTTATTTTTTTGACAGGCAGAGTGGACAGTGAGAGAGAGAGAGAGACAGAGAGAAAGGTCTTCCTTTGCCCTTGGTTCACCCTCCAATGGCCGCCGCGGCCGGCACGCTGCGGCCAGCGCACTGCGCTGATCCGAAGCCAGGAGCCAGGTGCTTCTCCTGGTCTCCCATGGGGTGCAGGGCCCAAGGACTTGGGCTATCCTCCACTGCACTCCCGGGCCACAGCAGAGAGCTGGCCTGGAAGAGGGGCAACCGGCACAGAATCCGGTGCCCCGGCCGGGACTAGAACCCGGTGTGCCGGCGCCCAGGCAGAGGATTAGCCTAATAACTTTATTTTCAAAACAGGTCGCACCGCTAAGCTTCTGGCCCATCCTGCCATTGAACAAGCTACAGATTCTCGCTCAGCAGCGGGGGGGCACTCTGTAGTAGCATTTTCAAAAAGTGAATAAAAATCCGAATAAAACAAATATTCAAATAGTTTCCATAGGAACACAGATAAGTGTGACCCCATCTCCTAGTCTTCCATATTGTGGTGCCAAATTTACAGTTTTTCAAATTTATTTATTCAAAAGAGTGATGGGGAGACAGAGAGAGAGGTTCACTTCAGGGGAGAGGGGTTCTTCAGGTTCACTTCCCAGGTCCCCACAACAGCCAGGCAGAAGCCAGAGCCAGGAGCTCCATCCTGGCCTCCCGGGTGGGAGCCAGGGACCCAGGCCATCAGCTGGGAGCTGGGTCACAGGTGGAGCAGCCGGGACTCAGACTGCCACTCTGACACAGGAGAAAGACGTCCCAAGCAGAGGGCGGGCCCCCATACACAATTCTTGTTTTCTTGGGTTAAAGTCTTAAAAGTGGAATTGCTGTGTCACTAGACATGTAGATTTTAAAGGATTTTACTTTATTATTTTTTAAAGGTTTAGTTGAAAGAGAGAAATCTTCCACCCACTGGATCGCTGCCCAGATGGCTGCAACAGCTGAGGCTGTGCCAGGCT